AATAAACTCACCGAAATGTGCATTGTCTATGAGATAATCACAGAGCTTCCCAGAAATAAAACTCACAACAATGTGCAGTGTGTACGGAAGTATCCCAGAGCTTCTCAGCAATAAAACAAAAACAAACCACTCTTGGATAAAAGTCACACTTAATGTGTTTCCCATGATGCGTGTATTTTTATGTGTGCTCTTCTTCCTTAATCTGTATTATGTATAAATGTTGGTCACTACAGCAGCACCATTCCTGTAAAATGCATGTTCCATGAAGCTCAGACATTTTGTATTTAAGCATAATGTGAAACGAAAGTTTAGAAAACCAATTTACACTGCCATGCTTAGACATCACTTGCTTTATTCCCAATGTTATGATTAAATACATAAGATAAGGAAGACCTAGGGATCGGTAATAACATGATTTCCATTTGGGTATTTTGTTCTAAAATGTTATTTAAAATATTGTCAATTCCCAACAATTACTACCCTGTTAGTGAATCACAAGTTAATTAGGCTGAAGAACCCAGGTTCTAGGATGCAGTACCAAAGATGCAAAATCATCTGATGCCTGTTTATTTTATATATATGAAGTTGTAATCAAAATTATTCAACCCCCATTGAAAATCAGTTTTTTTCCGTCACAACGGCACAAATATGCAAAACAGGTGGTGTCTCAAGCACACCTGATGCAACTAATCAAGGGCTTTATTAGTTGCAGCAAGTGTGCTTGAGCTGGAACACTTTTAATACCTGAACTGGCTGGGGATTGGCTGAGTGTCACGTTTGATTGCATGTTAGAAATATGGCTAAGTCAAAAGAATGTTCCCCAAAATTAAGAGAAGAAATCAAGGAACAGTATACAAAAATATAGAAAAGGCACTGAATATTCCTAGAGACACTGTTAGAAGCATAGTTCGGAAGTTCAAAGTTGAAGGAACAGAAAAAGGAAGCTGTCAATGACTGCAACCAGATTTCTGAGAAGGCAGGTTGTGAAAACACCTCTAGTGACTGCAAATGACCTAGGGCAAGACTTGTGACAACTTGGTGACAACAGGCACTGATGTTTCAGTGAACACAGTAAGGAGTGTACTAAATGAAGGTTTCCCTGCCAGAACTTCTGACCCAAAAGCACAAGAAAAGTCAGCTCCGATATGCTCACAATCATATAAATAAGCCACAGACATTTGGGGATTCTGTTTTGTGAAGCAATAAAACAAAACTGGAACGTTTCAGCCCAATGGATCAGTGGTATGTCTGGAGGAAGAAGAGTGAAGCATATGCTGAAAAGAACACTCTGCCTACAGTTAAAATTGATGATGGCTCAGTGAGGCTCTGGGGCTGCTTTGCATCCTCTGGCACTAGAAACCTACAGTGTGTGGAAGACAACATTGAAGGAAAGTCCTAGGAAAAAACGTCATGACGTCTGTGAGGAAGCTGAAGCTTGGGCTTTCTTGGAACTTCCAAAAAGACAATGATCAAAAGCATACCTCAAATTTCACCAAGACGTCCTGGACGTTGCAAAAGACGTCCTGGGAAATTCTACAGTGGCCATCACCGTCATCTGACTTGAACCCTATAGAAAATCTCTGGTGGGATTTGAAGAAGGTGGTTGTAGCAGCAAACCCAAGAATATTACTGAACTGAAGGTTATTGTTCATGAGCAATCGGCTAAGATTCCTCATGTACGCTGCCAGCATTTGCAGCAGGTCATAACAGCAAATGGGTGCTCTACGAAGTGCTAAAGATACTTGCCATGAAGGTGTTGAATAATTTTGAGTCCTTCCTTATATATGGCTTTCTCAAATCTCATCGGTGGTCTAATGGGTGTCCCCAACGATGTCCAGCTGTTCCAGGGAATCCTGAAGTTGATTTTCCCGGGTGAAAACGTACCCGTATGTCGTCACTTCTGGTGTGTCACTTCCGGTATTCACATCCGAGTGACGTATGCATTCCAACTAGTGGCCATTATGCATTCCACCTTCGGTTTTTCTAATTGGACCCCAAACACTGATGTAAGCATAGCAATTTAGTCCTTTAACAAGATCTCAAAGAAGCCTGCAAGTGTATGCCTATATATCACACCATAACCAAATATATTATATAAAATTAAAACATAATCAAGGCTGTTGCATGGTGGTGTCTCCCATATGTAATGACATGTTTTAACGTTTAATTATTTTATAATTAAACTTAAAAACACTTCATTACATATTTCTTATGAGCCTTGGAAGTTTCATTGAGATCTTGTTAAAGTACTTAATTGCTATGCTTACATCAGTGTTTGAGGGCCAATTAGAAAAACCGAAGATGGAATGCATAATGGCCGCTAGTTGGAACGCGTGCATCACTCGGACGTGAATACTGGAAGTGACACACCAGAAGTGATGACATACGGGTACTTTATATCCGGGAAAATCAGCTTTGGGAACAGCTGGATATCGTTGGAAACACCCATTAAACCACCAATGATATTTGAGGAAGCCATTTATAAGGAAGGACTTGGGAGTGAAGTGTTATATACAGCTATATGTCCTTTGTTGGGATTGTTTTTTTAACTGTACAAAAAATAATTTTTTCCTATGGGGTCCCTGAGGAAATCTTGTATAAGACGAGACGCGTAGGACCGCATTTGTATTTTATCTATACACTAAAATATTAATAAAGCAGATTGTTTTTTACTTCTTCCTGAGTCCAGACTTCCATATTGTGGCGATATTACCAACCAGAGGAGAGGGAGGGGTGGATTTACCCCCCAACCATATAAGGGGAGGCACCCTAAGGCGATTTTACCAACCTTCATCTTTTGAGTGCATTTCATATTGGCGCAGTTATATTGTATTATTTACTGTATTACACTATTGTACTGTGTTTTTTCTGTAGATCATCAGCCATATTCCTATACTTTCGGTTTAATAAATTTCCACAGCTGATTAAATGACAAATTATTGATATGTTTATTGGTGCAAGGTGTGCATTGTAGGTATACAGAAACAAAGTTCTGTCCATTCTATATTAAAAGTAACCAGCTACTTTAACTGCCTAATATGCACTGCATGTCTACACACAATGCTTGCATGATTCCCTGACAAATGATGTCCATGAGCAACATGCAAGGGATCATGGGACATTTTATATTTGCATATGCTGTTAGGCTGTACCTTTCCAAACTATTTATAGTGCACCTTTAGTGACTTTAAAACAGCAAGTGCAGGGTTGGACCTACATCTCAAGTGCTTGTATGCACAGAATTTTCAGATGCCCCTACAAAATAACTAGTTCTTGATTGCTTGCTCCATGGTTTGCAGCATAGAGGAAAAACAACTCCCTCAAAAGATAAACATACAAGAAACATGTGGTAAAATATATATATTCCAGCTTCTGTATTCCTGAATCCTTTGACCATGGGGATACACTAGTGCAGATGTGGGCAGTTTAACAGCAATGCCTTCCAAATGTGTATTATGCAGAGGAACATCTAGAATTCTGGATTCTGTCCCACCAGAAAAATGTCCCCATGAGAACATCATTAGACACACTCATGTTAAGCAGAATAAACTCAAGTCATTAAGCCCAACATCAGATCGCTTTAGAAGTACTTTGCTCTGAGTGGGCCTGTCCACACAGACTGCCGTCCATCAATTTCAGGCTGAAAGTTGCCATTTTCAGGTGACCTGCCCAGTTTACAAACCGGTCTTCTTCTTTCCCGTCCATTGTGGAACATTACTTTTTTTTTACCAGGAGGGTAAAATGTATGTTGCTCCCCCTCCCCAAATTGTAGAATTATTTTTGTGTGATTGTGTGTCAATCCTCACCCCTAATTCTCTTTTGTTAGGGAAACTACACAAATACTCAATCACACATACTTAATTTTTTTAAAATAAATAAATTAGGCAGACCAAACCTCCCTTTTCTTACCTTGACTAGGAGAGATGGAGTGGATCACTATCCATTGGGTAGCTGCCGGGATCTCTCTGCAATCATTGTCAAGCCCAAAACATTACATAAAAATCCTGCATTCGAACACCAACACTTCACACAAACAGTACAACCGCATTTAAAAGCCAAAGTTACGTACAAACACACTGCTGTATTCAAATGCAAACATTATACTGCTCACAAATAGAACCCTGCAAGGATGGGCAAATGGTAGACCCCAGCTGGCATAGCATTGAGGGAGTTGTACGACAGATGAGGATTTTTTTTTGGTACATATTTTGGTTGTTACATCTTTTGGCCCCTGTTGCACCAGAGGGGTTCCCAAATAATTTCGCTGAACATTAGTTATGCCATTGGTCACATCCCAAGTTCCAATAGCTGTGCTGTGTGTACTCGCATCACATCCGCAACTAGGCAGGTGCCCGCTCTGTACACCCATTGTCCCACCACACTGTGGGTATGCCACTGGTTATAACCTGTGCTGACCCATGCACCCACCTGTTCCATGTCCATATCTCCACTTTTTTGAAGGTATGCCCTTTCAAAACCAACCCTAAGTCCCCTCTAAGTGGTAACGTTTAAATCAGAGTTGTTTTTTTAAAGAGATCTGATGGTGGTGCGCTTTTTCTAAACACATCGTGATCATCACAATCAAATGATGCTCGATATTTTAAGTATGCAGTTCTCACAACAGCATTTTAAGTGAATACAGTTTTAGTTAGCTATTAGAATGTGTAAGTTGCAGGTCACCTTATTGGTTATATTGTAAAAATGTACATAGACTAGGAAAGCATTTTGCTAAATGAACATGAAGTATTATTTTATATGTATGCATATTAACACATATATGCTTTTCACTTACAAGGTAGATAGACTAAAAACTGAGGCTTAGTCATTTGCTATTCTATTCCTCTCTCTTTTTTTATTACATGCAAATTTGCCTGGGGCGAGCTAAGCTGATATAATAATTGGCTCACAGAGTCATCTGCCTGCCTTATTTGAAACTGATGTAATCTCAGATGTATTTCAACATCCTTTTTTTATGAATCCTTTTCACTTCTGACATGTTTCGCTGAGATAGTTCTCAGACTACAGCAGCAGCACGCTGATGTGCTTCAGTAGTAAGGTAAAGGGAATCGGTTTGCATCTTCTACAAGCATTTTAGAACTCATGCGTGACATCCAAAGTAAGACAAGAAGAGAAATCTTTTACCCCGGCTCATCTATTTAATGCGGCTTGTTACTGGAGACAGCCGGCGTGGATATTCCAACTGGAACACTGCGAGGATTGAGTCTCTTTTACGATACGTGCGCATCTCCGTGGGTTTTGTCCCATAACAAGTTTCCTCCGCCAAAAGGAGCACAGCTTGAATATCCCAGGACACCAGGCACCGGTAAGTGTCCCCCATGCACAGGACAGACTTTAATGGAAAGATAATCACATTTTTTTTTTATTTAAATGAAATGACCGTTTGTAATGCAGAAGCCAATGCAGTTGATGTGAATATTATTTGGCTTGTTGATTTAGATTAATGCCGTATTAATCTAAATTTTGTATTGACTTTATTTTATATTAAAATCCATCTACAACAAATAAGACAGAAACGGACATTACTGGAGAATGCAACTTACTTAAGCAGTGTCTTTAGGAGTGATGTTTGCATATATTCAACTTTTCCTTCTGTTACTCTCTGATATTATTCTCCTGCTATTATAGCGATTTATTCATATTATGTTTAGATAAATAGAAACAGATATAGTACATAGATATTGAAAGAGAGAGAGAAAGAGAGAGATGACATTACTGACAAATAAAACAAACAGCTTTCTTTGCTGTAAATATTATGTTCATGTGGCTTTTTCTCATTTGCATCCATCATATTTGTACCTTAGGCACACAGGCATCAGGTTACTAAACATGAGTGTCCCAGTTCATCGTTATTTCCTTCTATCTATCTATCTATCTATTATCTATCTATCTCTATCTATTATCTATCTATTTTACTATCTATCTATCTATCTATATCTATCTATCTATTTTACTATCTATCTATCTATCTATCTATTATCTATCTATCTCTATCTATCTATCTATATCTATCTATCTATTTTGCTATCTATCTATCTATCTATGTGTCTGTCTGTCTATCTATCTATATATCTATCTATCTGTCTGTCTATATGTCTGTCTGTCTGTCTATCTATCTATATATTTATCTATCTATCTATCTATCTGTCTGTCTGTCTGTCTATCTATATATCTCTATCTTTCTATCTATCTATCTATCTATCTATCTCTATCTATCTATCTTTATATCTATTTTACTATTATCTATCTATCTGTCTGTCTATCCATCCATCCATCTAATCATCTGTCCGCTTTTCTGTCTGTCTCCTCATAATTTCTCATTTTATGTCTTCTTTTTTTATTTATGCACGTTCTTGTAAACTACTAAATTATGTTTGATTATTGTTTTTAGAGAGCACTTCTAAAATATTGCTTTTTATATGCATTATGCATTCCTTACCGTGCAAGTTTAAGTTAATTTTTGTACTGCTAAAGTCAGTAAGTAATAATGTGTGTCACCCTATTTACAAGGTATATTTACACAAAACAGGTATTAAATCTGTGCAGCTCAGTAATGCTAGCACACTATTGGTCTACAGTCAAAAAAGATATTGCCAGTGCGACATATTATTATTATTATTTATATAGCGCCAGCAAATTCCGTAGCGCTGTACAATGGGTGGACTAACAGACACGTAATTGTAACCAGACAAATGGAGCTTACATGTTAGAGGGAGTAGGGTATAGGGACACAAAGGGTATAAGCAAGGGTAATGAAATAGGTTGATAGAAAAGTATTCACTGAGAACTTAGAAGGTTATTTTTTACAGTAGCAGAAGAAGAGTCATGGAGTGGAGGGGGGGGGGATATAATCCCGCTAACAGTTTAAATGATAAATCATATGAAACAATACATTTATTTGAGCGCAACTTAATTACTGGTAAGAGTGCGAAAGACATTCAAATGTCATTTTTTTTGTGGGGAGGGGATTTTTATCATATGTTCAGAGTATAATAGAGGATATGTTATTAAAAAAATAAGCAAACCACAATGGGATTTATTCGCTAAACAGGATTAGGGAAAATCAACAATAGGTGTCTTTGAAAAATGTTCCAACTTTCACCTCGGATGCTTAAAATTGGAAATTCCCTTGTTAGTGTCCAGTTAAGTAAATAAACCCTATTTTAAAAGTATCCATACTTTTTACTGCATGTTAAATACTGCTGTGTGCTAGGTGAAGGTTATCCCTGGCATTCAAATAATTAAGACAAAAAAAAAACGTACGGGCAATAGTTCACATTTCCATCAGAGTGACAAGGACGTAGGCGCATTTTCCGACTAGTGGACAAAACTTATATCTAGGACGAGTTCTCTAAAACCGCATAATATTGTAGCATGTGAGAAAGAATGCATAGCATCATCCCTGCGTAATATTATGTAATAATACACAATGGCATTTACCATTAAACAAGAATTAGCGATGAATTGACAAGAACATTGCAACATTTAAGGCCTAAAAATAAGATAAATTGGAAAAATTCTTCAACATATATATTTTTTTATAACTCGTTTGGTTTTCAGTTAGTGTTTGTAGTACATTGATTAAAATAGAGAGAAAAAAAGTTTTGTTTTTGAGTTTGCATTTTCAACCTATAAGATTTTTCTTTATTTTGTGAGAATTTCCTTCTTTACATATTTTGCACATTGCTACGGATGTGTCCTCCCGATTGCATTTGCTGGAGATGCACCCTATCATAGTTATTCACTAAAGTGAGAACTTAAGGTCACAATAGTCGAACTGAAAGCATTCTCCTACAGTTATTCTGTAAGTTTGGCTACTTTGGCCTTAAATTTGAAATTGGCCTGGAATTCGCAATTTAGTATACACCTGTTTGTTTCTCACACAAATTATTGCAGCGTTACAATTTAATTAGGTAGGAACCCAGAGTACCGGATGTACCTTACCTATACTTTTTTTTTAAGTTAGGGTTAAACCCGAGCTGGTGAAAAATGAACAAACAAGCATATAAAAAAATAACTCAGATTGGACAAAATATAATATAGTTTGCACAATGAGATTTCTGCAATTCAGCTATTTCGGACTACATTTCCAAATAAGTATTTAGTAATTGACCCTGATATAATCTGATGAATAGTAAAGGATATCAGGATAACAAAATAGCATTGCAAGATCATCATTTGTTAAAAGGAGCAAAAAGGTTTCATCAAGATCAGATTGTCATCTTTAACTATAGTAGAAGTAACCAAAACCTTATATCAAGGTTTAAGCATTTAATATTAAGAAGGTACATTTATCTATCAATAGTTATTCATGAGTTTATATGTTACTATTACTAACTTAAAGAGGCACTATAGTATTAGGAATATAAACACTTACTCCAAATGCATTATTGCCCTATTACCTATTTAGATTATTGTCTTTTCCGCATGCCTGTGTGAAGGAAAAATAGCAGATTTACTTACCTTTCTTCCTGCAGTGCTTTGGTCTCACCATGGTCATTCCATCACACTGGCCGAGATTATCAATCTTGATGATCTCAGCCAATTCGATGATTTTTCCAATGCTTTACCAATCAGCATCTCCTCATAGAGATACATCGATTAATGCATCTCGAAGGGAGCATTGTGCATCTCCATACAGCATACAGGCCATCGAGACACAGAGCATGACCTAGTCCAGGTAGTCCTTCTACTGGCTGTCCGAGTGACAGCCACTAGAGGTGGATTTAGGCAGCAGTGCAAACACTGCCTTTTCCTTGAAAAGGAGGCATTTTCAGTGTTCACCTTCCAGTGACAGACTATATGCCGCAGAACCACTACATTTAATGGTACTCCTTCTATTGACCTCAGAAGGATGATTGGCTATTGGCCTACCAGGAATCAAACGTGCACAACTCTTAAATACAGTAGATAGAACCCTGTCTACAGAGTTACCTAACTGAAATTGTTACAGCAGGTGTTTATTCCAAAATGACAGATTAGGAGTCCAATGATTAGACTCCCGTACAAATTCTAAAAAAGGGAAAATAATCATTTTTATTATTTAATCTACTGTTATCCTTTAATATAATTCTGAATGAATAATGGATGTTCTTACCTGCCAAATGTAACCTAATCAGGTTTGAATTATGACTTAATGATTAGATTTTCATAATTATTTGTTTCTTCAATTAAATTAAAATCTTATCTTCATAAATTTGGAATGTACAGTTTTTGCACTAAGCAAAACTAAATTGCAAAAGTAAGACCACAATTCCTGTAATATTATAACGAATCTTGCAAGATTGTTGCAACATTTATAGATATAATTACACATATTAAAAGCTTCTCTGTATTTTATTTTTGACCATGTTTGGCACAAGGTAGCATGCTGACGTAATATTATATACGGTAGTTCACTAGGTTGGTACATACAGAGTTATGCAAAGTCACTCAGAGTTATTCGCTAAACTATGATTTGTTGGTAATTCACCACATAGTTTGCAAATTAGCCTACCTGATAACAAACTTCAAATTCAGCTATATTGTCCTCTAATTTGCAATTTCATGTCATAGGTGCTGCTTCGTGAGTATAGTATGACATAGACATCAGAAAAAATGGGCAGAGTGTGATATTTGCTTTTTTCCTCCCACTGGTTCTTTAGATAACCCATTAACCACAACATTAGTGCAATATTTTCTCTGAATGATTGCAGTTCTTGGATTACCATCCTTCCTCAAAATGATGGGGGTTTTTTTCTTTCAAATTAGAATTTAACCTTTCCTATGTCATCATACTCTGTGTGCATTGTAATGATCTGTGTCCAGCCATTTTGTAGGAAAACAAAATTATACTCAAATGACAGAAGCAGACCTCTACTTGCCTATAAACCAGTCTGTTTCTCTAATGCTAGCTGAGTCCCTACATATCAAGATCTGTTAGTAAAATATCCTGCGATCTTTATCAACGAAAGTAAAACCACTGAAGGTTTATTTCATAAATGAAAATAATGTCTAACAGAGCAGCTGTCTTCTTGCAAGAGTTGTGTAAACAAATTGTACAGAACAGATATTTCTGATAACCAGGGTACAAGATGTGCAAAGTGTTGTCATTTATAATAATGCAACCTAAATATATCTAATATAATCTAGTAGCTAGTATGACATCTAGAGTAATATGGAGTGATAATAAATGTTGAGACACTGCAACCCATGTAACTTTTCCAAAAGTGTGACAGCTAACTCGTGTCTTGATGTTTAGACAGCTGAAACACCTTTTCTTTGTAATGCCGCATCAACATATTTCAGAATTATTTGTTCTACAAAACAGAAACAGAGATTATTTCTCGCAATACTTAGTCCATTTCTATAGAAGGGCTTTTATACAGTAATCAAGGGCTTTTGCAATCAATTTGTACATTTTTAAAACAGAATTGTCACGTCATAGAATTTATAAAATTTTGTTAACTTAAAGGGATACTATAGGGCTAGCAATACAAATCAAAAATATTCCTAGTACTATATTCCACCTGGTCCCACCCTTCCTTTCCTCTCCCAGTCATGTAAGGATTACCCGATTCTAGCGCCAATCTCCCTCGGCGCTGTGTCGGAGCTCTGCCTCCTTCTATGCCACCCAATTAGGGGGGCACGCTAACGCATGCACAGCATTACAGCATGTGCATTAGACCCTCTCTATAGGAAAGCATTGCTGCAATGCTTTATATGGGGATTTAACTGATGCTGGATAACCTAATGCAGAGCGTGAGGTATCCAGAGTCAGTAAGTCAGTCAAACGTTGCCTAGCAAGCAGGAAGTGCCCCTAGTGGCTGTCTGACTGATTATTCCTGCAATATAATCATTGCAGTTTCTCAGAAAGTGCAATAATTAACATTTCAGGGTTAAGGGGACAGGGTCACTGCACCCAGACCACTTCAATGAATACTCTAAGGGTGACTGCAGAGTTGCATTTAGCATTTTTTAGTACTCTAAACACAGTGGTCTATATTAAACAAACTGTGAAATCATGAGATGATACATATGATTTTTAATGGTATCTTTTGGAGCTGTTCATGTGTTCCAGTAAAACTTTCCAAGCTCTGCATTTGGTAAAAAATGCCTCAATTATAATTACTGTAAAGTCTATCCTGCAAAAAAAGAATAATGAAATTTAAAAATCAATCTAGATTATAGATACAGATGTATTTTATTGAAAGTAGGGTATAGAAAGGGCTTGGATCTCCAGAAATCCTACTAACCAGTAGGAAACCAGAAGAGAACTTCCCTGTTCCCACCTGTGAATTATGGCATGGGTCAGTAATAATAAGATGGGTAGCTGGATGGTTATTGAAGCATGGGAGTCAATAAAACTGCAGAGATCTTGTGGACCAAATGTTTATAGGAATGAGAAAAGTACTTCCTCTCATCTTTTGCGCTTGCAGGGTTTGCCAGTTTCCCCAGACCTTCCGTACCATTTGTCTGGTTAGATATGGGTGGTAAATTTTTGGACTAGAGCACCCTTCGGCACTGTATATGTTGTGGACTACATCTCCGCTGATGCTTTGCCAGCATTGTAGCTGTAAGAGCACCATGGGAAATGTAGTCCACCACATCTGGAGTGCCTACCCAAGGACTAACCTGTTGCTGTTAATGATTAATTGCTGGTGAGTGATCAGCTCTTTGTGGTGGTACAGTGCCCAAAAATAATTTCTAGTGACTCCGTGTGATTGGCTGGAATGTGCAATAGCGTTCAGCATACATATTTTTACTTTCTTATAAGAGTTTGAAGGTGCGTTATATGAATAAACAAATCGCCATATTTACTGCTCACAGAACAAACACATTGAGTATGCAGTCTTTTGTCAGACTTTCAGGGGTATAAGAAAATATTACAGTGAAAATTATTTCACCAATATCTTGGATTAGTTTTGAGCATACGATCAAATGACTATTGTGAGAAGATTGGGGCAGAGAAAAATTAATTAAAAAACACTCCCTTAATAAACTAGTAGTTTATTGTGCAAGTTTGATGTTTTACTCACTAGGTAGTCAGTCACTAAATTAAGAGTTATGGTGAGTAAAACTGAGTAAAACAACCAAATTTCCCAACTCTGCTATTTTTGGCCTCGATTTTGTAACTCACAACTCGCTGTTTAGTAAATAAATCTTTAAATGACTGTCTGGAAAACAATACAAAGCTTAAACGACACTAAATGTTCCTTTCTAATCACTCTGTATCCATTTTCTGAATGATACGTAGGCTGTGAGGAGTGGTAAAATTCAGATAATCCGGATGTGAATAAGTGAAATAATTAATATGTCTATATTTATCAGTTACCCACAATGCAGTGGATTCTACAAGTGAATCATGAAAGCTATTTGCTGGCTTGAATTTAGTAAGCAAAAAGGAGTTTCTTCATTATTTTTTATTCCTTTCAGAGGCACTCATAATCCGATGGATGCTAATAGAAGTCTCATATAATTTGATCTAATGGAATCGGATAAGGGCGAATATTCTCCCCTGGATAAAGAGATGGTGAACTCTCAGTCCGGTAAGTCAAAGTTCCATTAAGAATGTTCTATAATGTTCCAAAAACACAATTTTTCTGAATATGTCTTTAAATAATGTATTTGACTTTACAGAGAACAGATGTACAATGGGTTACCCATTTATAAGTGATCAAACCACTTGTTTTCCTATTATACACATTTTAGTGTTGTAAACACTTAGGTGTCAGAGTCTGGTCTTCAAGAATGGGGAGCAGCAGACTAAGGCAGCTAAGGCTAGATTGATTATCCCTGTCCCCTCTAAGAATCCATTGCTACTACAAAGGGAAGCCACCGAGACATAAGGACATATTTCAGTTCCTTTAAGCTACAACCTAGGGTACCGGAGAGCAGATCAATCAGTTTTCCAATCTAGAGCAGATTAAACATTGTATGCTGACTTAACATTACATAAATATCAAAAGACAGGATCAGCAAGGTTTATCAGTGAGTGAATAACATGATTTATTACCTGCAAAAATCCAGTTCTGAATTCCAAATGTGAATTACTGTGCCTAAAAGGGAAAACGATTCTGCACATTTTATATATATATATATCATACTGAGAGGAGGTTAACATGTGTGCTAATCATATTAAGAGATTTTGGTCTTTTTGGATATAGGATAGCTAACATTTTTTCTGGTTTCACGTAATGGGATTCACCTTGCTAATTCTCCATTTATAACAGGATTCCCTTGTTTGCATTGCAAGCCATGTGACTGTGAGCTAACATACAACATAGTCTCTATTGTTCCCAGACTTAGCAAAAGCACAAAACAGACAGAGGGGTCTGTTGAATTACCTGTTAGATCAATTGACTTTACAATACATCACCCGAAAAAAAATATTGTAATATTGAGCAATTAGGTAGTTGAGGTTCTAGCAGTGATGGCTAAATTTGAAACTATGAAGAGTTTTATCTACATTTCCCCTGATGATACCCAAAATTCATTATTGGCAATATAGACCAGAGTGCAATTATCTAAAAGAAACACAATGATTACTCCTTATATGTGAGGTTTCTATATCCACCATATTTTCAGGGACACATATCATGTATACATATTGATGGGCAGTACATGAAAAGGGTTGCCCTGTAGTAAGTATATTTCAGAAGAAGGTGTATAAGATGAAGTAATTAGGCTATGAAGAATCCCTCAGAATATGCATTATACATACTGTGGGGCAACCTTTTTCATCCATTTTCATAAATATGAAGAAATTATGTGTCCTGGAAAACATGATGGATCTGCTAAACCTACATGGATATATACACAAATAAAAAGCTGCACATCCAGGAGTGGAAACATCACCAACACATACCACAGCTTCTTCCAACACATTTCGTCCTAAGGACTAGCTTGGAAATAAATAGCAGAATCGCCATCAAAGCAAACAAATGTATATGATGTACAAATGTAAATAAAAGCAACGTGTTTGATATGACATTGGTGTGCACAGAAATTAGTTGAAACATGGTTGCACAGTAGACAAGGTGGACAGACATTTGGTGCCATCAAATTAGATGTTTTAGCATCAATCTCAATACAATTTGGAAAGCTGGCCACCGTTAACAATGGGGCAAACAAATAAAGATGTTAGTTTATTAAAGCAATAATACAAGTGTAATAAATCATGCAGATCAAACACTTGACGTTTGTGGTATCACACGACACCACCTATAGCCACTCCTGCAGTCATCCGTAGGGACTGTCCCTCGAGGCAGTCATCATGTTCTAAACAGACAACTCATGGATCTGAATCGAGCTGATTTGCCAAACCCAACATTAGGCATACAGCTCATACCCTAGGGGCAAGCCAGATTTGTATCATGTTATAGTCTGTTTAATTGTATCTAGATTAAGGATGTGTCTGTATAAGATAATTAATGTGATAAAATAAACTACATTATTCTAGGTCAATAATATCTAACCAATGCCTCCCAATATTTTAAATGGACAAAGGTGCTGTTTTGAGAAATGTTTTGTGGCTTACTAATAACTATTTATGCAAATAAAATTTAACAATATGAAGCTCTTACAAATAAGGGATATTAGAATAGGAAAGGAGGGCAGAGGGATTCAGGACCAAAATAGAGACTGTCTCTTCTTTACCCATCTGCTCACAACAACATATACAGGGGTTTTCACTAAAAGTGAGAATTGTCAAAAATTCTAACTGAATTTAAAAGTTTAGCCCAAAATAGCTGAAATGGTAGCATATCTGACTTGGGGAATTTCTCAATTTCAACTATTTTAAAATTCACTTTAAATTCACTTCAATCCCCCAACAATTCTTGCTTTAGTAAATAACCCTGATAGTTTAGTGAGTAAACCTCAGAAATAAATATTTAATGCATGATAGGTATTTTGCAAAATAAATGTTACGCATGTATTAAGCCAGAGCTAGATGCAATAGTTTAAAAAAAAAACAACAATCTTTACATCTATAGAATGAGATCTAATGGTCAGGTTTCAGCTTGTACAATCTCTGGAATTTGGTTAGAAGAAATATTACATTCTGCCCATACACTTCTGTCTTCCTGGGACCATTCATTGGGGACACATGAGAAAGTGATATTATATGAAATAGTAATTCTGTATTCCATAGTGCTTTATTGACATACAGACATATCATTATGTTGCATAATTTGTGAAATAGAAATTTAAATCGATGACAGCTAAGTTCTGAATTCGAAAATTATTTTAGAAATTTCAGAAATGTTCAAACATTAATATTACCTAAATTAAAATATGTAAAGGTCAAAGTTCATTTTCACTTGTCAATCAGCTTGTTATGGGATTGCCTGTATTCCTCCAATACATAAAGCTCTAACATGATCAAAATTAATTCAAAACCAATAAAAACGAATAACAGATGCATAAAGAATGTGTTGCAAAAACTTGCAAAGTTTGCTTAATGTGAAACTCTATGAATGTAATGGTTATTCAAAAAAAGAGAATTTTGAAGAAGAATTCACTAAAGAAAAAAAAGAGCCAAATAAGTTAATCTTAAAACAAAACTGAGCTGGAGAAGGATTCAAGTCCTACTATTTTGGTCTAAAATCTGCAATTTCTTGTATTGCTGATAATTCACAGTTTGGTGAATAACTCGGCGGGGTTTACTTGCTACCAAACTGCAGTGAATTGAAAATTGAATTTCTAAACGTAGGCCAAAATAGCCAAGTTGTGACTAAAGCAGAATTGGAGAATTTTCCCAGTTCAGCAATTTTTAACAAAATTTAGCAATACTGTCTTCAGTTCCCTTTAACCCCTTAAGGACACATGACATGTGTGACATGTCATGATTCCCTTTTATTCCAGAAGTTTGGTTCTTAAGGGGTTAATTTAGTGTTTAGGGTACAAACCCCTGTGATATGAATAAGACGTTGGTAAATCCTGTTGTATTTGTTCACTGCTGAGTCATACATATTAAATGTACAAACAGATTTTATCATAAACATACAATATTCAATAATCGTGGGGTTAAAAATTTTAAAGAAAGAAATTATATTAACTCTTACATTCCAAAACCTTGCATACATTATTATTATTATTATTATTGCCATTTATATAGCGCCAACAGATTCCGTAGCGCTTTACAATATTATGAGAGGGGGGATTTAACTATAAATAGGACAATTACAAGAAAACATATAGGAACGATACGTTGAAAAGGACCCTGCTCAAACGAGTTTACAGTATATAGGAGGTGGGGTATAAAACACATGGTCATGATTACATTTTGCATATTGACTCTGATCAGTCCTTGAGCCATGCACGCATGTCATTTTTTTTTGGTTCAAATGGAATAATCATTATTATGGTGTTTGATTAATTGTGTGTGCAATATTTGATAACCAATTTGAAGTATAGGAAGACAAAGGATATTATATACACTACATAATATTTTGACTCCTACATTTCTCTGAGAAATGTCACTAGTAATACCGTATAACAAGTAAATGAAGAATTAAACTAGATATCAATTTATAGAAATATTTACGTTTCCATGAACATCTGTAACAAGTTTGTAATTTTATTCCTAAATGTACAATCTAGCGGTGGATATTATTCATTAAATGTTATACGTTCTTACGACAGTAAGAAGTTAAAATTAAGGCCACACTGAAGTTGGCCAAGTATTCTTTATGGCCAGTGGTAACCCTACTTGTTGCACAATTCAAACTTAATTAAAGGAAATTTTATGTAAAAAAAGTGAGGCATGGAATTTTAATGACTTCCATTTCTCCATAGTTCTTGAAATGGTTGTTTAGATATCTTAAAAGTTTTATAATCAATGTTCTCATCAGTAAGGGAAGGCTTACACCACAGATTTAGTCCAAATTTATGATGCATAGAAGAGTGCAGAAATGATTGCTGGTGAGAAATGTCATTTATTAAAGCAGGAATTTTGTAACGCCAAGCAACAGAAATGAATGCACAGTTAATTGGGTGCACGTCTGCCAAATTACTTGACGTCTCCGGCATGATAAAGATCTATGCCTTAATCTTTTATACCTCATTTATCAACAGAGCACATTTCAGCTTCCTGAAATGGGTCAGCAAAGAATTATATTGGTTCTACTGTGCCAATGAGTAACCAGCCCCCCAGACTGAGCATTAAAGGGACACTCTAGGCACCCAAACAACTCCATCAAAATTAAGTTGCTATGTGCCAAGAGGCCTCCAGGGGCACTCATCTCACTTTCAGGAAGCAAGAAGTGCCGCCTGGCAGAGTCTCTGCTGATTGGGTGAAAGCAGACAACTGACACTCAGCCAATCAGTTACTCAGCATTTGCAAAAGGTACATTTCTTTCCAAGCAAGTTTTGAACAAATCAGATTTTGTTACAATTATGAAAAGACAAAAATTGTCTCTCTGGTTCTGCAATACTAGTGAACCACTGGATTCAACATTCCCACTTTTCCCTCATTCCCCTTTTGGAATCCAAGCGTCCCTCTATCCTTCCCTAATTTCTAATTTCATTCCTGGAATTCAGAACATTGGGTGTGCACGTAGATATCACAGAACTTCACAGGAATAACACTAATAGTAATAACAGTAATAGTTATTTGAACTGTTGTATGTTAATGCTAGAGTGGGTAGATAGAAATGCTTAGTCTTGTATTAAATAAATTACAGTGAAAAACCATCAGTCATGATGTCGCCTGAGTATTCATCTATTAGTCTTGTCCCATGCCCCTATGTCAAGTAACATGTGCTACTCTTCAGCTTTTGAAATGTTGTTAGGTATATGTAGGGGGTTATGTATGATTTAGCAATAAATGCAAAGTTTTATTTTGCAAATGACGAGTTAATCATCGCATACAGGCTCGTGAAGTATTTATATTGCAAGCACTGTAACTGATCTGCAGCCAGGTTCGAAAAATAAATTAGGAAAATAAAAATAACAGTGCAGTCAGTTACTATACATGATATGCCGCATGCTCGTTGCAGACAGTTACTGTATATGATATGACTAAGAAATTATCTAGTTTTTTTTTAAAAAAATTTGAGAGGCAGGTTAATTACTTTAGTTAATCCTCTCAGTAATTGTTTTAAAATCCTCTTAGTGACTACTTAGCATGAGATAATCAACTTTCCCTTTTAATGTCTGTATGATTATTCTTTTAATTTAATTGTATTTAGTGTACCCTTTATAAATATATGTTTTTGTACCCCCACTGCCATTATCGGAATCACCTAGTAATCCCACTGGATTGTATTGTGACATATTTCAAACATGGGTTCCTCTAGACTAAACAGAATACAATACTTAATGTATCCCCAAACAAAAAAAATATTAATTTGAACTACATGCCACAGAAGACAGATAATTACAGGGCTTAATTTTAGGCGATTCCCAGCAGGTCGGTAGGAGTGACTGAGGATTGGTCGATAATTGATGTTCTGAACAGGTACAGTAGTCCCTGTGTGGAATATCGTAGTGAGAAATAAAAACAAGGGAAAACTGGGTATGCAAGACTTTCATGTGGGTTTAAACCACACCCAAGTATAAAACAAGCTGCCACAGCCAAAAACAGAAACAATTAGGGTGGAACATGGGACACGCCTTTGTAGTAAAGAAAGGAAGATGGCACACGATCCCTAAGTGAACTGAAAGTGGAATAGGCAGTTTATTTTTTAAAAGATGGATCAGGAAGAACTATGAAACAATGAAGACCACTCATCAAAGCCCAACCTTATGACCAATCTTCTATTAGTTTCATGTAGACATGTTAGAACATTGCACGTCAGTCACGATATGTAGAAGACACAAAATCTGGGATAGGTGGCAAGAGTCATTTTTTTTCTTCACAGAAACATTTATTTATTTATTTGCAAAATATTTTACCAGGAAGGATACAATTAGATTTTTCTTGTTTTCAAGTATGGACTGGGGCCACAAACACTGCATTGTTACAATAGGGTACAATATAATATAACATTTTGCCATTTATAACATTTTGCCATTTATTCAGCGAATTGTGCTGAGTTGACAACAGTCACAAAACTTTAGTCAGTCTGGTCATGTCAGGAAAAATCCCAGCACTACTTACTAGTTAATAAAACTAAAGTCCCTTAAAGGGATCCTATAGTGCCAGGAAAACAAACCTGTTTTCCTGGCACTATAGGCTCCTGGAGTGTCCCCCCTCTCTCGCGCCCCCCCTCCTGCTGGGCTGAAAGGGTTAAAACCCCTTTAGTCACTTACCTGAATCCAGCGCCGATGTCTCCACCCACGCTCCTACCCCGCCGACATCTGCCAGCAGGGGAGACCTAATGCGCATGTGCGGCAATGGCCTTACGCACCTTATACCTCCCCATAGGAAAGCATTATTCAATGTTTTCCTATGGGGAAAATCTGACGCTGGAGGTCCGTGAGGACCAAAAGTCCGTTAGGAATCTGGAAGCCCTCTTTTGTCTGTTAGACAGCCGCAGAGGGCAGACTTAGAGCTGCAATGTAAACATTGCCGTTCTCTGGAACTGCAATTTTTACATTGCAGCACTAAGTGTAAAATTAGCTGAAGTGGTCTGGGTGCCTACAGTGTCCCTTTAAATTAAGTTATTGTCTATTGGATAAAAAAACATTTGTAAATAGCAAAACTGTTGAAAAGGTTAAAAATATATGGGGACTTTTTTGCACAAAAATCTTTAGCAGAAAACATATAGTTTCTCCACTCTCTGCATAGAGACACTGAACAGAGCCAGCAGCAGCAGCAGACTGGAGTAAAAGTAAGATTATACTATATTTAGGGAGGGCAGGGCAAGGGGAACAGGGGGGCTAGATGGTGTTTTAACACTTTAAGGTCAGGGATACATACTTGCGTTCCCGACCATATAGTGTCCTTTTAATTAAGCAGTTTTGTTGTATATATCATGCTTCTGTATTCTAACTGCTCAATTGTCTGCCATTGTGAAGATAAACCACTTGTTTATGCGGCTCTAGGCACACCTCCCTGCACGTGACTTACACAGCCTTCCTAAACACTTCCTGTAAAGAGTCATCTAATGTTTACACTTCCTTTATTGCAAATTCTGTTTAATTTAGAATTTATTTATATCCTGAACTGGTAATTGCTTGCTAGATCATGCAGGAGTCTCCTGTATGTAATTAAAGTTCAATTTTTAAAGAGCAGGAGATAACTTTTAAAGTAAGTTACATCTGATTGAAAATGAAAGCATTTGATTTTTATGCAGGCTGTGTCAGTCATAGCCAGGGGAGGTGTGGCTAGAGTTGCATAAACAGAATCAAAAGATTATTTAACTCCTAAATGGCAGAAAATTGAGCCTAGAAACCACAGAGGCATGAGCTATACACAGAAACTGCCCTATTAAGCTAATGTTGTTTTGGTGTCTATAGTGTCCATATGGCATAACCGGAAAATTCTCCAAATCAGCTGTGCTTCTTGTTTGCCTACTTTATGCTTAAATTTGAAATTATCTTTCATTTCCCAATAATTCTCACATTAATAAAAAAAAAACACACAGCATAAAAAAATTTTTAACTCCAGAGTGACACTTAAAAAAAAAAAAAAAGACTGCAGGGACAGGACCATACAACATAACTACTTAAGCAAGACAAAGTGATTATGGTGCTTAGAGTGACACTTTAATCATGTGAATTCCTTCCTCTAACACAGGATTGAATAACATTGCTCTCCATCGGTTGCTTTTTTTCTTGCTGAGCATCATGGGAGATGTAGTCCAACAATAGCTGGTGAACTGAGAACTGAAAATATAGAGTAAAATAGATAAAAGTTGAAAAAAATGCATTTCAGCAGTTATTCTCATGTCATAATAAATAATTTTTCAGTGCATATACCCCATTCTTTTATCTGATCCAGATATGTGTATCTAGGTACTGAACAGAGAGAATACAATGGCAGACACATAAAAAGCAACCTTTTTTATATTTATTGCTCACCAGTGATTCATTTGACATTAATCATACATTTTATTTCATGACCTAATTATTAAAATGTTCCTGTCTTGGGCGTTACTTTAGAACATGTAGAGAGAAAGATAAAAGAGGAACGTGCAATTTTAAGGGTCATAAAAGATAGAAATATGTTATTTAAAAAAATAAGCAGCTTGTATACAGTATTATATGTATGAATGATCTATAACCAGAATCACATTATTCGACCCAGCTATTCTGAATTCAGAGGGATGGTCCAGTTTTGGGCCCCTGCTCTCTCAGTTCAGTTGGGTACTTTAATGCTTACTACTTAACTATCCCTAAGTTGGTAGGTTTGTCATTTCGAAACTGAGAATAATGATCATCTATAAATTGTTTATGTTAACAATAAGTATGCAGTGCTCAAGATTATTTCTGAGTTTAGCTCTGATAGCTGGCAGCTCAATAAATACTGGCCCTTGTGCTCCCTAAATTTAATTCCACTTTATGGTTAGGAATGATGGTAGGACATGGGACACGTACCCAGTCTCAGTTCACGCTCTGAGAGTGGCATTGATTTCTAACACTTGTTGCGATTATAGGTTAGCCCCACGTAGCTGTTATCCATGCATCCAGACTTCTATATTTAGGGGCCTATAAAGAAAATTTCAGATGTGGCACACACATTCCAAAGTGAGCCATTGCCATGTACAAACATGTAGATAAGTGAAGTGGTATGTGAGAGTTTGGTGAAAATTAAGGTTATTTGCTTAAAGTTGATATAAATTCACAGCAGCCAAAGACAACACTATATGGCTTTTTAATATCATGCATCTGTCTCGCCTTCATAAGAGGCAGATGCTAATACTGTCCATGGATGCTGAGAAAGTTTATACCGGGTAGACTGGCCCTTCTTAATTGTGGTCCTGGAGAGAATGGGTTTTGGGGAAGAAATTAAGGCATTTATTTAGTCGCTCTACATGTGCCCCACTGCTAGGATTTGGGTTAACAGTATCCCTATCGGATACTGTGAACATTAATAATTGCACCCAGCAGGCTTGGCCCTTGACACCCCCCTTTTTTCCTTGTCCGTAAAGCCCTTCTTTTCCCAGTCGGAGTCAACCATGTTTCAAGGAGTGGACACAAAGTCACATTAAAAGCAGACAATATGCTCTTTTTTCTTGAAAGCCTGGTGCTGACACTAACAAACCTTCTCAAGAAATTAAATATGCATAAATCTGAAATTTCAAACATCACCATACCCTCTGCCCAGGTCGCACTGATACAGTCTTCTTTCCCATTCAAGTGTTGTGCTTCACAGCTAAAATACCTAGTTGTCTCGGTTACTCTATTTCTTTATAGCCTTTACCAAAGCAACTTACTTCCTCTACTTCGCACCCTACAAACTGACTTGAAAGCATGGGCGCTTGCCCATGTCTCATGGGTGGGGCGTATAAATGTCATAAAAATGAACATCTTCCCAAAGCATTTATATCTTCTGCAAACCATCCCATCAAGATTCCGCAACGGTTTTTCCAAGCACTTAACTCCTTTATTATCCAGTTTGTTTGGGCAGTGAAAAAGCCAAAACTGAGGCTTCCACACTTATGTCTTTCAAAATCTAAAGGGAGTTCAGCTCTTCTGTCATCTATCACATATTACAGGGCAGCTCATCTCCTTTGCTTAATTGACTGACATGAATCCAGTGGTGGAACTAATGTAGAGAGGGCCCTTTTGCAAAAAAAAAAAAATGTTTTGCCCCCTCTGGTGCAAGGGTGCCAAAAGGTAGATCCCCATCTATCATATAACTCCCACAATGCTATGCCAGCTGGGGATCTACTATTTGCCCATCCTTCAGGGTTGAATTTATGAGAAGTGTCTGTGTGTGTTTGAATGTAATAATGTTTTTGTATTGTGTATGTGTGTGCATGTGTTTGTATGTACTTAGTGTTGTATTTAGCGCAAGGCTAACAAGGCATTTGCCTTGGGTGGCAGTTTCCAGGGGGCGGCAAAAAACGCCCTGGCAAATTCCTTGTTAGCCTTGACTTATGGGGGCCCAAGAGTTGACCAGCTGGCCACCATTGAGCCCCCCGGGGCGCCCAGACAGTTTCTATTGTGGGCGGCGAGGGAGCATTGATCTGCGAGCTCTCCCTGCCCAGCTCCATCACTCCGGCGCCCCGCATCACTAAACGGCGTGCAAGGAAGCTAAGCAGGAAAATCGGAGCTCCCGCACTGAATATCCTGCACACCCACCCGCCCCCTTGCCTGTCCGCCCTTCATCCTGCATGCCTGCCTGCCCTCTATCTTGCACACCTGCCTGCTCAGTGGCCAGCCCAGCTGTCCCACTGGACCCCAGGTAAAAATCCAGTGAGTGTGTGCGTGTCAATGTTTGTCTGAGTGATTGTGTGTGTCTGTCAGATTGTGTCACATCATTGACTGTGTGTGTCTGAAAGATTGTGTCAAATCAGTGAGTGTGTGGGTATGTGTGTCTGTCAGTGAGTGTTTGTCTGTGTATATGAGAGTGTGTGCTGGTCAGTGAGTGGGTGTGTCTGTGTGTATGTCAGTCAAAGCGTGTGTTAGTCTTTAACAGGAAGAGGTGTGGTCTTGACACGAAGCGGTGGGTAAATTTTAATTAGGGGGTGCCCGAGTTCCGTCATGCCTATTGCAGCACAAAATCTAAATACACCACTGTGTGTACTGCTGCCACTGGCATACAGTGGTGTACCTCTATGCAATGTTTGTGTTTGTATGTAGTGTTAGCTTTAAATGCAGGTGCACTATGTGTGGTGGTGTTTGCATTAAGGTGTGTTTGTATGTAATTTTGGCATTTTAATACAGGTGTTTGTTTCTAATGTTTGTGTTTGATTGCATGGATAGTTCCTCTGCTGCATAAATCCCAACCAAGTAGACACTGGTCGCCCCTTAAAACTGGTACTGTAGGCCCTCTCCTACTAGCTTCCCTGTGACTGGAGAATGAGGGGACGCCAGGAAAGCTTCCCAACATCCTCTTATTGGTGCAACCATCCATGTTTATTTTAATGTTTGATTTCATGCCTTTCTTTCCACTATTCCTAACCCTCTCACCCCAATTCTGTACAGTCTGCCTTTTCAAGAGGGACTCTCTTCACACCCCTTTCACATCAGAAAAGTCCCTCAGACTTCTAGTAATTGGTCCTCCCTATGCCTAATAGTGTGGAGTGGAACTTATCTATTCCATTCTTGTGAGTTTTATTCATATATAGACATTTTATTTAGTCTATAGTCCAAAGTCTAGTTTCTCTCATGGGCCAATATTATATACAGACATTTGTTTATTTTACTGACCTGCACTGTTAGTTTTCCTTATATGTTTTGTTTTAGGTTGAAAGAACCAACTTTGCTGCATAAGTATTGCCAAGAATGTTTAGCACTGTTTAGTGAATAACACTTTTTTTCTTTATTTGCACTTTTAAGTTTATTGCATTGCACTTCATTTTTAATACACCTATTTACTGTTGGAAAGCTTATTGCGCACCCTTTTTATGCATTTTATGTTGTTCCGGGCAGCTGCCTGGGTTCTGATATATATTTTATGCCTGTTCTCAATAGTGGTGACCTACTATAATGACAAGTGAGACCATTTTTGGATTCTTTCCCATGAGTTTAGAATCACTGTTTTAGATACAAACACTTATTGACAAATAAAGAGAGATTATAGAGACAGCTGTAATGCAATCCCAGGCCGATGTTTTGATTAATCAACTGGTTCTCCCCAATTTGGTGCGCCTATTCTGGCTTTTAGTTTTAGTACACTTTGCAATGCTTTTTTGGGGGTCTTGAGTCCTTTATATACATTACAAACAACTGAAGGAGCTCTGATTGCTCTACAGAGTTGAACAACACAGATGGCAAAGTGCTAGAGTGTGACTGTGTCGTGAGTCTCCCTGGTTCCTATGGGTCCAGGAAGGAAACAAAACAAGATATTGTCTAAGTAGAGGCTCTTTGCCAGAGGTTCCTTATCCATGCAAAACTAATAAATCAGCTGCTATGATCCGGCATTGCCACGCTTGCTTCTCAGCTTTCATTGTCTCACCTCTTTACACTCACTGATAGACTTTTCAGTAGTGACTTGGTAATCAGAGCAGAGAGATGTCATGCAACATTTACAAAATGCGGTAACAATATAGGCCATTTGTCAAAGGCGTTTCCAGCTGTCGATATTCAATACTAAAAGGTGAGCTTTAGACTTTCCTGCCATGCAAAACATATCTATCTTCTTAAATGGATTAGTCCAGTTTAAATTATTTTAAAAAGGCTTTGTAGGTGTTATAATTTGAAGTCCTCATTCAAGTTAAATGTTAATACCCAATGTCCATTAGCTAAGCTTCTACTCACTGGTATCAAAGGTTCACTTCTTAGACCTTTTGACAAAGTACAAAAGCAGGATTAGCGTACCCTGCCTTCAAGTACATAGTAAATTATCCATAAAAATACGTATTCCTTGTAACTGTAATATTGCAACCCCATAGCCTATAATGTATTATGAACAGTAACAGAAAAAATGGATTAACTTAAATTTATGTAAAAATTATTCAACAAGAAAAATTTTCTAATTCTTGTTGGCTATTTTCACTTTAATGTAAACATTTTCATTTTTGCCTATCACATTTCTACTAGTAAAGCAATTTAAAGGGATACAATGCGTGCCAGGAATAGCTACCTCCCCCCTCCCTTGCGCTCTTCCCCCCACCTCCCTCCAGTGAGTGAATAAAGGGTTAAAAATCCTTTTTTTTAGTTACCTGATCTCAGGTAAGTACATTTACTTACCAATATCCCTTGGCGCTGGGTCGCAGCTCCTCCTCCGTCCAGCGATGTGCGGGTGCTAATGTGTATGCGCACGCATCAGACCTCCCTATAGGTAAATATTAAACCAATGCTTTCCTATTGAGAAAAATCTGGCAGAGCATGAGGACATCCAGCGTCAGTTACTAGATCAAAGGTCCATTTGGATCCAGGACACCAGGTAACAAACCTGAGAAGGTGTGACAGGACTGACCCTCCAAAATTGGGATGATTTGGAATCCTGAAAGTTCAACAACAAGTATGGTCTAACACTGATGTCCACCACATGTGTTCACTTCAAAGCATGCAGAGGTCTGATAACTAAATAGTAAGTTGTGGAGACTTGAGAACTAACTTGCAACATATAGAATAAAGTAAAAGAGTTGAAAAAAAAATTAAACTATGTTAAAGGGACACTATTTGCACCCAGACCACTTCAACTCATTGAAGTGGGCTGGGTGCATATTCCCAGGTCCATTAACCCTGCAAAGGTAATTATTGCAGTTTTTCATAAACTGCAATAATAACCTTTGTGGGTTAACTCCACCTCTAGTGCCTGTCTTTCAGACAGCCATTTGAGGGTCGTTAAGCATGAGGACATCCAGCCTCATGTAAAAATCCATAGGAAAGCATTGTATGATGCTTTCCTTTTGGGGAAGTATTAATGTGAGTGCATTAGTTGGGTCAGTAGGGGAGGAGGCGTACCCAGGTAAGTGACAGAAAAGTTTTTTTTTTTACCCCTTCTGCGCCATGGGGGCAGGGCCAGATTAAGAGCCCAGTGGGCCTGGTGCTGACAATTATGACGGGCCTATGATGGTGTTGGAGAGATAGAAAACATCAGCTATAAGAAAACACATACCCTAGGCTAATCTCTCTCTAATTTATGTTTTCATCTTTCAATTAAATCCATAACCCCTAACAGCAGTGTCCAGTCAAGCAGGAAGGCAAAAGGGTGTGCCATTGACACAAATCACGTAACCTGCCAAAAAGGGCGAACACGCCCAAAAAGAGGACATGTCTGCCCAAAGAATTAGAAGGCCAGCCTGGCATGAATGCATGTCAGGCTGCCTGCCAATCATGCAGCTGGCCAACTAAGGGCATACTATGCAGACAGCACCCTGAGCTTGGCATAAATGCATCTAATGATGCGCTCACTCAACGCTTTCTAAGGACTGTCCCCTAGCACTCGCTGTTCCACTTGTCTCCTTGCCTTCTTAGTAGCAGGCAGAAGCTCCTGGTATATAGTCTGGGACAGAGAAAAGCTGTATGTAGTGAGTGTAGAAGAAAGGGAACATGCCACAGTGTTAGAGAGACCAAAGTCATCATTACCTTAAAGGATCACTATAGGGTCAGGAACACAAACATGAATTTATGACCCTATAGTGTTAACACCACCATCTAGCCCCCCTGGGCCCCTCATGCCTCCATAAATAAAGCAAAATCTTACTATATTCAAGCCTGAAGCTGTAACTCTGCATGCTGTTAGACTCATAAAAACAAGCAGTCTGCTAACATCATTAGAAGTGGTGGCCTGATCCAATCACAGTGCTTCCCCATAGGATTGGCTGACACTGACAAAGAGGCAGATCAGGGTCAGAGGGGGGCCTTCACATACAGGGCACTATTGCGAACTACACTATAGTTTTCCTTTAAATGGGATATTTTTTCCAGCTTGTCTTGGGGCTGATAAAACAATCCGTTGGAAATTATGTGTGAGGCTTTCAGTCAGCCCAACTACCACCACCACTGTTGAGAGATGTGACTGTGCTGTTTTTGTAGGCAAAAAAATATTTTATATATACAAAGGTATTCCAAATCTGAAACTACAGAGTTGTAAACTTAGGATATGCAAAACACAAATAAAATATGTAGTGAATTCCAATCCTATCCTATCACAGCCTAGAATTTTGAAGAAAAAAAAATTAAGAAACGTGTATCTCTATCTTTGAAAGCTTTATTATCCAAATGTTTATATAGATATCACTGGTCACGTTAAAAAGAAAAAGGCCACTCCAATATCACAGGAGACAGATTTAAAACAGTGTCGACAGTATGATATAAGAGGATAACTACATGCTAGGATATATATATATATATATATATATATAATAATCTCATGTCTAGGTGAATCTTGTGAAGGGGGCTTACTCAATGAGGATGACTAAAAGGTCTCTTCCCTAGGTTGTGATAGGAGGGATTGGAATTCAATACAATGGGAGTTTATATATACATTGTGTTTTGTGTATCCTAATATTACACTAGAATTTTCAGCTCTGTAGTTTCAGATTTGGAATAACTTTGTATACAAGTGGTCCTCATTTATCAGCCTACCTGTTTTACGATGGCTCGCATTTACGACCAGGCGTAAGTGCGAGCCGTCATGGGGATTCCCTGCTCTGGTGCGCATGTCCATGTTTGGGGAAACTTCCCCGAACATAGACGAACGCATGAGAGCAGGGAATCCCTCTAATCTATGTTTGGTGAAATTTCCCCGAGCATAGATTAGAGGGATTCCCTGCTCTGGTGCATTCATCTATGTTCGGGGAAGTTTCCCCGAACATAGACGAACGCACCAAAACAGGGAATCAATCCCTTAACTCCTCACTTATCGACCAATTCGTTCTACAACTGGGTCGTAGGAACAGAACCCGGTCAGGAAGTGAGGAGTGTCTATATATCATCCAGGTAGGATTAATGGTTATGTCCTATACCAGATCTAGTGCTGGTTGGACATAAGTGAATGTACTTTTGGTATTTTCACGCATCTAAAAATTGTTTTATACATGTGTTTAGTTTAGTTTTAGCTCCTGTTGGGATTGGACTACTTTTTATAGTTCTACTTTTACTAATTACCAAAAATTTTATGAAGTCTTGAATGTACTAATTGATTGTAAATATGCAGAAATTCACCAGAGGCCACTGACTTACTATTCTTCCTACAATGTTTTTTTTTTACACCTGAACTTTACAAGACACCGCTCATCTTACATACCAACCTGTGTTGTGCCTTTATGTCATGTAGAAATGTTAGCATTAAAGAGGGTTGTATAGAGAGAGAGAATAGGTTGACTGTGATACTCACAAAAAAGGAATATAGTATGAACAAAAATGTAAAATAAATTTCATTGTGGAACATTGCCATTTCATTGTTTTTGCTAGTAGGTTTTAGAATAGATTGAACTCTAAAAAGACAAGTCTCAAAGCCCATTTTACATCGCTTGTTTTGGTAATTTGTGTTTTGTTTTTGCTGGTTTTTTTTGTTTTCTTTTATAGAGTTTTATTGTTTGGATCTTGCTTGCTAATGGAGGCCACCCCCTTATATGATTTAGGAAAATTTCATAAGTCTTAACTTTGAACATTATTGCTTACTTGTTTTTTATTGACTTTTTAATACATATTTTGATTTAATTGTTCAATGCTTTAATTTAGTTCATTTTAGAATACAACTTTTTTTTTTATTAGTGATGAAATTTACATTGAGTGTTCACTATAATTAATTTTTTTTGTCTTTTGGTTTTTTTTTTTCACAGTGTTTTTGCCCAACCAGGACTTGGTGGTTTCCTCAATAATGCAGAATCAGTCAAACTTGAAATTCTCTTCCGGGTCTTTAGATAATGAATGTTCTCCTATCAACCAATCAGATGATGGAATATTGGATCAAACTGGGTCAGCTTGTTTGCAGATGGTAAGGAGATGTTAATCTGCTATTTATTGCGTCAGGATTACTGTTTGCCAATTCCAAACTGATATTTTTACGTATTTTTCCTTTATTATCTATTGTAACTCTGCATTTGTGGCTGTCCTTTTTTTATAGTATTATTATAGGAGTAATACAGTAGGTAATAATGCAAGGTTTTCATAGTCACATTGTGGTAGCATTACATCTACGTAGAATGCAAGTTAATGGGAGTGAGCTATAAAAGGGACACTCTAAGTGTCATAACCATTACCACACCACTAGTAGTGCAAGAAGTCTTTGCTGTACTCCTTCTAGTGTTTAAAAATGGGGTCCTCTCTTCATCTGAAGCTTATTTTCCATATTAACAATACCTGATTTGACAGATAATGCAGAAAATATGATCAGTCACTGACTGCTGATTGAGGCCACCCAAAAACAGGTTAGCAAAAACTGGAGGGAACACATCCAAATACTCCTTGCACCCGAATTCCTTCATGATTAAAAAATCAGATATATCTCTTTAGATCAGGGGTGCCCCAAAGGTAACATCCCCAGATGTTTTAAAACTACAGCTTCCATGATGCTTTGTCATTTCAAAGGTATTCTAAAGGCATGCAAAGCATTATTGGTCTTGTAGTTTTGCAACATCTGGGGATCTACCTTTTGGGCACCCCTGCTTTAGATCAGCAAGCAGTCACCACTCATGTTTAATATTATATTTAATTATGGGTTTTTTTTACTAAAAGAAACATTTAGACTTTTTTTTTTCAAATCGCTACCAAATTTTTTTTTTAAAAAATACTTTAGTCAAAGTTTTCCACATTTATAATTATTACCGTAAAGAATACTTTCTATGCTATAGGAAAATTATCCTCTCAAATCTCAAAGGATGACCTTCTACTGTGTGCGGTCCTGTTAACGAACAGGTTACAAAAGAGCGGTTTGCTGATTGTCTAGTCTACACAGTTTTATCATGTTGCAAATTTCTGGAAGTAGAACACTCAAACAGTCCCACATTTAGGTCATTAACCCTGAATGGCTTTAAATACCAAATCCTATTTACATTTGCACAAAAACGATATCACATTAAAATGAGCAAATACCACAAACAATATCATACACTCTTATTTTGTATAAGAAGCTGACTTTTTATATGTAGCTTTGAGTTAGGTTAATTTAAAATGTCATATTTGTGTGTTGAATCCACATTTGATTTTTTTTTTTTACCTCGCTTCATCCATGCACCACAACCACTGCAGCCCACTTTAATGGTTATGGTGCCAGGAGTTCTCTGGTGCTCTCCCAGGTAAAGAAGTTAAATTATTTTAGAACAGATTGACACACCCTGTCGAGCGTCTCCTCCTTTGCCCCAGGATGCACTAACACTGATCTAAGCCAGGCAGTGGAGGACTTAACTCACTGGCTAAAAAATAATCTTTAGCTAATGCTCTCAGCCAATGAGTTGGCCTTGCATGACAGTAGTTAGCTCAGTTGAGCTAAGTAAAGCTCTTGTAGGAGTGTTATTTAAAAAAAATGCATGTACTGGGTTCGGCATTCAGTTTCCCTGAATCACAGCAAATTTGGCATTCATATAGAAAGTAGGCGATAAGAGGGCACATTACATATATTTTTACTTTTGACACATGCAATAATATTAAATTAATATGTTTTTTTTCAATATCTTGTTTTTATTATCAGTATTTCAATGTTTTGTCAACATAAGAAAAAGAATAGACAGCAAACGTATCATTTCACATTGTACAGGTCAGGAGTACGGTGCATTAGTACAAGCGTGGGAAATTGCAAGGTTACATATCACTGGGTACATTATTCTCTGCAATGGGAACAGTTGTTCTCACGGTAGTTACAGGCATAGTTCTCCAGTATACATACAAGTGCTGCGCCTGAATAAGAAACATTAGTACAATAACACCTTAACCCATAGTACCATAAGTTCTCCTACATACAAGTCTTGAAAGTCAATGGGATACCTGTCCAGAATTTACAATATTGTCTCCATCCTATGCTTGATCGCTACCTCCGGTCAACCTCCAGTAATAAGTCAGGAGGCATCACGCAAGGGGCGAACCTTAACTCGACCAGTGGTAAAATGATATAAGAATGGGCAAAGAGAGAAAATTAATATGTTTTTAAACTAGACTCCAGTAATTACAAAGGGGACTTTGCTAAGAGATAGGAATGCACAGTGTGAGGTTATAGTACATTCACTGCCTGGGGCACATCTCGGCTGTCTAGGAACGGACTTGGTTTCTCTTTGCAGCTGAACTGTGATCAAGAAGCTATATATTTCCACGGTGCTCTTTTAATGACCCCCAAGATATCATAATCAAACTGTCACTTAGTATCTTACTTGATACAAGATAAGGCAATTCCAATTAGAATTTATGGAATGCACAGTGCTGTGGGGTACAAAAGAGAAGCACTAACTAAGCAGTTTATTAGCAGAAATGTAAGAAGTTCAAAAGGTAGAATTCTAACACAATAAAGTAGTAAATATGTCCTTGCGTATGTTTGTGTCCTGGCTCACACCTTGGGGTTTATTCACTAAACGGAGGTAAAATGAAAATGGAATTGCGATAAATAGACCAAACTAACCAAGCAGACTTGGAATATTGTTTTATCTCATTCAGCTATTTTAGTCATTATTTTTTTTCCATACAATTTAGTGAATATGCCCCCTGTGCATTACACTTGCATCTGCTCCTTATAGCTTTACATAAACCGATAAGTAGGGCCCTAGTGACACAGTAATAATGTGTTTTTGTCTGTTAAACTGCAATGATTGATTTATTGAGTTATTTTACTGCTTTTACCCTTCCACTACCAAATCATTTGCAAGACATGAATGCCAGAATCTACATTTTTTTTCTTTGTGTTCTGGAAAGTATTGTGTAAATGTATTGCTCATGTTATTTGGTACAATAGCACAAAACATGGGCAGGAATTAAATTTAAAAAAATAAACAAAAACAACACTCTAAAGTTTAAAATAAATATACTTATATTTAGCCTTAACATGTTCCCATGATGTGGAAGAAAGGACCACCACTTTTTAAAATAAAAACCGCAAAAACGATTCCATCTTTAATACAATGATGACAGTCGCCACTCGGTAGCCCTCCTTGCACTGCAACATCATGCAAGTGACCTCACAGTGAGCGGAGCAAGGCAAGTATTGCGTCCCCTAACCTGTGGACCATTGGCACTCCCAGAGTCCATTAATGGGTGCCTAGATAGCCTTGATTCTTCTCTATCTGCCTCGTCTCTGTGATGTGTGTCTGTGGCACTAATAGTTATGTTAACCAATTTATTTTTTGTAATCCAGTTTTTTTTTTTATATTCAGGCGTTTGCTCATGATACAATTAATGTAGTGCTAAAAGCATATAACATATATGTAGCAAATAAGCAACAGAAATCATAGCTCATTTTTTGTTTTGTTTAACAAGAAGAGACCACATGCTTAGAGCAAATCATATGAAGACAAAAGGCATGGTATGCTCAGGTAATCAGAGGAAAACCAACATAAAAATAATCAAACACATGCAGGTGAATCAAATAATAAGCATGTAGTAGAAGTGTGACTGAAATATCCCAACAGTAGGGGGGTTTGAAGGACTAGGCCCATTCACTGAGACCAAGTCAGTGAGGGCACAGCACAGTCTTGCAAGTTGATGAGTAGCCCATGGACAAGTGGCTCAAATAATAAGAGGGGTCCCAGGCACAGAAGCGCATGCAAGATGTCACACAAACTGCTGCACCATTGACCTCTTCTGCATGACTGGTGTTTATACAGGTGCCAAACTCACCTCAGACGATTCTGCTGCGGCTTCCAAGACCCATATATCTGTGGTTCACTCCAAACAGGTGCCCCTTTGTGGAAAGCCTTTGCTTGACTGTGAAGAGCACCCTAAGTGGAGATGGAGGCAAGGTGGTATCAGGGGCTCACCTCCAGATGCCTCTAGACGATCTCTGAGCTTGGCCAAGAAGTCCTTGTACAACCTGAGCGGACCCACCAAGATAGGGGACAGCTGGTCTTGGGTGTCATGTAAATACATGGCGTGTGCCATTTTATAAAGCTTCAGCTTGTCTGTTGATTTGGTGGTGGAGTTTAAAAATTATGCAGCGCAAATAGTGTTACACACATCATGGAGACGAGGCAGGTAGCGAAGTAGGAGCATGGCTATCTTAGGGGCCTATGACCAGAGTACCAGTACGATACCTTTTAATAGGCCGCCAGAATCTTCAAATCGGAAATCACACTATTTATAGGCATTTTGTTATTCACCGTTAAGGATTACACGAGGACAGTATGGCTGTAATTGGCGAGAAAAGTACTGTTAAATGTTACGTGGCAATGTTTATTTACCCTATCAAGTTAATAAACCTGTTTAGAATATTTCAATATTGGGAGGTTTACTGCGTGAGGCGTGGGTGCACTATTATTTATTACTTTCCTTTTCTTTTTTTTACATTATGCGCCCCTAAGAATTTTGAACACAGAGCAACCACCGCTGTCCCCCCCTCCCCAAGCTACGCCACTGGATGCATGAGCAGTAATCATCAAGCATCACCAATCCAATGCTTCCCTTCCCACAGAGAAATATTGAGTCCAATGCTTTTCTATACATTTACAGATTTACAGCATTTTGTGCCAAAATGCTGGGGGCAAAGACATAAAATGTAAAGACCTATTATTTGTTGGATAAGCTCTAGTGGCTGTTTTCCCGGCAGTCAGAGATGCGTTCTCTTACAAATTAAAGAGAACACAGGAAAATGGACTAAATATATGCACCAAAACTACTTCAAATAGATTTAGTGGTTTTGGTTCATTTTTGCTGATATTTAACATTTTGCAATTTTTCCTGAACTCCTAATGTGTGCTACAGTACAATCTCTCACATTTGACATAATCTTAGCACACATGCTATAGTGCCCTAAAATTAAATATATGATACCTTAATGCCCCCATAGTGTCACCGTTACCATATGTTTTGCTCTATATGTTTTGCCTATTCATATTACTGCATGTTATCAAACTATCCGATATATAATGTCCCATATGAATTGTTCATAATGTCCTATAATTGCACCATACAAACTACCCCTTATGTTGTCATATTGTCCCCATCTGTGTGCACTTTAAATTTAGTATTACCGTCGATGTCACTTATTATACCGTTCATTTAAAAAAAAATGTTTTTACTTATCTGTGTTGTGGTGTTCTAATTCTTTTCTTGTAAAATTTGTTTGCACTTTACATGTAAAATTCTAGATTTTCAAGAGCATGTTAAACAAAGTCTGTCATAATGAAAGAACAATACATTTGCTACCAGGCCCGGGCTGGCCATCGGGCACACCGGGCAAATGCCCGGTGGGCCGCGGTGGCCGTGGGGCCGAGGCCGGCAGGGGAGGTCCCAGGATCTCCCCTTCCGGTCTATGCAGGGCCGGCACTATCCGAGCGCCGGCCCCGCTGTCTTCCATGGAGGGCCGATGGGGAGATCAAAGATCTCCCTCACCGGCCCATTTAAATAGACCTGCGGCTGGGGAGGGAGGGAGAGGACCCGGCGGAGCTCTGTCTTGCAGCTCCGCCGGGTTTCTCTCGCGAGATCCGGAGCGTTGCCATGGCAACGCCCCGATCTCGCGAGAGAGTTCACTCACCACTGGACCACCAGGGATGGTGTGCGAGTGCCGGTGCCCCCCCTCCCAGCTACCACGTGCCTGTCCCCCCCTCCCAGGCTAAAGGTAAGAAGGGAGGGGGGGGGTTTAGTTTTTTTTTTGCTTAGTTTTTATTTTTATTTTTTTTATATATTTACCCCCACTTAATTTTTTATTTGTTTATTTACCCCCCAACACACAACATTTATACACAGCACTATCACACTCAGCATTCTCAGCACTCACACAACACTCACACACTCACACCCAGCACTCTCACACCCAGCACTCTCACACTCAGCACTCACACACAGCACTCTCACACACAGCACTCTCACACTCAGCACTCTCACACACATCACACGCAGCACTCTCACACACATCATAGCACTCTCACACACATCATAGCACTTTCACACACATCATAGCACTTTCACACACAGCACTCTCACACACATCATAGCACTCTCACACACATCATAGCACTCTCACACACAGCACTTTCACACTCAGCACTCACACACATCACACGCAGCACTCACACACATCACACACAGCACTATCACACCCAGCACTCACAACACACAACACTCACACACAGCACTCTCACACACAGCGCAGCACTCTCACACATCATAGCACTCTCACACACATCACACGCAGCACTCTCACACACATCATAGCACTCTCACACACAGCACTCTCACACACATCATACACAGCAATCTCACACATCGCAGCACTCTCACACACATCATAGCACTCTCACACACATCATAGCACTCTCACACACAGCACTCTCACACACATCATACACAGCAATCTCACACATCGCAGCACTCTCACACACATCATAGCACTTTCACACACAGCACTTTCACACACAGCACTTTCACACTCAGCACTCTCACACACATCACACAACACTCTCACACACAGCACTCAGCACTCAGGCACATCACTCTCACACACATCACACTCAGCACTCACACACATCATACACAGCACTATCACACTCAACACTCATACACAGCACTATCACACTCAGCACTCACACACATAACACACAACACTCACACACAGCACTCTCACACATCACTCTCACACACATCACACATCATACACAGCACTATCACACTCAGCACTCACACACATCACACACACAACACTCTCACACACATCATACACAGCACCCTCACACACACAGCACCCTCACACACATCACACCTCACACACACATACTGCACCCCTCACATACACACACAACCCCCAATACACTGCATCACACACATACACAATACTTCCAAACATATTTATATAAACTATACACATACACACAACACCCCTCACACACACACTGCACCCCTAAACACATTACATTCCAGACACACACTAGATCCTTTAGCCAACTCTGGATCATATACACACACACACTCTGGATCCCCTATATGCACACTAGATTCCTTGTAAGCAAACACATACTACATTCCCTGAACACACACTCTCTACAAACACTAAATCACCTATACACACACACACTATAGCCTGTATGCACACACTTGCTACATCCCCTATACACACATTCTCTACAGCCCCTAGCCACATATGCATTACATTACACCACAAACACAACACGACTAAAACAGACCTTATTACACAATACCACACCATGACCAGCTCACTCTGCACAAACGTAATACCACAAACAGGCTCCAAACACATGCACAATACTCTTTCCTGGCCCTTTTGTCTCCTGGTATCCATTTATAGAGACACCAGAGACAAGTTGCAAGGAAACAGTGCAAGCATGTTATTAAATTTGCTTGCACTGTGCAGAACAAATACAGGGCTTTTTTCTCATGCTAGAGCTCTTCAGCAGAGCTCTGCGCATGGTCTGCCCTGGAAGAGCATTGAACGAACATGCTCACTTTGAGAGGGGGCGTGTTTGTCATGAGTGATGACAAAACACACCCTCTCTGCCCCGCCCCCTTCTTAGTGGGCCGCTGTGATAAAAAAATGCCCGGGCTGAATTTTTTTCCCAGTCCGGCCCTGTTTGCTACTCACGCCAATAGACTACCTATTACTGGATCTCCTTGTGGACAAAAGGTTTTAGTGTTGTAACTTGTATATATTGTTTTTTTGTATTTTGCTATTTTTGTGCGAGCTCATTCACCTTTTTGTCTTATATTTTCAAGAAAATGTATTTGTTTTGCGTTACGACTTTACTCATAACTAAGTTTTATGCAGTGTTATAATACGCTTTATAAATAAGGTTTGGACTTGATAATTTATTCACTAACTGGGAACCGTGTTGAATTGACAAGTGAATTACATATTTTAGGTGTTCTATGTAATTGGAGAAAATCTCCAAATCAGCTAAAGTTTGATCTATTTTGATCTAAGGTTTGCAATTCACTTCTCTACGATGCTAAATGTAGTAAAAATAATAATTAAAAAATCCCACACCCTTTGATTCGTAAAATGATTGGATAAAACAGGTGAAATGTATCAGAGGATTGAGGAAGGTGAGTTCATGTAAAATGTATCTGCCAAAGAAAGGAAAGTTGATATGTTTCACCTGCTCACATGTTTCACCTCTTGGCAGTGTATATTATGCTCAGTTTGTATATTTTCTATATTTTCTTAAGGCAGTGTGCCTTGAATTCCAATTACTATATTTTCTTAAAGGGGAATGCTTTTATGAAGATTAAACCATTGAGTAGAACATTGAAAATCACCTATAATTTATGTTGGCTTTTTTTGTATGTGATTCTTCATTTGTTTGAAATGTATAATAAAGATTTAGCAATTGACATAAGAATCCAGTTCACACGTGGCACAGCCAGGGCACACACTGCATTATAGAAGGAGAAAAATACTGTTTCTATTTCTGAACGTCTACATACAAACTGATGTCTCAGTATGTTACAGTATGAGAGCCGGGAAGTAACATTCCCAATTCTCATGCCAACTCTTATACGTAGAGGGCTTGAAGGCTTGGCTTGAAGCCATGCTTCTAAGCCTTTTACTTAGTAATTCTGCAAGTCAACTATATTCTCCATTCTACTCTGGCCTTAAATTTAAAATTCACTTTGATTCTCACTTTGCTGATAAACCCTGTTATATGTTAAAGGAGATTACTAGATGTGGTATTAAAAGGTTTCATACAGGTTCAGCTTGCAGCGTCCCCAACTGACCTAATTCAAGTTTGTCAGTCTTATAACCTGAAAAAAAGGTTTTCTTTAGGTATACAGAAAAATGACCACTAGTAGAGCTGATGTGGTCTCAGTTCATTAAAGAAAGTTGGAGAATGTAATTTAGGATTGCTTGCCAAGCTAAAGCCATGTACTGAATTGATGATGGAATGATGATGTTCTAGAGGGATGAGAATCAGTGTAGCCAAAGGTTCCCAATAGCTAGTCCATTGTACAGAGCTAACTCATATGTTGAAATTTTACAAAAAAATATCTTTAGCACTGCCTGTTGGCTTTGATTAATGTAATTTGTCTATTTGCAGGATACAGTTGGCTTTGGTGGCCAAACACATGATTCTGAGACACAGGCTAACAGAAAGAATTCTGATTCCTCTATGAGCCCCAATCTCTCGTCATCGTCGCCCACAGACCACCTCCATGTGAGATTTCCAATTAAAACTTCTCCCAATGAAGAGTACCGAAGGTACAGCTGTGACGATGCCACAGAACGGAGCTATAACAAGTACATGAAAGGTAGAAATCAGTACCACCCGTACAAGAGGCAATTCAGTGATGTTTTCCCAGACACCATACATTCTCTGTCCCTTGGAGAAAAAACATTCAAAGACATGGATGGGATAGAGGTCTTTGAAGATGTCTGTGGACCATCTGTCCCTGAAGATACAGAAACTTTTGCCACACATGATATTTCAGCCGAGACCACATGGTGCAATTCCCTGCAGTACAATTCAGCTCAAGATGAAGGGTCGCAGATAATGGTGAGTTTAATGTGAAGTTACAGACACACTGTTTACATTTTATAAACTGAGCAGTGCTTTATCAGGGTCAATGGTCATGTGTAATGTACCTTCTAAAACTCTATTATTCCTCTCTTTTCAGGACAAGGCAAATAAACGCAACAGTGATACTTCTCTGATCACTCTGTGCAGTGGTTACTAGGTTGAGAACATAAAGCTTGTTTTAACAGACATGATAGACGTGTTTGACTGCCAACTCCTGCTTACAGTCCTGTAAATTTACAATTAACCTCCCTGGCGGTAATCTCGAGCGTCGCTCTGAGTTAATTTTTAGTACCAAATGCGGTAACCCCGAGCCATGCTCGGCATTACACTGTAGTATAACTTACCTTGTCCCTACGAGCCCCTGGTGTAAAGAAATACACACAATACATTATAAAAACAATGTACCACTTTACCATTAAAAAATACTGACATAATCAGACCGCCAGTAAGGTTAAAGGAACATTACAAGCATCATAACCCTACAGCATCCTGTTGTTATTACTGTGCCAGGAGTGCCTTGGTGCCTCCAATGTAAGCAGTCAAACTGTTTGCTTATGGTTTCACTTCTTACATGGGGTCTGCCAAGCACCAGTTACTGCCTCTATGGAGACCCAGAAGCTTCTGCATGGAGCTTCCGTTAGCGCTCCTTGGCTAAACCTTTTTTGTGTATGACTAACTCATTGACTGGGAGTGACAACTGATCTCTGTAAGCCAATAAGCTAAGCACTGCAATGTCATGCTTAGCTCAGAGCAGAGAGCTTTTGGCTGGCAGTGAGGCCATGACTGGTGCCTGACGGACCCGAGCTAAGAAGTCAAACCAGTGAAATCTCTGTAATTAGACATGTGTATTTGATATTTTATTTGTAAGCCTCATAAATATCACACATTCCAATATGCAAAGTGTTTCTGAAATGTTCCTTATTTGTTATTCTCCAAGGTGGGTCTCCAAAATGTGTTACTCCATGTAAAACTCTTTAGTGCCTTATTGCATCTGGCTATCGACTCTGCTGGTGAATAGAAGGATTCTGGTGTTTTCGCTGTTTCAGCATCTTTTGGGGCAAGTATGAAGGGCTCTTGCAATGATGCATGTGTGCGTTGGTGGAGGGGAATGAATTTGTTTCTTCTGGCTGGATAAATTACTCACATAAAAGCTTTTCCTCATTTCTTACCTAATCTATGCCTAATCTTTTTCAAATAAGGGTCCTTGGTCAATTTCTGGAGGTAAATAATCACTATGAATAAATAAATTATGTAAAAATGTAAAGGATAGTTTCTGAATCACTTTTTTTTACTTTGGTAAAACTTCCAGGACCTGCCTTCATCCGAGAAAGGTTGGAATCTCAGAACTTTGTAATTCAAGTGGGGAACAGACAAAATGCATACATGTCTCATGTGTTGATATAATAGAAAGCAAGAGAGAGGGAAAGGGAGTTTTTATATATACATAAATATCTTAACCATAAGGATGGCTCCATAAATTAAGAACTGCTGAAAATTCATGATTCAGACTTCGCTGCTAGTGTCATCAGCTTTTTATACCCATGTAGACCTATCCCTCTTCTTGCAGCTCTTGTGCTTTCTCATGTTCTGCTTTGATACCAGAGATATACTCACAAAATTAGTGTAATGTCAAGAAGAGAAATATAGTCAACATTGGTTTTAGGAAAATAGTTGTAAAAGAGATCACAGCATTTTATCAAGTGAACACAGCACTAAGATGCTGTAAACTTATAAAACATACATTAATCCACTGGGAAGGAATTGACAAACCTCCCTTTTTTGTTGTTTTTATGAGGATTTGTGTACAAACACTGTGTAATGTTGGGAAAAAAAGATTAGCAGTTCTGATTTGGGACTAAAGATGTGCCACTTCATTGCTCTACCATCTCACTTCTTTGGAACATAAAAGGAACCCAGTTAAATGGCTAGGGATAGTATCTTGGCACATAACAGAAAATAATGCAAAGGAACATTTTAGAGTACTTGATGGCTGACTGGTCAATAGAACCTATGTTTGCATTGTTAGACAAGTGGTTGTAGGTTATAAGTCGTTAGCTTTCACAGAAGGTGATACTGTTGTCTGTGCAGGAGGAAGCTGGTGGGATACTGTAAAAGGTGCCGGTAGAGGTATGTAGTAGCTGTCAGTGGTGGAAATGGGAAAAGCATTGGTGGAACAAAGTTCCATACTTAGTTCCCCCAAGGAATCACAGTGACTTGAAAAATCCAAAGCATTCACAGTTATAACTAACAAGTGGTTCAGAGGACCAGGAAATAAATGATACAGCATTTAAATGTAGCACCCCCTTTTTCTTCTTGAACAGTTTGTCAAAAAAGAGAGTATTTGAGATTCGGTGGAAGCTGCAGGAGCGCAAACTCTGAATAAACCTCCTACAAGTTTTACATTTACTGCTCCCCAACATCCGACTCACAATGGGCTGTTCACTCAGTACCAAAACATTCCAACCCTCCATGCCTCTCAGTTACCTTGTGGCGCCAATGAGTGCAACCTATTGACTCAGTCGGAAAAAGAGCACGCATATGAGCCATCAACAGACCGTGTTATTGTAATATTGATTGTTATGGAGAGAAGGAAGTAGAGTGGGTCTAGAGATTTCATTGCTGACCTTGGAGTATGATGCAGGTTTCGCAGGTTCTATGACAAGGCAACATGTGCAGCTTGCAGGAGGATTGTTTGCATACACAAGGCAGGAACCTCAGGGGTCTGCATAGGCATTGGCGCTTGGAATTACCTCACACATGTTGGAAAGCAGGCCCCAACCTGGCATGCAGTAATGTACAACCTGTATCCTTTTACTCCAGTCAGTGTGGTCATGCTGGCTATGATCCTTGCAGTCGCTGGTGCTCCTCCTGGTCTCTTTTAAAGTAGTCCATGGTGGAGCAACCACAATGGAGTTCCTCTGCAAACACCCAGATGTGTCCCCACAGGCCCCACAAGAGCATGAAAATGCCACCTAAAGGTATCAAACCTGTAAACCTGGAGCTTGGTGAGAAGTCTTTGCTTATTATTTTCTCAAACTGTGACTTCAAAATGCTATGAATGGAGCTAAGGTGGCAAACTTCCTCATGCAGAGGCAGGTGTGCTGCAATTAAACTTGTTGCTTTGTTCACCGGGACATCCTGGAGAGATTCACTGAACCTGTGGTGAAGAAGGTGAAAACAATTAAAACTGAAGACACTCTCTTGGAAGTCACAAGAATGGAACCACTAATCAACCGTCCCCATATGGAAAATTTGTTGGATTTCTTAATACTGGTGCAGGGTGCCAAAATACTGATGGACTGAGAAGCTTACACCCCAGAAGATACTAAGATGAAGGGAGGTTATTAGGCAACTGCAGGGATGAAATGAGATGTGTTAAAGATTAAATTTTTTAGCTCAGTTATGTCTATCCTGTCCTATGACATAGTGGAAGAGGCTTTGGAGAGGGTCAACAATAACACCTATGGAGAGGCTGGAGAAGTATTCACCAGTGGCCTTCAACGTGCGCACAGTGGTTGCTGCACTGCAGGCTCAAATTTCCTTTATACACAACTACAATGTGAGCCCAGTGAAACTGTAATTCGGGGGAAATTAAAGGGCTTTGGCTGGGAGAATTGGCAAGTTGCCGTAGAGTACTACTCCTAGCTCGAGACAGTCTGTGTGGAAATGGGTAAAGATGAGTTGATTTTCTTTTAGATGTGGGAGTTCTTGGCATCCTCATTTTCTCAGAACACAATCTTATTACTGCTATGAGACAGTATGAGAAAAAGTTCAATATATTCACCTTCTATGTAATGTTTTATACTTTTAAAAGTAATACTCAAGGTTCGATTTAAATTCAATCAGAATTATACTGGAGTATTCAATGCAATAGGGAATTGACTAGGGAGCTGTAAATGTTATATCAAAACAACAGAACTGGATAACGTTTCAATTATGGATATGTTGACCTCTTATTGTCCATTTCCCACAGTTTCCACTTTGTGAAACCTAATTGGTTTTACCATCTCATCTTTTATAGGATGAGGAACAGCTCATTGCTTGTGTCAGGGCCAAATATCTAGGTTGTAAATGTGAAAACATATTACAAAGAGGGGCATGATGAAATCTAAACATGCCTAGGTCTTGACAGTGACTTGCAAATAAGTAGCTGTCATTATACCTTCTCCTGACCAGTGCTTGTTGGGTAGATTCAAGTACAGTTGTATACAGTACACTAGGAACTCTCCCCAAAACCCACAGTCTTCAATAAGTCAGGCGATGGTAGATCGGCCTCTAGAGATCCACAGTACAGCATTGGGAGCGTAACTTAAAGTACCATAGTGTAGCGAGCATTCCACCAAGTCCCTTAATCTACCTCACATTGCAAGCCTGAATTCAGTCTGCATCCTGATAGTAAGCCCCCCTCTCCCCTCTTGACAAACTTAATCATGTGCAGTTGTTACCCCCCTCTGGTCCTATAAAACTGGTTAAGAGTTTAGGTAGCTTGTAAGATGTAAAGGCCTAGAGCATATACATGTAACGCAAAAGCCAGCATGGGTCATCGTCGTGTTTAGTGGGTGAGCATACCTGAGTTATTCGTCTGTGTGAAGTCACAGCTTTTTACGATTCTTAGGATCCAATGTCAGACAATTTCTTTATGAGATAGTTTAGTTTTTAAAGTTTAATGCTAATGATACCTAAATAACTTTTGTTATGTCTTCATTTCTAACATTAATTAATTATCTTTCTGCTAACATGCCTGATCAGGTCTTTCTCTGTATAGCACATCCCACAATTCATATATGGATAGCAGTGTTTATAACTTGAACTTCCACCACTGAATTCTAGGTTCTTTTATTCAATTTGCCACTACAAATTTCATATGTCCTGCTTGCCATTTTCTTATATTTATCCCAGCAGTCTGAGTGCAATGAATATTCGTTCCGTTTTGCCTTAAATAGCATCACTTGTGCTTCTATTCGTATAAGTTTATTTCACTGGGTTCTCTTAATCCGCAACATGTTAGGCTTGTTGAAAGAGCATTTGCGGGATTCAAATAAATATGTTAAAAATCACTGGTTAAAAATAAGCCAATGCACCAAAGAAACAGAGGTTGTTAGGGTTAGAGAGTTATCAGAATATAGGGATAAATTGCACTTCTTCCAAATGATGTATACACTTGATACAGATCTACCAGCTATCTGCCAAGACACTCCATATATATGTTAAAAGATATTGCAATTCCATCATATAGAGGCATTTCCAGGTACATCAAACTGAGCAAATGGTAAAACATAAGGTTTTCTATCCATGGATTTGTCACAAAACCCTGGCTCACTGTGCGAACCATTGTCTCTGTTATTAAGTTCTAAAAATAAGCTTTTATCGATTATACATGTGACTGCAATGCTTGCTTTCCAGATGGGGTCAGAAGTGAAATTGAAACCAGCATCTTTGGTCATGCGTCAACAGGAAAAAGAGCAACGAATGTACTGGTCGCAGTCACCAACACAACAAATATACTGCACCCCACAGACATTTCCACAGGTAAATTCCATTATTAAACATTTGTTTGTAGAACTCCAAAATATGACTTTAGACCCCCACACACATTCTTTTATACCATATATGTTACCTTTCATGTATCATTCTAATTTCACTATGGAGATTGTCAGAGTGGATTGTGTAGATTAATGATGAACTGTCGTCCACCAAAATAATTCCCTTCTGGGGGTATTCATCTCGGCATAATTTGCATGAGCCATGCTCATTATTAATATATTCAGCTCCTCTCGTGGCTCCTGACATATTTAATGAGGAGTTAGAAGAAGAAAGTTGAATTTAGCACAGGTGAGTTCCTTATTTTGAGTTTGCTAGAAGTTAAAACTTCATGTAGTGAAGGTAAAACTTATACAGCAAGTCTCCATCAATAACCTGCATTCACACCTCACAAACATTCCCATTGTGTAATACAGAGCACATTTACTTTTTAAAAAAATGTTCTTTAAAAAAAAAGTCATAATTAAATACCCAGGAAGTTTTTTTTTTGTTTGTTTGTTTTTTTATTATTTATTTTAAATACTTCTAAAACTTGATGAGCATGTGCTGTTAATTTAGGATGGATGGATGGATGCATGTTAGTGAATCTCAAGTGACGTACAAATAACATGTGCAAAGTCCACTTACTCAGAAAATGGAATACAATGACTAAAGCCATTTTGCAAGACATAGACCATTTTTATTCGAGCAAGATGTTTTGCGGTTTAGCTGCTGGATGAAGACAAGAACCACATTTAATATAAGAAATAGTACATTTCACTGGACTTTGGTCTCTTTTTGACTTCCCCTGTGGTTTGTGAGTGCAGTAATGGTCAGCTAGCCATGGACATCAGTCAGATCTTTCAGCATCATAGTATATATAGCCCACACTATGTGTAGTAGCAAAGTTTGACCATCAGATTTTCTAGTGGAGACTTTGTGTACATCTTTAGCCAGTTTGTGATGAGCTGATACTGTAATGGTCAAGGTAATCAGGTATTTATTGACAGTTGTGCATCCTCAGATCATTTTTGAAGATACATCCCAGTGGCTATGTAATTGGAAATGTTGGGAACATGGGATAGTTTGTTCATTTGGGTGGAACCTCTCGACAATCTATCTTTTCATACCTGTTGTTCTCTCAGACTAAATGCTGTCATCTTGTTCCAGATGCAAAATTCAATATTGTACGTATCTGGAAGTAATATTCTTCAAATTATATCTTTTAATGAGTGGGAAAAAAACAGAGAGCCACCCATTCTGCTAGATCAGTGCCAGTTGTATTACAGCATGTTGGCATAATTCTTTGATACTGTAGCAAACAAAACATGCCTTAGGATTAGGAATAACATGGACTAGTTGGGACATGCTCTCCTATAATGTTACCAGTATCTATCCACCTGCAGACTGGCAGCTTGACAAACCTAGTCGTACACACCCCCCTTCACAAGCCTTGAGGAGGTTTCTCCAGTAATGTGTGTAGCTGCCATGCTGTAAAGGCTATGTATTGATGTGTTTAAATTACATGTGTGCGAAGGCTTCATGATAAAATGATTTTCAATGCGAGGTTTTTTATTGACTATTATTTAATATCAATACGTTGGAGACAACTATGCAATAGGACAGTGTTAGTTAGAAGTCTAGAAGCTACGTAGTTAGAGATTTAAGCAATTTTCATCAGAGCAAAGAATCAAAGTACCGCCCACATAGATCTTACTTTTTTTTTAATTAACTATAATTTTGTAATTTTTACTTTTTAATTATTTATCTTTTAGTTGAGTTTGCGTTTAAATTGTCGCTCAAGGTTTAATTATATTATAAAATAATTTCTAATTTAATATTTTGGATGCCTACCTTCAAGGCATTGCAGATCATACCCTAAAGACAGCTACCCCCTAACCCATGCTGCCATGATCTTCCCTCAAGCCCAAGTTCTCCCTGCAGCCTGATCCTCCTTTCTTGACACCACTTCCCCTCACTGCAGGGAATGGGATGTCTCGAAGGCCAGACTGAGGGAGACCTTTGTGGGTCATGGGGGTTGCGTGCTGCCATTTGGTCATTTGTCTGTCGTGTTGTCAGCACGCTGTGCATGCAGATGATGTATGCATTTTGTGCACAGATCTGACATCTGAGATCTGGTCTGCTAATAAACCCAGTGAATTTACACTTCCAACAGCAAAGCGCTTTATCTCTTAGTGATTTTGAAATGCTGCATACAGACTCCAAGCACCATGGGCACTTTAAGTCACTGAAGTGTTCATGGTGCAAGGAGTAAACCTTTAACCTTAAGCACCAAGCCGCCCTAACTTTTTATAACATCTATAATAACTCTGGGTACATCATCTACACAACTTCACTATAAGAACACTGCACTTCTATTAAAGAGGCGCCATTTACTTGTTAATCAAAAACTGCTCAACATTAGCTCTCTTAATTTTGTAGTCAACTTTTTAAATACATATTGACAGACAGGCAGATGTGCATTTATATATGAACACAAAACAAAAGAAAGTCTGGCAGGGTAGCAGACAGCCAGATTGACAGACAGGAGATGGATAGCTCTTCGAAATATGTGAAAATAAACGACATCTGAAACTTAAATTAGACTCGGTTCAAAGGGAGTACATCACAGTTTATTTCTTCTACAGTCCCTTAAAAAAAAAAATAGCAGCCATTTTATGAGGGTCGTCTCTCCATTCGTAATTACATCTAACATGCTACAGCATGTTTAAATATTGTCTTATACTGATTTATGTAAATACAAATTTCAGGTGACAGGTACTCTAATAAAATGGTAAATGGCTCATCACAGATCATTAAAAACAATATATATGTATTAATAAAAAAAAAAATAACTCTGTCATTGAGAACAGGAATACTGTAAACATTTTTTTAATAAATAATGAAAATTTTAAGTTACATTTTTGCAATTAATATTTTTATTACAGACTCTTAAATTTCCAGCTAATTTCAATATACAGCTGAGTAACATTAAGGATTGTATATATGAATCACCGTAAGCTGAACTGGCACAGATAACATCTAATTTTTTGAAAGGAAAATAAAATAAAAAGATAATAAAGTAAATTAAAAGAATATACAGCCTCTGGCGCTGCCAAAAGATCAACTTAGCAGGTTCACCAATTGCCTCCCCTGGCCACAAGCCCACTCACCCTCCTAAAACTGAAGTGTCCCTCTTTGTCTATTTAAAATGTTGAGCGGTATGCACTCAGAATCCCTATACTAAGAGTGAAAATGCTTTAAATTGGTATTCTGCCAAGGGGCCAGGTGGGGATTTATCACATAGATTGCAACTATTATCTAACTATACAGTGCATTCTGGTGCAGCATGCCACATCATCGTTTAGGGCAAATTTCTTTGCATGGTTATCTTTTGACATAGGAGACAGCTTTTTTTTTTTTTATGTACATAAAGCTCATAGATCCAATACCTTAAGGACCCACAGCCCAAATGCAAATCCACACAGAGTGTGACTAACAAACTACTTTCAATCACTATTGTACTGTGTGGCTTATGCCCACGTTATAGTATGTTGTCCCTGAAGCACAAGCTGTAGGTAGCCTTAGAAGGAAAAGCAAGGAGAGAGAAGGTTAGTTCGGGAGAGGGCATCATTTAGCTATGAGTAAATCTGGGAATGTAAAAGTTGCATTTGCCTGATGAAATTAATAATTAGGGAAAATTTGAACAGAAAGGTGATTGTCTCATCCACGAAACTTGGACCAGATGGAAATAGGGTTCTGTTTGCTATTCTAGAGGTGTAACCTGTCAAGGAACTAGTTCTAGCAATCAGGTGAGTTTACAAACATGGCTATTCAGTTTTTGCTCAATATGATGATCTTTACTCATCACAACTCATTAAATAAATAAAAAAAGCAAATCATAGCTGGTTTTAAGAAACACATTTAACAACGTTGAACTTTGTATAAGTACGAGGATCATCATATAGGGGGTTTTCTTGGTTTGTGATCGAGTGAATAATGATGAAAACGTGAAATCCCATCACCCTTTAGGTAAGTATATATACAAATGTAATTTGCTGAAATGTGTCCCAATCGAACATTAGGAATTACCTTTTACATGTGTTCGGCATAATTACATACAAGATAATAAAATATATGCTCAGATTACTAATTTAAGAAAAGACCTTACAAGTACTGTCAAGTTCATGGAATACCTGCCTTTCCTTTTGAACTGTGTATCAAATAGGGGGAAGTTTACAAGCATGTGAAACATCTCTGATTAATATTGTCAGTGATTCATTAATGCATGTCTGAAATTTGTTCGGAATGTAAGTTTCAAATTGGTTATAGTTTATTATGTGTTTGTTGGATGACGTTATATATTTATAAGAATGAGAATTAAAATGAATAACAGGTCAGTTTTTAGAACATATCAATGTTAGGTGACTATTCTGTTGACAAACTCTTTTGATAGCACCCTGCACTCTCATATGGGGAACCCCCAAAAAATATGCTACTGATGATTATAGCTAAAATTGCAAAATGTTTTCCTGCATTTAACAGGCCACTCCACTGTCCAAATACAAAAATGTTTGTATGAAAACAGGCATGCATTTAATTATTCACTGTATGGAGGAATATCTAAAAACATATTGCGAGTCATTCCAAGAACTCCCCGCCAAGACTTTCTGTGACTGTCCAATTGGAGACATCCAAACGCAGTTCAATGAGAAGTCTTTGCAAAGCGGGAGCTCTAAGCAATTCTTGCCTCTTAAGTTTAGCTCCACTGAGCTTAACATCCAGAAGAATAACAGGACCTGTTGTCTGATTCACAGTTCGTGGGTGTAACAAGGTTGATTTATAAATCTGCCAATTTCAGTTGAAATCTACTTGTAAAATAAAAAATAGGACACACTCTTCACACATTAAACACTTTACGTAAGTAGCTTTACTTAGTCTGGTTTCTTTTCGGGCCACAAACGAGGACCAAGGTAAGTAACACTACAGCACGTCAGCATACTAAAATGCTTTAGGTGTCCAGAGTAATAATTGCAGTATGTCCACTTCTATGAGCAAATCTCTGACCTGCCAATATACCAAAGAAATAGGTCAACTAGTGTCAGAAATTTAATTGTTCAGGTTCCTTTAATACCAAACTCAAGTGGATTTCTGCCAAGGGGAACTGGGGGAACACTGCCCACAGGGCCACTGTTATAGAGGAGCTGTGGGCATAAGCCACACAGTACAAAAGTGATTGAAAGTAGCTTGTTAGTCACAAACTCTGTGTGGATTTGCATTTGGAAGCTTTATGTACTTAAAAAAAAAAAGCTGTCTCCTACGTCAAAAGTTACCAGCCCTCCCCTGCCATGACCTATTAACTTTTTAAGGATGGAGGAAATTGTCTAACATATGAACCAAAACAAAACCTAGGATTTGTGCTCTGTGTTTGTTCCACTGTAATTTCTTTGAGTGCTCTTATGCATGGTATATGTTGTTTTTTTAATTGACACCTCCCCTCACACTGTCACATCCCCATATATTGTCATCCGTCACCACACTGTCATCTCCCCTCCACACTTTCAGCCCCTTCATGCATCCACACTCACATTAATCCCTCCTAATCCTGTTAATCGCACCCCCTCCAAACTTACCTGTCCTCGCTATGCCCCCTTCACCTGTTAAATTAACCCCCCATAATTCTGTCACACTCACCTTCTCTCATTCTGTCACACTCTACCCCCAACCCTGCCACACTTATCCCATCACATTAATGCCTCTACTCCTGTCACACTCACCCGGTCACATTAACCCCCATTAACCATGCCACATTCACCCTTCACCCCAGAACTGTGATACTCACCCCACCCCAACTCTGCCACACTTACCCTGTCACATTAACCCATCCAATTCTGTCATACTCATCCTTCCTACCATGCCATTATTGCCCTGACAAACTTACCTCCTCTCGCCCTGTCACACTCCCTCATCAAACCATGTCATACTCGCCCTCCCTCATTCTCTCTCACAACCCCCCACCCTGTCCCATTTGCCTCCTTCGTCCTTTTCGATAACCCCTTCACACCAGTACTTATTTATACACGACTGCAAGACTATGCTACCATACCCCACAATTGTGTATGAACGATTGGCATAATTGCAAATTACATTTATTTAACCAGTATTTATTTAACCAGTATTAAGTTGTACATTTGCACACACATATATATATCATTGAAAACTGGTGAGCAACTTTTGGATGGAATTCCATAACACCTACAATTACATTTTCCACTTTAAACTATGGCACAGTTTACCACATAGTGTAAAGGATGTATAACATTCCCTGTATGAGTGTGAACTTGTCAACAGACAAACCCACAGAAGCATAAATAAATAAGTAAGGAAAAATACCAAAAAAACAGGTGTCCATTTTGGATTAGGCTCAGTGCAACACTGGGGGGGGCAGATTGTCTGGGATAAATGTGGTGCAGACCATGATGTATCCTAAATTAGAGCATACTGAGGAGTCCCTTATGTCAGTGGCTAGTTGGAATTAGGTCCCAGAAAGTAATTATAGATAGGTCAATGGGGTGAGAAACTCACTGTTGGGTAGAATGGCTGCCTCGAGCTCTGCTGGGTGGCCTGAGCCATTTAATCAATAGTGAAGAGTCCAGATCCTCAAGACCCACAATTTGGGGAGGCCTGTATATTCACCATCATCAACTGCATACGTTTGTCTGCTATCACGAAGGATATATTATACTTTGTTGACCTTTTTAAAGTATCACCCTTGCTGCACTTATTAAGTGTATTTGCTTGACTAACGTGGTATCGCTTACTAACTACACACGTTTCACAAAATCCATTATGACTGCCTTTATTTTGGAGTATTATTCCCCTTTGAGCAACAAAGAAAAGGCCCATCTGCGTGTCTGTCAAGCATATCCAATCCTCTTCCACATAACTCATTTGATTTATTGCACTTCTACAATAATATCTCATGTGTGGACATACAAATGAGCTCTCCAGTGGTGTCACTTTTAGCATCTGTGAAATATCCAGTAACATTCTTTGTCTTCTAAACGGAAACAGTGTCTAAATGTATGTCATGTTATCCATTAATTATTCGCTCAGCGAATCCTGTTTCCAGTTCTGAAAATAGGTGTTCAATAATTATGCAGTCACCAGGACTGTAAGAATAACCGTGTATATTTGTAAAAACATATTTGAGCTCTAGCAGCACTTCTGAAAAATTAATATATATTTTTTAATATTAATTCAAAATACAAACAGATGTATCCTATTCGTCTACAAATATTTTTTATGTGTCATACTTGTGTCTTGTGGCAACTAAATTACACATCAGCCAAAATCCTAAACATTGTGCTTCTCAAATGTTTAACCAATGTACCTGTTTTAATCATATACAACTGGAGATTAAAATAAAGGGTTATGTTTAGCCTTAAGTGGGTAATAAGATCAATGAAATGCATGTTTATTTTTCCAGCTCTACCAATCCCACAGTTCAGATCATAAAACTTCTATTTGTAGAATTCTGCAGAGCCATGTTCTTGTTAAAGTTTGTGGGTACCTAACTCGGCTAAATTCATTAAACTATATGTAAATCATTTTCTGCGCATTTTACTTGCCATATTGCTCCCACAGTGTCTGATTGTATGAATACTTTTCCTGCAACTGCTAATTTTTGCAGCAATAGTGCAGTGAATTCTCAGATATTGCAGAGGATGGATATTTTATAAAAATAATGATGGGTTCACAGAATAAGCAAAATCATTTATCTAATATCAACATATTCACCTGAAGTGCCATTAAGGGGACACTAAATGCACCAAAACCACCTCATCTCAATGGAATTGCCTGAGTGCCATATCCCCCCCGTTTTAAACATGCAGATGAAAACATTGCCGTTTCTGCAGAATGACAATGTTTTCATTGCAGGATTTAAATGTCTCTAGTGGCTATCACACATACGGCCACTAGAGGCACTACTAACAGCAGAATCTAAATCTGTCCAGCTGTCCAGTGATTTTATTTCCAGTGATTTATTTAGTGATTTCCAGTGGACTTTTATTCAGTTAAAACAAACCATAAAAAGAAAAATCTCATTCCAGATTGTACAATTTATCTTTAATGTTTTACTCATCTGACAACCTTAAACTCTGAGGAAAAGTAAAATAAACCATTTTCTGTCAATACAGTGCCAATTTGTATTTGTTAGCAGCTTAGTTGCACACTTTGTTTACAAACACCTCTTCATCACTTTAAGCATTTATGGTTTAACTTTGAATCCTCAGAATTGTGGCTAATGCAGCTAAGCTGCTAAGTCATAGTTATGGAAAATGGCAGGGTAAACCCTTTCAATGTATGGGCAGAAAAAATATATATATATATATGTTGAGCTAGGAGTAAGCATTATAAACTTGAGTTGATTAACTTGTGCCATGTCAGAAGGCGTGAAAAGTTTTTGCCCCAAATACACTGAACTGAACTTCTCCGGGTGAGAATAGAACCTTCCATTTCCTGTTCACTCGCGGACAGAAGAGGCCGGGAATGTCTGTACTCGCGAGTGTACTTAAAGTGAGTGTATGTAAAGCGAGGCATGCCTGTATATATACAGTCAGACAGAAGAATATATATATACAGACAGACAGAAGAAGAGATACAATTTTTCAGAATACAAGTATTTCTTAACAAAATATAAAGAAAAGTAAAGCACATTTATCACCTGCCTGTTATAAAAACAGTGAAATTCGCTGTTACCAAACTAATGCAATCTGTTTGGTGATGATTGTATATCTTCCTGTTTATTACACATCATGAAAGCAGAAAGCTAGTCACATCGGATATTCCCACCTCCAATAAAACCATAAAGTGCTGTCACACTTTGGAACTTAAAAGGAGGACCTTGTAACTAATCATTATCTGCAAAGAAAGTATATTTTCAATTGTGTTTCATAATAATCCCCAGTGTCCACACCTTGCCTTGAACCTTTCAAGATGAGGTAAATACGTTTATTTATTAGGGTTTAACATTGCCACCTTCTTTTTGTCCTAAAATAGACACCTTTATAGTCTTCAAACAAATAGGTTTACTTTGAAAACAGCCAAGGCAATAATGGTTTATACTAAAAGGCTAGGGTGACTAACAAAAGAGTTATTTTGTGTGGGTATTTTATTTTGTGTGGGTATTTTATTGTGAGTATTTATTTGTGTGGGTATTTTATTTTGTGTGGGTATTAATTTTGTGTGGTGATTTTAGTGTGGGTTTTTTATTTTGTGTGGGTATTTTATTTTGTGTGGGTATTAATTTTGTGTGGGTATTTTAGTGTGGGTATTTTAGTGTGGGTATTAATTTTGTGTGGTGATTTTAGTGTGGGTTTTTTATTTTGTGTGGGTATTTTATTTTGTGTGGGTATTAATTTTGTGTGGGTATTTTAGTGTGGGTATTTTAGTGTGGGTATTAATTTTGTGTGGTGATTTTAGTGTGGGTTTTTTATTTTGTGTGGGTATTTTATTTTGTGTGGGTATTAATTTTGTGTGGGTATTTTAGTGTGGGTATTTTAGTGTGGGTATTAATTTTGTGTGGTGATTTTAGTGTGGGTTTTTTATTTTGTGTGGGTATTTTATTTTGTGTGGGTATTAATTTTGTGTGGGTATTTTAGTGTGGGTATTTTAGTGTGGGTATTAATTTTGTGTGGTGATTTTAGTGTGGTTTTTTTTATTTTGTGTGGGTATTTATATTATTTATTATATACTATTTACTTTAGTTATTTTCCCCAGTGTTCCATATCTATACCTAACAATTTGAAGTATTGCATTTTTTATTGTGGTAGTATTGTCGAGATGTTGTATTTATTATTTATAAATCTTTCCTGTATAAAAGTGTTTGCCAGCATGAAAGGATGGTGTGTTTCCTATAAATTATGCAATCTGGTGAGATTTATTAAATTGTATAATGCAAGAAAAAAAAAAAGCCAAACTGAATTTAATCTCTAATTTCACAAAATGATTTGTGAGGGACAGGTTTTTTGTAAAATCTGTAAAGTCCCCAAACAGTGACAGTGACGTTTTTATGAAGAGTGGCAATCAATATACTAATATATATATATATATATACATGCACACATATACTGGTAATTTTCAATTTTCACGTGATTAACCTATAGATCTCATTTTTGTTGGTGTACATACAATGTGTGAATGTACATACGTTTTGTAGAAATACTGGCCAGCAGTGTAACTTAAAAAAAAAAAAGAGAAACAAAAATACAAATAATGGTACAGTATGTATGAACGATATAATTCCACAAGAACAAAGGTGTTATATTCACACTCACACTTTGAGGAGCTATATCAGCTCGGTGTTAAGAGCCTGGACGGAATAATCCCCGTCTATGGATTTCTTGAGGTTCAAGACCGTTGGTGAATTTATAGGTGTAAATATTCGTTACATGAAAAACAAGAGTAAAATACACCACATGGTATAGTACGTAAATATAAAATATTGTGAAAAAAAGTGGATGATCCTACTTACATATACTAGAGCAACGACCTGCTCTAGTTTGGAGAATTTCAGGTGGAATAATCCCCACCTTGGGATATAGTGGACCCAGGTATAGCAGCAAAGCAGTATTGGATAGGAAGGAGGACAAAAAGGAATGACTGGATAGTTTAAAAAATATATATACTTTAATACAATAAGTAAAAAGTGAATAATAAACTATAAAACCAGTCCTGTTTAAAAGTCCAAAATTCTTCCTCACTTGACGCGTTTCGCCGAAGCTTTCTCAAAAGTGAATGCATTCACTTTTGAGAAAGCTTCGGCGAAACGCGTCAAGTGAGGAAGAATTTTGGACTTTTAAACAGGACTGGTTTTATAGTTTATTATTCACTTTTTACTTATTGTATTAAAGTATATATATTTTTTAAACTATCCAGTCATTCCTTTTGTCCTCCTTCCTATCCAATACTGCTTTGCTGCTATACCTGGGTCCACTATATCCCAAGGTGGGGATTATTCCACCTGAAATTCTCCAAACTAGAGCAGGTCGTTGCTCTAGTATATGTAAGTAGGATCATCCACTTTTTTTTCACAATATTTTATATTTACGTACTATACCATGTGGTGTATTTTACTCTTGTTTTTCATGTAACGAATATTTACACCTATAAATTCACCAACGGTCTTGAACCTCAAGAAATCCATAGACGGGGATTATTCCGTCCAGGCTCTTAACACCGAGCTGATATAGCTCCTCAAAGTGTGAGTGTGAATATAACACCTTTGTTCTTGTGGAATTATATCGTTCATACATACTGTACCATTATTTGTGTTTTTGTTTCTCTTTTTTTTTTTTTAAGTTACACTGCTGGCCAGTATTTCTACAAAACGTATGTACATTTTCTGATTTTTAGCGCTGTTCACCTTTCTATTTTATCTGTCTATTTATCACAAGGTAGAGGAACACCTTGTTGGTGAACTGCTGCTCACCCCTGAGAAGAGAGCGCTTATTATTCTTTTGCATTACATACAATGTGTAGTGCGACACAAGAAGTGAGAGGAAGATGATTTGTTAATTATATTATCATTATTTCTGCTCCACAACTTTTAGTTCAGATGGATAATACACCTGTTTTTATTTTGTGTTCTAGTACCCTACAGGGGGAAGCTATCCCGTGACATACATTTCCACATCGCATTATCCTTACCAAAGGATTGCACCCCAAGCCGGCCTGGAGTCACAGCAGCCTCTTTACCCCAAACCCATCTATTCCTACAGGTTCGTAAGATGAATTAGCACTGAATGAATGAGTCCTCCCAAGTCCTTATATTAATAATGCACAATTTCATATTAAAACATGCTGTTTTCCTATGAAAGGTACTCAAGTGCACCCAAATAGCCTCTTCAATATGCCTTGTTTTAATGATAAATGTATCAAAAATATCAAATGTTTTGCACCAACAAATTATAAAAGAAAACAACACAGTAGTGCTAAAGTGGTGAATATTAATGTTGGCACTGTAGATGTAGTGACTTGCATTTCCCATGATGCTCAGCCAGCGTAAATGATCTAAAGAGTGTCATATACAAATGTATTTTGCTGACATCTCCAGTGTTGGTTGTCATTGTATATTACATATTGTGTTGGTGAATGCTGAAGGATGTGCAGAACTACCATTCAGCCATATTATTTTTTTTCATTGGTAGAATTTATGTATTTTTCAACAATATAAACCAAAACGGAAAAGTCCTATATCAGTAGAGTAGATAAATATTTAGGGTTCAATACATAATACGTCCTAACAACATCCACCATAAGTGACCTTGCTACATTTTGAAGCCTTCAGGTTTATGTTATTTCTTAAGACCCAAACAAGTGAAAATGTTGCCAAGTAATAAATGCTTCTTAACAAAAAATGATTGAAGGCTTCTAATTTATCTTGTAAACATTTGGTAACTGTAGGTGCAGATCCCTGGCCAATGTCTGTTGTGAGTGCCTCTCTATGGAAACGCATCTATATCAGTAGAGGGCTTGCAATTATACGCCTGTTTTGGAACAGAAAGTTCCAAAATATCATGCTGTTCCAGATGGTTTTCAGGGTTTTATGTGAAACTCTAACAGGGTTTCTATTTACTAAAGTGAGAATCCAAAGCAAATTTAAAGTGAATTTCATATTTAAGTACAAATTTGCCAAAGTAGAAAATTTTAAGTTAGCGATACTTACAGTTTTGCTACTCTGCTCTAGATAGGAAATGAAATTTGAATTCTCATTCCAGAAAATATTCCCTGCAAGTAAATACATCCTGGCTGATCATATCCATGAAATCTTAAGAGTGTCTCCCATGTCTACCCACATTTATTGTCTTTTACTAACCAAAATTAATTGGAAATGCAGAAATCCAAAATCTCAGTTTCACCCAACAATTAATGTGAATCAGGATTTGGTTTTGTATTCTATTGCAGCTATGTTGAATTTGGTTAGTGATCTTTTAGTTAAATAAAGGAAGAATGATCTTTCAGGTAAATAAAGAAAGAATGAAAGTGTTGACACTTTTCTTTCCGTCACTAAATTGAGTTGGTGTTCTGAGTGTGACTGGAGTATCCTTGTAAGTTAAAAAAAAAAAAAGGAAAAAGAGGGATGAAACAGCGCTAAATAACTAAGGGGCAGGCAGCACACCTAGACGGGTAAATTCTCTCCTAAAAACCCAACAGAAATGGGTTGTAAGTAAGTTACCAACATGACGGGCTAAATTAATTATTGGTTAATCAGTTACGGTGTAGCATTCTGGAAAGGATGGCAACTGAGTTTTTGTCCAGCTCTAATGGCAAGCTCGGTTCTGGAATATGGTCACATCCTCAACAAGCAATTACGATGGCATGTTAAATTAAAAAACGTATTAATCTTTTAGGTAAATTGTTTTAAAATCATTTACGTCATGAAAATGTCTGATAAGTCAAATTTGATTGCATTTGTAGTTACATTATACACATAATGAGATTGTGTCCCTTTATATTCTTAGCATTCTGATATTCATGGCTTTGAAGAACAGCAAAACGGGGAGCCTACCTGTGAGTGAGATTTATAATTTTATGACTGAACACTTTCCTTACTTCAAGGTAAGCCACGCACGTCATTTATTTCTCCTATAAATCATTCCATCTAATTTAGTCACTTAAATCTAATCCGTCAGATTTTTGTGTTGATTAAAGGTTTAGGAAAGCCTCATGTTGATGCAAATACGTGTTCTGCCCCACATCATTTAAAAATGAGTATATTCCTGAATATTTGTGAAATGATTTACCTAATCCCTGATACATAGGGGTCTAATCACTAAACAATGAATTACGATGAAGATTTTAAAAATCTCCAACTCAGCTGTATTGCAAAGAATGGCTACGTTTAGTTTTGAACTTTGTTTACTGCAGGGTGGCCCAAAGGTAGATCCCCAGACGTTTGTAGAACTACAACTCCCATGATGCTATGCATGCCTTTCAAATGCATTTAGAATGGCAAAGCATCATGGAAGCTGTAGTTTTCAAAACATCTGGGGATCTTCCTTTTGGGCACCCCTGATGTAAAACCTTACACTTGCTCTCCTTTTGAAATCAGTATGTGTGGGGGGTCAGTGAGATACCCAATAACTAAAAAAGAAATCCGTAATCAGAGGAGAGCATGAAGATAAAGCAAAAGCAGAGGAAATCCACAATGATTGAAGCACATTTTATACAGAAACTGTGCCATAGTGTAATAAAAAAGCATTTCACTTGCGATTGCCATGTCCTTTCCGTATCCGGCCTGGTATAATTTGGGCACAATATGCCATTATATAAGTACACTATAGAATTATCTTTCATGGTTGGCCTTTGAACGTCGCTTTATTTAAATTTCCAAGTAAGCTTGATTTCTACCCCCATTCATACAGAGTATACATAGAACAGGAATTTTTGATTTCTTTTACTAGTGTAATTAAATCTTTTTTTTTCTTTGCTAAATATGTGCACCTCCCAGTGTTTAACGATGTATTAGTAGAAATAAAAATTCCTTGTAATTATCTGGGGCGTAATGTACTTGATAGACAGATGAATATAGCTATTACATAGCAAGTCTCAGACGCAGCTATACAAAGTGAGCCATGAAATCTGTCATTTGTCTGATTGACGTGACTCAATTTCTTTGCAGGTAAGTGGGAAAAAAATAGGTTGTTTTGTAAGTTGTCTTTGAAAGAACATGAACTAATCAGACAAAACAAAATGCATGTAACAAATGACACTCATTTTCAGACCGCAAATAAAGATCAGTCCCGGACAAATCTTCAAAATCTTCATATAGAGAAATTCAATCTTAGACCTGTATCTGTTGGTGTCGTTAATAAACATTTTAATAATATAAAAATGAAAAACCAGTGTGGACCAGATCAAATCCCAGCAATGCTGCTGAAGTTCAGTGCGCCAACAATTGCTAAACCTGTCAGTACCCTTATCAATGAAACCCTGGTGTCAGGATACATACTAATACTTTGGAAGACTGTGAGAGTAGTGCCTATCCATAAAAGTGGTGACAATACTTTAGTATCTAACTATCGCCTGATATAATTGCTCCCGGTATTGTCAAAAATCTTGCTAAATGCATCCACACGCAACTATGTGAATATTATCAACGATCAAATTATCTGACCCCTGATCAATCAGGCTTTTGTCCAAATCACTGAACTTCGACTGCCCGCTTAAAAGTTTGCAATGACATCCAAATTGGCATGGAACAAGGAGACTTAACTGGAGCTATTTTCCTTATTTTGCCAAGGCCTTTGACACAGTAGACCATGGCATTCTTTAGCAAAAACTTAAAAACTCAGGCATTGGTGATCGTCCTCTAACCTGGTTTCGATGGTATGTTTCAGACCAATTACAATATGTGGCCATTTCTGATAGCGCTTCCCTCCCTCTTCCAGTCACGTGTGGTGTTCCCCAAGGCTCCATATTCGCCCCCCTGCTATTCACATTATTCATAAGGGATCTGCCTAACGTCTGAAAATCCTCTACTGTACACATGTATGCAGTAAACCCAAGCTACCGCGGCTTGAGGCTGTGCTCCAAAACCAATTCACAGAGGTAGAAAAGTGGATAGCAGATAATAAACTCTTCCTAAACACTGACAAAACCGTTACAATGATCTTTGGAACTGTACCTAAATTACGTAAACTACAAAATCAACAATTGTGTATCAGAACAAATTCAAATAGCACACTGACAGCAGTCTGCTCTATTAAATATCTAGGTATGTTGCTAGACCCCAATCTATCCGTTGGCCTTCACATTGAAAAAATCTCTTGAAAACTTTACCAAAAACTAGGTGCCCTGTACAGAAACAAATCCTGCCTAAGTCCTACAGTAAGGAAACAGATAGTGCAACAAATGCTAATGTCGGTCATTGATTATGGGGATGTAGTGTATGCACCCACATCGCAAACCCACCTTAAAAGAGCTAAACTGGCTGTCGTTGGAATCCCGATGCACTCTTCATCTTTCCAGCCTTGTGCATAAGAGCATTTCTGGGAAACTCCCACCCTACCTGAGTAGAATGATCTCCCTGGCTGTTCCCAACTCCTATAACCTCCGAACCATTACTAGCACGATATTTAGCATACCGCAATACAAAAATAAAATGACTCAATCCTCCTTTTCCTACAGAGCACCGCAATTATGGAATAACCACAGGGAAACAGTCAAATCTTCATTCAATCTAAACAAATTTAAGAGATTTATGGCAATATACCTCTGCACAGAATAGACCTGTCATGGTTGAATATATTTATTACCCGTTATGTATTACATTTATATATGTGTGCATGTGCATATATATTGATAGCTTGTATATTGTATTTTTGGAATATTGTATCCTATTGTAACAAAGCAATGTTTTGTGGACCTAGGACATACTTGAAAACGAGAAAAATCTCAATGTATTAATCCTGGTAAAATATTTTATAAATAAATAAATAAATGTAGATATAGTGACCATTCCCAGCATAATTCATGATTGGATAAAATCTGATGGAAATTTCAAGGGAGGCCAGATAGACTCGGCTAGAGGACAGAGCAATGTGGAACAAACTTCACAAATACACATTTTTGTAAAATTCAGGGATTATGTAAACATAATATTAAAAATCCTGGGAAGTAATACTTTTCCTTTTAAAAGTACATTTCTGATTCCGTACGTATGGAGTAAGCCATTGCAAATGTGATTATGTAAGAAAAATGTTAGTTTATTTCATGTATTTATAGTAGTTCTCATTCTGATAAATCACTTCAAACCAATCTATATTATTGTTTCATGAGAAACTGACGAGGTGTGCTCTCTTTCCCTTGTTAGACGGCTCCAGATGGTTGGAAGAACTCAGTGCGCCACAACCTTTCCCTGAACAAGTGCTTTGAGAAAGTTGAAAACAAATCTGGAAGTTCTTCCAGAAAAGGATGTTTGTGGGCCCTCAACCCTGCAAAAATCGATAAAATGCAAGAGGAATTGCAGAAATGGAAACGAAAAGATCCCATCACTGTGAGAAAAAGCATGGCAAAGCCAGGTGAGTTTAGAACAAACTTAAACCTTTTCTTCTGTCTCATAGATCTATGAGAATTGACTATTTTCCATGTGGTCAAGTTTACAATGTAAATGCTGTTAATAGATATTGATGCAATGCAAATAGGGAGAGATTGAATATTATTAACATATATCATTCACAACAAAGTAGTTTAATTATTTGCAAAATATAAAAACCAAGGAAAAAAAGGAAAATTGTATTTAAGATTTATATTAACAGGAACTGTCAGTTTGAAGTGAATGGTTTGACTTCTTATGTGGATCTCCCTTCTTTTCTCCATTACTGCTCAGTGGAAGTCAGAAACTCTAGTCATTGAGCTAAGTCCGGCAGTGCAGGGATTAGCTCATTGGCTGAGAGTGATCAGCTGACACTTTTAGTCAATGCACTATTATAGCGAGCTGTAGCAAAAATTGTGTTCCTTTAAACTTAAATGAAAGAGCCCTTATTTCAAAGTGTTATATCTTGCATTTATCATTATTTCTTTGGCATACAATGCTATGTATTCGTTTTTGCCAAACAACGGTGGAACTTTCATTGACAGCTTGGGGTTTGTTAATTGAGATTAGACAGTCAATAATAGAGCTTTGTTGTATCCCCTATCTTATTTCTAGAAGATCTGGATAAGCTAATAGGTGAGAGAACCGAGAAACTGAGGTCTTCGCTCATGGCTTGCAATTCAGTAGGCCTTGTAAACTCTTCTGTTGCAATGCAGATGTCTATGCAGACAACACTGTGTGAATCCAGCATGTCACCTTCTGTGCCCACATCACTGCAGTCCGTCCATGACGTGTCTGGGTCTTTACACGTTAAAAAGCAACTAACTGGTCACCAGCCGCCATGTTATTCTTCACTACCTCATGGCTACCCACAGTTATCTCCTGCAATGATACAGCAACCTCATTGCCTCCCTCAAAATCACTTCTCATCTCAAGATAACCAAACTGAACTGAGAGCACAGCCTATCAACCCCCAGGACTCTCCAATCCCTGCCCACACTCCACCTCTGCATAACATAAAGATGCTGACTGAGCATTCTCCAGCCAGAACCATGCAAGAGCATCTCAACGAAGGGGAACTTAGCAACGACATTGATGCACTCAATCCATCCCTTACAGACTTTGACCTTCAAGGTAAGATTAAAATTATGAACATTCTATTCTGAATCTTTATATAGCTCTAGATATACGCATTCAATATTTTATTTACACATGCACATTGTTTATGTATAAACCACAAATGCACTATATATATATATATATATATATATATATATCTACCTCTTCTTCAGTGCTGATCTCCAGCATGCTGCTCCGCCTCTTTGGCTAAGATCATCAAGATTGATGTCCTCAACCTATCCAATGATTTCTTATTGTGCATTGTGAGGGTAGTGGCATGCATGGCAAAACACCACCCTCCACCAATCTGATGGTTTCTCTGAGAGCATCTGATAGAAATCTGATGGAAATATCATCATTATATTCCGCTATTTCTGTGGATGCACCTTTAGAGGCTGTCGAAGTGACAGTCATTAGAGGCATGTGAAAACACTTGCAGGCTTAAAACACAGGATATGGCTTCCACACCACCTCATTGAGACGTATATCTATAGTGTTCCTCTAAGGCACATTGATTCTTATTTGCCCAATATCCAGAACATTATTTTCAAACAAATAATGAGCAAAAGTATATAACATAACATTATACCATTTATTTTTATACAAATTAAAAAACATTCTAAAAGGCTTGCACAACTGTTTGTGGGACCTGTCTAGGATTTAAACCCACATGGAATTCATTGTGTCTTTTCACATTCCCTCTGGCCAGATCTGACTCCACAGCTTGCCAAAATTACCGGTATATGAAATTAGTTCTATCTTAATGATGTGTCAAACTCAAAGAGAAGCTTGAGAGAATGAATCGTTCATTCAGTTCATTCTTATTCATTACCACCACTTAGGGTGTAGTCCTTATATTTTTTGCATCTTGTGCTGAGGTTTACACATATCCTAATTGTTTAGTTACAGTTTCAAAATCATACAAATTGTGGATTACATTCTTTACATAAATGATTCCCTGAATATATAAAGTCGCTTTCAACTAAATGGTTTTAGTGTTTTAGAATTGGATGTGACTTTTACTTATGCTAAATTAAGGTTGTGGTGAAAAGGAATGAAGTCCAAAGAAGGATTTCACAAAAAATAAATAAGCATTTCACAAAGCTTAACAAATTATTTCAAATAATCAGGTTTGGTTGGTTGTTTGTTTTTTGTCATTTTAATAATTTATGGTGCTGTTACTAATGCTGTGGAAGAACTTCTATTTTAATAATCTGGTATATTTGTTCCTCTTGACCATTCAAGTCAATTCCCTTCCTCTTGTACTAAAGTCAATGTGGATCATGCACCAAAATTGTAAGATTAGATAGGGGGCAAAAAAAGTATTGTACATAAATCAGTTAATCCCTCGATTCTGACAAGTGCAAAATTTAACAGTGAAGAAAAGTAGTACATGACATGAGGATAAAATAGGAAAAAGAAGGGGAAATGGTGATAGTGAGGACACAGACTAATAGTTCTGGAATTGTGTATGTGATTGTAGATGAGTATACGTAAAATGAGAAGAGATAAAATAATCTATTAGTAGAAAAGATGAAGTGTTGCACGTAGGAACTAGGAATGTAGGAAAAGACTTATGTAAAGTATCACCAGCAGCCTGGGTTATGTGGCAGGTACCAACAATCCTTAACTCAACAAGTAGTTATACGTTGTAAATGATTAAGGCCAAAGGTCCGAAATGTTCAATGTTTATGTCCTTTCGCTTAATAAACATCCTTGGATTTGCAAGTGCAGTGAAAGACGTTTATTTATCTTTAGAACAATTGTATAGTGTAATAAAGTAAGACATATTGCAGTTACATATGGTGTAACTCTTACATATAAATTAACAATTCAGTGCTCAAAAAAGTGTACATATTTAGTGCAATATCTGCATAAAGGTATTGATGTCAACCATGTGTTCATCAATGTCAAAATAGTTTAATATAGTTTAAAGAGTGGGTAAATCTCAGTAAAATAACTTAGTCATCCTCACAGTTAATAGAGCCACAAATGACCAAGAATCATTGTGGATGGACCTATTTGTAAGGGAGCCACCGAGCTCTAGTGAGCAAGACCAGACAACATGGACAGTCTCTTAATTAAAACAAAGGAGTGGTGTAATTTTGGGGTTGTAGCCAGGCAGGTGTAGGGCAGTGTTAAATTCCCCAGAGACAGATGGATTTGCACAGTTTTTTTTTATGTATATGCAATATAAATTGTATGGTTCTCAAAAATAGTAATTAGTGTATTGTAGATAAATTTAGCACCTGAAAGATTTCTCCATCATTTTTCAATAATTTACTGATTTGCATCCTAATTTTAATGAAATTAATAAGTATTTCTGTTTGGATTGACAGGGAATCTTTGGGAGGAGTTAAAGGATGACAGCTTGGCTTTGGATCCATTGAATCTTATTTCTTCCTCACCAACTCAACCTCCGCCGCAGTATTACCTTCACAATGGAAACGGCGTTGGCAACAGCGTTGACATTAGTTCCCCTACTAGTGCTTCACAAATGGGATTAGGGGACATTCATCTAACCACTGTGTATTCGTCTTTCATGGAACTGGATACTGCGATGCCGTCATACATTAACACGTCTGGCTCCAAGCATGTTGCAATCGTGTAAACCAAAACAAATTTCTAAAGCACCCAATACATTTTTCTCTCTAGACTGAACTGAAGAAAAAGCTACGTGAAGCTACAATTCCCTAAAGCTTTCTAAATGTTATAATTTACCACTTAACAAGGAACAAATGAGTAACAGAGTGAGCAAAATTTAGAAATATTGGCTTATATAAGTTTTTCCTCATTAATTCAGTTTTTGACTATGCTGAGGATAAAAATATGTACCCTCGAGGAATTAGATCTATATCACCATTTTCACATTTGAATGTAGAACCATATGAACGATAGAAAGGGTTATTCACTAACGTGACCGCTCAAGAATTTAAAGTGAATTCAATTAAAATTCAAACTTAAGGCCAAAATAGTTGAATTTAACACATAGTTTGGCTATTTTGGTCTATAATTGAAATTTTACTTTGAATTTCCAACAATTCACACTTTAGTGAACAAGCCTGGACATATATTATGTGGTAGACGTTATGAGTTCTACTGTTAATTAATAAAGGAAATAGTAACGGTTGAAATATTTCTTTTCCTTTAATCTCCTTTCTTTTTACTGTATTTTAAAGAACCACTTTTATAATTTGTTTAATTTGAACATAGCTGTCTTAATGTGGCTTTTCCCCATTTTAAGGGATCACAATTCTATTGACAGTATCTGAAGGTGTGAGTGGCTAGCAGGCCTAGGCCATTATTATATTATTGTAACCTGTAAAATGAAGGCTTACTATTACAAAAAAAATACCTAATATTAAGCAACTGTGTCAGATGACTGATTGTACACAGTTTAAAGAAAATGTTCACTTTACAGTCAGTCAGTTAATGAAATGCAAACATCATGCTGACTGTAAAAGATCATTAAAATAAAATTAATTTTGAAATATAATTAAAATCATTTAATTCTGTATGTACACATGCGTACACAGAAATATAACTTATTACAAGCAATAAGTAATTTTTTTCTAGAAATAAAATTTCAAAACACAGCAGCCCATTGTAATCGTTTCAGCCCTGGACTTTGAGTCTAGATAACATCATCGTAGTCAAATTCATCCTTAATATTATCAACAGGAGTTCTCAATTTTTTTTTATTTTTTTTAATAAAGATTTTATGTATACATGCGAATTGCAAGCACGGAGTGATATTTTTTCTTTTTTTAATGATTCTTTGAATTAATATTACATTTCAGCCGTTACTATTTCTGTGCTGAAATTAACAGTACATTACAGCATTGGGTGAATAATTGCGGCAGATTGTCCTAGTGTACGCATAATCGAACTCTAGTTTAAAAGAGAGAGTTCGGGACAATCACATCACATGTTAGCTTTCAACGTCTAGTGTTAATGTATATTTGTTACTTGTAAATAGTTCATTTTCTTCCAGTTTCATCAGCTCGAAGAGGAAAACAGAAAACTTTAAAAGGATTTACATTTAGGATTCATTTGCTTTTTTTTTTAAATGGCACAGAGGAACAAGTCACCAATTTAAAGATCAATAAGAAGACAGAAATGTAAATTTTTGAGAATTTCAGAGAGTCCTAATATATGCAAAAGAGTCATGCAGTTGGAACTTGCGCGCTCTTGTTTGGAACCTACATATTGATACAAGGAACTCAGAAACATTTCAGTTGTACTCAGAATTTTTTTTTCTTTCATTTTCAAAAAATATATCCATTAATTTGCATGGTATTCATAAAGCAGGTGTAGCGTTTATAGGTTTTAGCTGTGCACTCCTTGCTTTTTGGTGGATTTTCCCATTGCACTTTTTTTCAAAATGACATTGTCTTCTCACATGTCTTCAATGTTAGGGAATATAAAGGAACCTGTTATCTATACTTGACAATATTATTTCACTATTAGAATGCAGGCGGAGGTGGGCGGAACTCTTCCTGTGTTATTTGCTCTGCTCTAGAACTCCCGCAAACAAACTGCAAGAAGAGGATTCTGGGAGATTATCAACAGTTGGGGAAACCAGCTGTTATTGTTGGAAAAATATGTATTTTCAGTGTTATAAAAACCGATATGTATTTGATAACACAGCAGATAATACAAAGTGCTAATTCTGCCTAATATTATTGTAGATAGCAACTTTAATTAACTGTTAAAATTGTGATAAACTTCAGTTTTATTGTGTAAATATGTGTGACTCAAAAAGTGGAGCATGGGCCCAATATTACTGACGGTAACAGATTTCTTAATTATTGACTTGCTCCATATATCTTTACAAATAGAAGATTTGGGGGGTTTTCACACTTGATAATACTAAATATTGGGATTTATTTGCTGAGCTGGAATTAGTGGAGAAGTTGCAAGGAAAATATGAAATGTAGGCTTAATTCAAAGTACTGGAAAATTCTTAGACATGTTTATATTTCCAGTTTTGGCTACTGTGGCCTCAAATTGCCAGTAGGTTCAATGGTTCTCACAAATATTTCAGTTTAGTAAGTAGTAGATAGAGACTGGTCCCTAAATTACCTGTATCATAGACTGCACTCCTGTTTTAAAAGTCAGATGTTTAGCACAATTTATTGCCTACTGAATTCACTTTCATCAAGAAAAAAAAAAATAGCAGTACTTGAATTGCCAGACTAAGAATTCATATCCCTTTTCTAAAATGTTCCACTAACTTAATTTTTTTTTTTTTTTGACATGTGTACAAAGACTTTTAATTAATTACTTTTACAGGCACATCAGTGTCATTGTCCAGATTAACCCGGCCAATCCACGACATTTGCGCATTTTAGTCACCTGACTTCAGTGCGTGAGAGTGGTTAATCCTGATGTGTTTTAAAGATTTGCACTAATTTAAAAGATTCTAGATTTTAAATATTTCACTATAAACAGTAAAGGAACGCTATAGTACTAGGAATACTTATGTCTTTTATCCAATCCAATGCTCCTCATAGAAGTGCATTGGTGGTGAAAAGCACATGTGCCCCAGCATTGCACTCCTCCAATGAAACAGGGGTTATCTGCGAGTTTGCCTCTGTTCTCTCAGCAGAAGTGACTGTCAGGAATATATCCACTAGAGGCATGTTTAATCCTGCAACGTAAGCATTGCTATATCAACTAAACGTCAATGTTTTACTTTGCAGCATTAGAACTAATGGTCTACTGCACCAAGACCACTTCATTGAGATGAAGAGGTCTGGGTTCCTTTAGTGATCCTTCAAACAATTGGAGGGAAGGGGTTAGCTTACATTGAACAAAACAAAAACCTTCAAAAATGAAAATTGTAAAACAAAATAATTCACAGTATCTTGTATCTGTGTATTAAATTGAGAAACTGATGTTCATGTTTTGTTGATGGGAGTTACTTATTGACTATAAATGTATTTTAGCTATTAACCAATAACAGTGCTGCCTTATCGTTTTGCACAATTGTTAACAGACTGATACTTACTCAGTATAAAAATGAAATATATTAGCAATGTCATCCCCATTTCGGTAATTGCCAATACATTTGTACATAGCCCCTTTCAATTGATATGGCACAAGAACCATGTTTGACATGGTTTGATTTCAAAGTTTTGTATTATAATAACATTACATTTGTATAAAGCTTCACTAAAATGCAATGCATAAAATCAATGTTGTTTTGTTTGTTCTGTTCTCATATCTCTCACATTTTTTTATATATGATATAGCACAAAAAATGTTTTTCTGTGTTTTTTAATGAATAGGTAAAATTAAGTGAAATCCTTCTGTAGAAACAATAAGAATATTTAACAATGCTATATAGTAATAAGTGAAAGAGAGGAAGGAGCTTTCAAGTGGGTGGCAAGAAACAAAATTCATCATAAGACTGAGATTTCTTCAAGGGATCAGAGAGTCCTGCAAGGTGTGATTTGCATTTTTGGTGGCATTATGGATGGATCAGAAGTTTGTACTTCCACAATTCCACATCCCATCATTCCTTGACTATTCCATTTGCCAGGGCTTCCTATGGCTGAAGGACTACAATGAAACAGTGGAGGCAAATATCTACGACACAGGATACATTGGGTGAGGAGGGTTGATTGTAGAACATGTGGGTATGACAGTCTGAAGTCAACATCTTATGGCGGATGTCCTTTGGACTGATGAGATGATATGCCTGGTGGGATCCTTCAAGCAGAGTAGTAGAATAAACCAACCTACCTAGCTGTATAAACATTAACCTCTTGCTAGAAGGTTTATTTACTAAACAAAAAATTGTAGTTAAATGAGTCAGAATTGTTTCTGAATCGGCTATTTTGTAATTGAGTTTTTATTTCACTACAATTTGGTGTTAAGTGAATAAACCCTTAAGTTTTGACATTAATGGGTAATTAATTTAGAACACCAGCCATCATTTTGATCAATAATTAATGGATGTAATCTGAACACATAATAATGCATAGTGAGCTTATGATCCAGATTTTTCTAAAGACCATACACACTACTAAGGTTAAAAACTTGGAATCGTTCAGGTGAAAATCATTAACCTAGTATAGTCTTTTGTAGGTTTGTACGCTCAAATGACAGAACATAAGTGTTTCCAAAGTATTAAACGTTGACAAGATAAAGATTTAATATTTAGTGTAGAACTTGCCTTGGGGTGTAACCACTGGCACGCATGATATACAACTATAAAAACTTGCTTTTCAGCAAGGAAATATGAAAAATATTGGTTGGCTTGAAAGAGCATGTTTAGAGATAACATTTGAAAAAAATGATAATTTGTCATTACCTGGCATTTAACAACCCATCAGGTGCAAATACTTGAAACTTGAAAAAAAAAATTGTTGGCGAACAAATTCCTTATTCCATCTGAGTAATCGGATTAAGTGTTTTTGACACAAGATATGTAGAACTGTAAGTAAAGTGGACACAGTAGAGGCAGAACCACAAGCATTTACTCATAGTGGTATTGTGTAAGTTAGAAGTGGTTCTATCTCTATATTCTTATCAGAGCCGGAGTTCCTATTAAGCGATGAAGGCAGCTACCTAGGGTCAGGGCTCTTACATGGGCCCATTGTTTGGACCTGGAGATCCGGCTCTGAGCTGGCCCTGCTCGATTTCAAAAGATCTTGCATGATCCTTTGCTCCCTTACTTCAAAGAGGAAGCATTCTGGTCTGTACAAATATCAGGTACAGTCCACTTTAAGGGCACCATTGTGGTTTCCCGGTGCAACTTGATGACACAGAGCACTCTTAAGATGGTATGTACCAGATTTTGGTGCAAATTACGAAGATCACCATCGCACCATCAAGGATCCAGCACATAGTCTATACTGAACCACAATGGAATGTAAGTTGGGGGAGAAGGGAGAGGGAACATACACACACACACACACACACACAATACAGCCACCGCACATACAACTCACAGGCACAATCAGCCTCCCCCTTCATACAGGTGTCACCCTCTACACACATCACTCACAGAAACAAGCTCAGGGCTCTAGGAGGGAGCCCAAACCTGGCATCCTTGCCCTAGGTTGCCTTAATCCAGATTCTTATTCGTCTCTGATAATAGTGACTGATGACACCAGCGTTAACTTTTATTTTTTTTTGGCACACAAATCTCTGTGTGGTGGTCACACTCAAATGGAGCATGCAATGTTAAATAGTTGGAGGAATAGTTCTGAAGTTGCGAGGTATGATATCATAGATCCCTGCAACCTTCGTTCGTTTGACTTATGACAGAACATTCACGCAGAATTGTGTGTGCACACGAGACACAGACAGTTTTCCTGAAAGCAGTCCTGGTCCCGAAATGCAGGAGTGGTGAGGAGCCTTGAATCAACCAAACTCCTCACAGTTTTCCCACTCCTGCTTTCAGGGACTTCTTGCTACTCAGATACACTGATGAATAGAGAGACACAGGAGAATTCAGTTCCTGTGTGCCTAGATAGCCCATCATCACAACAATACTACTGGAGCTTTAAGATACCCGTTTTGTGGTTTTTCATGTTTGCAAGTATATTCACAGTTTACACTGTTGGTTGTGTGTATCACTACACCACTTTTTGTTTTTAACACACCTAGACTGCACCAAAGTTTGAGACATGCTTGCCAATTGTTATTTGTGAGAATCACCTTGTGAGGTTTTTTTTTTAAATTCTTTATTTTTCTGTGCAGGAGGGGTTACAAGCATATGTCAATTGCCACAACAGCATGCATGGATTAAACATTAGTATTAGCATGTTTGAAATATTCTAGGAACAATATTTGCATGTAATGAAAGTTATACACGTGTAACTGATATCAATAAAACAATGCTAAAGTAGCTAACACATTTTGATTCAAGCCAGGTTTATATGCATTATTTATAAAGCTCCATAAGATGGAACCACTGGTGTGTTATAATTGCTTATAGTGTCCCACTCGTGTTGACCTATGGTAGGGCAGTAGCGTGAGATTCGAGATTGGGACATGTAATGTGTGCTCCGCTGTTTTAAACTAAACAGATAGCTATGGCATTCTATGTATGCAGGGGGGTACCTAAGCAACCACAAAGATATCAAGTCCACCAGAGTCCTGCGGTGTTTGCACCTTGGCCCCTGTCCGGAATGGTCGTCTCCCAGGCTTGTATTATAGGACTGTGTTGTCCCTGCTTTTTGAGCCTGCAGGAGCATAGTCCAACTCCGGTGCTTGTCTTCTTAACCAGCCGATGCCGACCCTTGAGGCTTGACAGGTGGGCCACAGGCATCTGCGGAGTCGGTGCTGCGGCGAGAGTCCGCCACCCCTATGTCTTGGAGAGGTTCCCTGCTCGAGTCCTTCGCCGCTTGGGAGCTGTGTTGCTTTCCGGTAAGCTTCGCGGCCGTCTACTCGGAGGTATGGGCGCGAGATTGTGCTTCTTCGGCATGAGGATTCCGGAATTGCTGAGTGGTAGGTGAGTCGTACAGGCTTGGTCTCACTCCGGTATGTGGGAGGGTGAGAGCTGGAGTCTGTCGTCGTATCCCGCTGTTTTGAGCTCCAAAGGTGGCGTTGTTTGGGGGCTAGGGATGGGCCTCTACTCAGGAGGCGTCTGGTAGCCGGGCGGATCCGCGCCGCCACACTTTGCATTGCCAGCTTGAAGTGCCGACCCTTTGTGTGATACAGTGTCCGGAGGCTGGCACGAAGCCGGTAAAAGAATTCTAGGGTGCACTTGGGTGGTTTGATGAGGGTGTTTTGTGCCGCCATCTTGAGTGGGCCCCTGTAGTCCCGTGTGTTTGCGGGTTTGGTCGCTTGGTGAAGCCGCGTTGTGGGGGTAGATGTCCCCAGCAAGGACCGGGATATCCCCCGCCGGTCCAGAGGGGGGGGGTAGCGGGGCAACCTCCGAGTGAGACTTATGAGCAGGTCCCATGCCGGGGGATCGGCCGCCTCCCCCATGACTCAGGCTCCGCTCCAGTGTAGGCCGCATGGCCGGTAAGGGTGCTCGGTTGGTGTGTCGATGTGGGACAGGTATCGTTCTGTTCCTTGTGTAGTCCTGCATCGGTTTTTGGGCATTTTGTGCTGCTAGCATGGTTGGATTGTTCGGGATCGTCGTATTTGTGCTCGTTGGCATGAAAGCCCTCATGGAGCACGTCCGGCCATCTTGACAGTCAGGCCCCGCCCCCCACCTTGTGAGGTTTTTAACATATTTTTGTACGAGATTTTATATGCCCACAGAGGGTGGTTTTTAATACTGCGAACCATCACTTTTATGTGTTCATTTTGGCTCCATGTCATTGTAAGCCCCACATTCACTGTAATATGAGAGAGAAACAACACCTCCAAAAATTATTTGTGGCAGTGACACTTTATTCACTATACTTGGAATTAATTATACAGCACAGTATGGTAGTAGTGCTGTGGGAAGAAGGATTAATATTAGCTTAGGGTTAATATTAAATATAGGTTTAGTTAATGCTCTGAATTAAATCAAAGATTTGGTACCATAATGTGATTTAAAGAACACATTAGGGTTTAAGGATTGACTTGGGGCATTGTATATACGGTTGGTTTTAAGGGGGGTCATAAAGACTACTTTTGAGCCGAATTCTCTAAAAGGATAATATTTGACTTTATGCACACTTGCAGAACACAGTGGGTTCTCTAGCAAACAAAGACCAAGGCTCCTTGGTGCATGGAAGCAAGAATTAACATGTGGGTATAAATTGTTAGACAAGGCTTCAGGGTTGTCTTTAACGCAGGGCAAACGGGGCAGTTGGTTTGGCACCAGTTACTCCTGGGGGCCAAACGCAGCTGCCCCATTTGCCGTCTGCCCGCAACAATTTCTTTTATGGTTGCTGATCCAAAATTATATTATTGTGTGTCCGCACGCTATGGAGGGCCATAGGGTGGCCAATGCACTTAGGGCCACTTGATGGCATTGTATCCTCAAGGGCCCAGTCAGTGTGCGGCACAAGGTGATGATGTCCGCGCAGGGAGAAAGTGACAGACAATCACTTCCTCCCACCTAACACCGGGTGCTTTGCGGGATGGAGGTGAAGAGGAAAGGAGCAGAGGGAGAGCCTCTGACTCCCAATATCATCAGCCAGCCTTCGGATCCCAGGGAAGCCACCCTCCAGCACCTAAAAGGTAGGGTTGCTCTAAAAAAAATGAATAACGTTTTTGCACGTGTGTCTGATTGTATGTCTGTATGTGTATCTGTGTTTGTATTTGTGTCTGTATGTGAATGTGTGTATGTTTACACATAAATCTGTGTGTTTGTATGTATCTGAATGTGTATATCTTTGCGTCTGTAGGTGTCACTGTGTCAGTGTATCTATTTGTGTGTCAGTGTATTTGCATGTATGTCTGTGTCTTTTGTGTTTCAGTGTATCTGCATGTGTCTGTATCTGTTTATATGTATCCATTTGTCTGTATGTGTGTATCTGCATGTGTGTTATTGTGTGCCCCTGTGTATCCGAGTGTGTCACTGTTTTGTACCTGTATGAGTGTTATACTGTGTACTGAATGTGTTTTTTGTGGGGGGATGGAGGGTTGTTGGTGTAAAGAGTGTGATTTCATGCCAGGGAGTGAGGGGTACTGGGTCCAGGGGGCACAATCACTATTAAAGACAGCCCTGTATGGCACAGTTCTATAAGAAATGGGACCTTTTCCAAGTGATCCTGAGCTAAAAGCTAAAATGTGTTGGGCTTTACTCAACCTTTGCATCCTTTTTGCTACCGGGAACATTCTGTGGATAACATATTTGCTTTTTATGAGCAATTCGCGTCATACCCATGATAAATACATGGAAAGTGTAGAGAGGAAATCAGTCACACCTTTCAGTGTTAGAAAACAAATTAAAATATTATCCTCCATTTCCCCACCCACCGGTGTGTATCCAAACATACCCATATTCTTGTATCACAGCAAAGCAGGATTGTTGCAGAGACTATGTATCACCCTGTGCCCTGCCTCAGAGGAACTATAGGTCATGTTCTTTTCATCTCCACACTCCGAGCACTATTGCAACTTGCCAGAACTTCAACGAGAAAACTTTGACAGGAAAGCACATTACCTCTCCAATGACCCTAATGTACAGCGTGATCGCTCCCCCAGCAAGCAGCCTGATTGTCACATGGGCAGCCCCTCAGCAAGTATCCAGTGGGTATTAAACATTTGTAGCTGTTTAATTGAATTAAGAGAATCCCCAGACCACATAGACATCAAAATAAACCAGCAGACAAAAAATAGCTTATTTCTCATCAATTTTTATTTATTTTTTTATTTTATTTTTACAGTAGTTGAAATTAATTTTCACTAAAAGTTCATACACTCATTATCTAATAAAAAATATACAAACACTTTAATCTCTCAGTTGAAAAACAATATCATGTATTTATTTACTAAGGTACACACTGAAAATATACAGAGGCATATGCTTCTGTGTATTGTGTGTACTTCTGTTTTCGAACTAAATGTGGAGTGAAAATCAGACAAGTGGAGACAGAGACCATTTTCTGGCCTAAGCCACTCCAGTGCCATTGGGCACTTTAATGGCTAGGGTTCTCCACTTCATGTCTTAACAGCAGAGCAGACAAAGATTCTAAAAAAAAAACTATGAGGTCACATTCCAAGAGTAAACTCTTTGCATGGGCTGAATAGGTAATATCCATTCCTTGGGCAGTACTGCCCGTTGGTAGTAGATCTATGGGGTGGTTGGTTATAGTTTAACATTAAGACACATTCTTTAAAACTGCTTTTCAGATGTCTGTTTGCTACGCATGAGTCTACTTTAATATTTGCAATTATACATTCTATACAGTTAAAATCAAAAAGACAAGAGGTTGGAAGATGCAGCAGAACCTGTACAATTGGTAACATGGTGTCCATATATCAGGACTGAAAGATCTAATAAACAATCGAAATTAAAGACAGAACATTAAAAACAACAAGAGAACACTAGTAAATAAAGTGAACGATGGGTTTCCAATTTTAATAAGGTCCTCTTAACTAAACAAAAACAATACAACAACATTATAGATAGATACATACATATATGTTGAGCTAAACTATTATTTTAATCTACAATTTGTTCAAATCAAGCTTGTTTTTGGGATACATATTATACTGAAATCTACTTAGCCTTAGCAGAATAACAGAGATAATATCTGTCAATGGTAATTAAAAAGCGTGCCCCAGGCACCATACCCGCTACAGCAAACTGCAGTTTTTGAATGGTTTGACTTTTTACCTGGGGTCTGCTAGGGCCCATCATTTACCTCAACTATTGATCAATCTTAGACAATGCATTACAGGGTTTAACTCAAAAGAGCTAATGGAAGTTCCTGATTAAGAACGTCCATTTCTCAGACAATGGTAGTGGAGGTGGGGAGTCATTCAAAAATGGCTAAATCCTTCCCATGGGGTAGGGGAGCACTAGATTACTCCTGATGACACCATATAGCGATCTGTAGTGGTTTATGGTGTCTGGAGTGTTCATTTAACCCCTTAAGGACACATGACATGAAGTTTGGCCCTTAAGGGGTTAAAAAGGTATCAATCATGAGCAATTTCATATCACAATTGCCAATGTTTCCAAATGTCAAACTAAGGATTGTTTTTCATTAGATTTTTGTTTAAATATATTTTAATGTGAAAATCACAATAGCTTACTCTAGAATAACCATAATTGGCTTAAAAAAAAAATGTTGTAAAGATTTATAAAAAACTAGAAGTTTTGTTAAATTATACGGCATGACTCAAAGTTGACATCTGTTAAACATCACACTATCAGGGTTATTCATGAAAGTGAGGCTTCATCGCGAATAGCAAGGTAAAAACAGCCGAACCGGATACATTCTCTAAGTCAGCCAGGTTTCCAGTTTGATGTTTTGGCCTTAAATTTTAAATTCACTTTGAATTCTCACTTTAGTGCATGACCCTATAAGCCATTTTGAATGTATTCTAAAGAAAATGGCTAATATTTTTATATACGAGACACAATATGTCCGCAAGTACAAGAGTTTTCAAAATTTGATAATGTAAACATAAAGAACATATTATATTATTAAAAATGTTTTTGCTAAAAATATGGTTTATTTGCCTAAACATGTAAGACTTCTTAGATGTATGATTTTCCATCTGCAGCAGACAACATCTTGTATACTTATGCGACAATCAATGTTTCAATAGTCATATTCAATACTTAACACACAATTAGTCCAAATTAATTTGTTTACCGTGTATTAAGAACCAGGATACTATGCAACACTCAAGAGATTATCCCTTTGCAGTACACCAGCAGGTCATTCACTAAACTCCAAAATATGTCAATTTGAAATCTGCATCGCAAAATTTAAGGTAAAGTCGCCAAGCTGTGTCTATGGCAGAGTTGGAGAATGTGTCTAATTTAGCTAGATTAGCCTACTTTTTGATATCTGTACATCAATTCACTAAAATGTTAAGAGTTTAGCATGTTGTTGAACATTTATGGCATTTTTCTTGAAGGATAAAAATATTATTACAATTTGTATGAAAATAATTTCTGGACTGTGGAACAGCAGACAGTGTTTTACAGACAATTTCATGGACTTCCACAAAACAGTTTAATATGGATTAAATATGTTTATAAAAATATACATGAAAGCTCTTGCTTTATAACTGTGAATTTTATGAATCTATACAGAGCATTAAATCATATAATGTATTCCTTAAAGGACACGTGTGGATGTTATAAAATGTACTTTACACAGACACTTAAAAAGGACTTTCCTGTTTCGATATCTTCCCTCTATTCTCTTCAATTTTATTTATTTCTGTTTCAAACTAAAAATGTGGTTAAAGGAAAACATTTTACCTCAAAATATAAATTGGACTTATATTGTAAATCTTAAGGGGACATCGTAGGCACCATAACCACGCCAACTCATTAAAGTGGTTACAGTGCCTGGAGTAGGTGGGCATCATCTCACACTACCCTATCAAGCCCTTTTCTTACCATCTCATAGGGATGCATGGACCCTTGGTGAGGACAGCCATAATGACCGTAAGGTGACGAAGGAGAGTAGCTCTGCCTTAAGCCGTACCAGGCAGTGATAGATCAAGAGCTTCAATGTTCTCAGCCAATCACTGGTAGAGAGAAGGCAGTGATTGATTGAGAGCGTCAGATTCAGTATGATGTAAATTAACAATATTAGAAGCACAGCCTTATTATACAAACTGTTTTACAATAATTTATCCAATACGATCAAGGTCGTAGACATTCCACTACCAATGGTGGAACACATTAATACAAACATCTACTGAAGTTTGCATACAAGGGTCCACTTATACCAAAATTAGACATATACACATCAATTATAGATAACCATATATATTTATGGATGCAAATATCTACAACCTGCAGTGGCAAAATCTCAATACAAGGTGTGTACATCAAGTATATGTGTTAAATATTGTCTGACGTCAATAAGTTACTCCTTCAAGAAAAAAAAATACATATTATATACATAGTTAAATTACCTTATTTAAATACTCTTGATCCAAGTATCCAGATGTGCATTATATCAGAGAAGTTAGTAATTTAATAGATTGGGGATCACTAGCCTGTAATCCCCACATGATTCAGAACCTCAATTAGCTAAAAAGGTTACCCATGATTAAATATCCATCCTTATCCATAGAAACTCATTATGTTTGAGTAATTTTGTCCACAATAATTGTATATACCATGATAGTTATTCAGTAGCCCCAGCATGTTATTGAAGGTGTATCTAAAGAACGTATATTGCACATGCCTGATATTTTCTCTTTCTAAAATGTACTTATTTATTTAAAATGGACACTACAGTGAGGGTTATTCCTTAGATAGCAAGTAGCTTTGAATTGCAAACTGAAATGCAAAATTCAGGCTAAAATAACAGATTCACCAAGTCAGCTTGGTGTTCAAGATTAGCTATTTTTGCTTAAAATTTGACTTTTACTTTGAATTCTTTTTTTAAAATAAGCTGTGAGAGTTTTGTATACGGAGCAGAAAGGTAAACAATGAAAACTGCTTCTTGTTAAACACACTTTTGCACCATTGGTGGATGAGCAGAATTCATAGCAATGTAAACATTCAAACCTTTACTCAAACCGCATCTATGGAAACAAAGTGTCCGGAGAACATTTAAAAGTTATATTCTGTATTTTAGAAAAATATAAAAATATTCATGCACATTCTTCGGATTCCCTTAAAAAGGAAGCAGCTATACCTGGTCTATGTATAATTATTATTTTTTTAATGTAATGCAAATGAAGACCATAAAATACAATTATTTATATTTTTAGTTATACTATGAGCTCTTGATGTGTTTTATATAAGGATTAGTTACAAAAGTAACAGTGACAATCTATAATGTCTTTTTTTATTTTTTGTGAGATGTGATGTGAGATACACGTAGTTCTTGACCAAATATTTGGGTTTAGCATATTTTAAATACTACAGCCGCCTCATTTATAGTAATCAAATAACACTATAAAATGCATTTATGAGATTTTGCTGTAATTTAATCTCCTAAATAATCTGCAGAATTCACTCTGTAATTTGCATTGTATACTAGTCTGCAGTAAATAAATTCATTGAGAACCAGTTAAAAGTGGGATTTTTTTGACATAACGGCAGAATAAGCAAGTTAGAGCATAAAATAGGACTATATCGCCCTTTTCATCTTAGACATGTGTTTTTAAAGCTTTGGACAATCTATTGCTTGCTTTGTTGTGTATTGATCAATTTATGTATTGTACATGTGTGTGTGTATATAAATATACACACACATTTATTTTACAGATCCTGGCTGTGAAAGGAATCTCTTAAACTATAATAAACCGTAGTATATACACATCAAAATATTTATAATAAAAAAAATAAAAAATACAACTTGCTAAATCTAATTTGCTCTAAATCTAATTTAATCTAAAAGTTCTATTTCAGACAAACAAAGTTTTCCAGTTACTTCTACCTTTTATTGCCCACTTTGTGTTGCACATTAACAAACTGTATTTACTTACTTTTCCATTCAACTAGTGCACCCAAAAAAATAATCTATTGATCCCGTGCACAATAGTTTTACCTACAGGCTTTTAACAGATACCTAGGGCGACACAAAACTGTGTTCTTGGTAGACCAAAAAAATATGTTTGGTATAATTACAGGTGGAAAATTAGCCAACATTAAAGAGTGGTGTGTACATTATTGGATATTAAAGAGGGGAAGCCCACAGAGGAAGAACCAAGTAGATCTTTGGCTTGGATTTTCATATTTGGTCCAAGCTTAAATTCCATAAAATGGACTCTGTATGTGCAAAACGTTTTACACAATAGAAGAAAAGTAAAACTTAAGAGCTGCAAACATGGATGTGCCCCAGTCATATGACAAGTTGGTTGAAAAAGAAGAAAAAAAAACAAAAAAAGACTTAAAATAGTCCTTGGCCCATTATGCAAGTATGAAGTCAGCTGTTTATTAAAATTGCAGAAAAAGTTTGTAAAACAGTCAAATGTTACATTCATTTTGTAACAATTCTTCTCCTGAAGGTATCCACTCCATTGCGTATGTTGTTCTTGCACGGGCTAAAAAAAAAAAGGCTGGGATAACAGATTTAGGCTCAATCACAAAATGCCTACTAAGATGCATAATCTCTATGGGGGAAGGAAATGTTGTTGCTTCATGTGTTTTTATCTTCCTATGGTAGGCTCAGGGGCCTCCGCTATATGAATAATCTGCCTTATTGTGCATCACAAGCTTGTTGTCCACAAAGTAGAAACTGTCCGATTGTGTCTCATAGGGGTGTATGATCATTTCACGAACTGCAAAATTAAAAATAAAAGTTGAAGCAGGTGTTAAAATATATAAATACAAAAAAACTTGTCCTGAAAAAGCATACTAAGAGATGAACTATTTGGTGAAGAAATGTTACACCTTGGCATAAATCTTGTAGTGTAAAGAGTGTAATTTTATGTGTCAGTTATGCACAATTCAAGGTGTTGTTTTTTGTTTTGTTTTTTTAAAGCCACTAAAATAGTATTATTTTTTATTTTTTTTAAAGAGCGTAATTTACACACGTCAAGGATGATTGACATTTCCCGCGGGAAATATGATTATTTTATTTAAAATTATAACTTTATAAATCAGATATTGGATTTTCTGAAATAAAGTGATTTTTCAAAAATGTAAAAAAAAAATTGTCCCACTATACAACATAGGGCTCTTAGCTATATACCCAATTCTCTTTTGACTTCAGAGTGTAAGCTGATAATATAAAAAAGACCATAGAGTACGGCAATGTACATTTTTTTAGTGAACAGTAATTCAGGTAACTTAAAGGGACACTGCACAAAATGCAACTTTAATGCGTTTGATGGATTTTTACCTCATTAAAGGAGCACTAAAAACACGCCCACCATTAAATCTCTATTAAATTGTCTGGGAGCAATGGCCCTTTAGTTTTAACCTAGCAATGTAGAAAGATCAATGTTGCCATTGCAACGTTAATTACGCGTCTATTGACTGTCTTCCAGACAGCCATTAAAGGCGCTTTCCCTGTGAGAACAGAATCAGATTCTGTTCTCAATCAAATGTTGCTCCTCGGACATGTGCACTATTTTCCCAATTCCTGCCCATAGGGAAGAAAATATAGATCTCAGACAAGGAGGCCAAGCGCTGTTAGCAAAGTTGCTTTTCATTTTAGCGATGTCGAGGTACTCACTAAGATCCTCGGAGAGCTGTGGGAATTCATAGATATGTTCACATGTGTTTTTACTGCTCGGGATACAGAACCCAAACTCGAAATCAAAGCTTTTCAAGAGCTGATCACGAAAATAATGCCTCTCGATCATTCGGAAGTTATTAATAGGCTTATCACCAACTGTAAATTCAACACTGGAAAAAAACAAAAACATCTATTACAACATCAACAACAAAACAAAAAAAAAACTACATTTCTTTGTTAAGAACAATAAAAACCCAAAATATCAAACTAAAATGTAGTAATACTTTTGGTAATCTGGAAATGGGATATATAGAGGCACGGTAGCACGGATTCAAGAATGTGGACGGCAAAGGGGCTTTAGCAATCCGATGCATGTAGATAGGAACGTTATCAAAACAGTAACTACGAGAGCACTGGAGTACTGGTGCAAATGTACTGCAAATTATGCAATGTACATTAGAATATGTTCAGAGGCCAGTACAACATTATTTTGTTGTATTCCTGAAAATCAGAACACCAGAGGCATAAATCAGATACCCTAATCAGAGATGTTTTATCTGATAAACTACTAAGATGTAGTAGTAGTAGTAACATTTTAGGAGCCATGCCTCACTGGTTCTCTCCCAGGCCTCTTAAACATTTGCCTCAGGTTTACACAGTGGTTAAATTAACTTACGTGGCTCCAACTTGGCGTAGTCGAAGAAAAGCTGGTGTAAATTGGTATCTAACAAATCGGCCAGCGTTCGGGTCCACGTCCTTTTTATCTCCCTGCTCACGTTCTAGAACAGAAGAAACCAATTTAGCTTTTTACTCTCGTAAACGCTAAGCCCAACTGCAGCAGAAAGCAGCATAATTCATGGCAACTAAGGGGATGCACAAAAGATACAGCAGCCAAGTGGATATCTATACCACTACCAACCAGTCCATTTCTTACAAGGATACATGTTACCAACTAAGCTTTAAAAGGGAACAGTTATGAAGGAAAGAACCAACAGCAGTAGGGAGAGATTGCACTCTGCTTCCTCTGTAATAAGTAACCCAAACGGATAATCTAGAAGAACTGTCCATTGGAATTATGCAAATGATAGGCATATGAGGGAAGAGATTATGAGTGGGGAACTCACTGGTAACTTAAATATCAACGATTTGATATCTCCATCTCCTCGATTAAACATCTACTAGAATCACTGGATTCCTTGCATACTGACCGCATTCAAATCCAAATTACATCCAGGGACTCCCAACCTTAAAAGGTGACTTACAAACACTTCTGGATGTAATTTGCAAAATTATAGCCTTAGACATTTCCCTTATTAAAGAGGAACTCACTAGTGCCCCAGGACAACTAGGTGCACAGAAGTATTTGGAGGACCAATGTTCTCAAGTTTTGCTTCCACAGTGTTTCCATAAGAGCGTGGATTCTAGATTCGATACCAATAAAAAACGTGTGCATCTATGGCTAAGCGGAAAGAGTCAGCTGACAGAGGTTCCTTACCTTGTTAGGAGATTATGCTCTTCCTTCCTCACACTTGAACAAAACTCATCCAGTTTGACAGTAAAATGGATATTTACCTTGTTCAAAAACGTCGTCACACTGTTTGCAAATAACAACTTACGTTGTTGCGATTTATTGACCATTGCCTTTTTTTTTTTTAACAATAATTTGCGTACTACATATGTTTTTGAAAAAAATATGCAAAAACAAATACTTAAAAAAAAATAACTGTCAACTCTGAAAAACTCCACAATTTGTTTTAGAGATTTGAATAAATCTAAATATTTAAATGCATAAAGATGTGATATCTGTGATGTGGAATGTGAGGCAAAAGCCTGGATCATAAATGTACTTCCCTGCCCCAATCTCACTTCCCTCTCTCCAGACATGATAATGCCTCTAGAATCAAACTGCTCCCACTTCGTAACAAGATAAATGCATTCTATCCCTTGAATACTATGAAATGATTTAGTAAATATGTTTCACAGACTATACATTTTCTAAAATACCATTTGCCATATCAAAAACAGACTTTCAACACAGTAATTCAGCAGAAAAATATCTCCATCTAACATTTTGAGAATTCAATGCAATGAAATGAAAAGAAGCACTTACAGCATCAATCTCACCTCCCGGTGCATTAGGATGGGGTAAATTAGCCTCCTACATTACTGCATGGGATCAATGTATTTTTTTGTGTAAAAGCCCCGTAAAATATAACATTTTCACATAAAAGCCTTTCATCAGTTCCCAGCCAGTGCTATTATTTAAAAAAAAAAAAATGTATGAGATTGTATTTTCTGTGCACTTCTATTGTGCCCCAGCAGGTGGAGCTATAGGAACATGCAATGAAAGCTTCCATCAGTAACGTCATTTAATAGTAGTTTAAAGGACATATTTTCAGTCTACCGCATGTGCATGTCACCAGTTGGTACACATCTGTTCTGTCTGATTTAGGCAGCAAGTTCTGAGCTGACAGATTAAGGGAATAGGACACACAATATGACAGTTACATTAACATAAGAGTAGTTTGGGGTTATGGTACGAACCGTTTTAAAGAAGATACCAATGAAAAAAAATATATAAAAATCATTCATCAACAGAGCATTTACAAAACCTTATGTATTTGCAAACAATAAAAAACTAATGTCCTTTTATTAATGTGTCTTCAGTGAACTCAATAGCAACGTAAACACGACTGTGGTCTTTGTCAAGCTTGTATGTGGATTGGTTAGAAGAGGAAACTGGTTTCTGTGCACCCTATAGGTAGGTGATATTCCCCCTTGTAACATCCCTATGCAGGTTAGGTGGCTGAGATGCAAAGGAGGGTAAATATCGTGTTATTCCCCCTCTGGACAGAAATAACCCAAAAAAGTATTTGCAATGTTCACAAACACAGACTTCCCCCATTATAGATTCATATTGCATTCATACAGCGCAGCCCTTGTTCTCGCCAAAGTCATACTTTTCCTCTCTCAGTTCATGCTCCCGCAATCCCAGACATCTCTTTGACACCTTTAACTCTCTTCTCCGCCCTGCTGTGGCCACCCCTCAAACTGACATTACAGCTGATAGCTGTGCATGTTACTTTACGGGCAAGATTGAAAAGCTAAGGAAACAATTCTCCCCTCCTTGCCGTTCTCCTTCTCAACCACACATAGATCATGCCTTTCCTACCTTTCAGACTTTCTCCCAGGCTACTGAACAAGAGGTGGCTGCACTTCTCCATTCCTCTCGCCCCACCACTTTCTTGCTTAATCCTGTCCCGTCTCACTTTATCAGATCTCTCTCCCTTTGTCTTGTGCCTACCCTAACACATATCTTTAACTGTTTTCTCTCTTCTGGCACTGTTCCTGCTGACCTTAAACATGCCACTGTAGTACCTATCCTGAAAAAAACATCTCTTGACCCATCCTCCCCCTCTAACTATCATCCCATATCCCTGCTCCCTTTCTCATCAAAGCTTTTGGAAAGACTTGTCTTTACCCGTGTGTCTCGCTACTTCAATTCCAACTCTCTCCTTGACCCTCTTCAGTCTGTCCTCCACCCTCTCCACTCTACTGAGACTGCTCTTATCGAAGTTACTAACGACCTAATCGCAGCTAAATCCAAAGGTCACTACTCCATATTAATTCTCCTTGATCTCTCTGCTGCCCTTGACACTGTTGATCATGCTCTCCTCCTTCAAACTCTTCAATCGCTCGGTCTCTGTCCTCTCTTGGTTTTCCTCCTATCTCTCCCAACGCTCATTCAGTGTCTCCTTTTCCAAGGATACCTCCTCCCCTCATCCTGTCTCGGTTGGAGTTTCCCAAGGCTCTGTCCTTTGTCCCCTTCTATTTCTCTTTATACTGCCTCTCTTGGCAAACTTATTGCCTCTTATGGATTCCACTACCACCTGTATGCTGATGATACTCAGATATACCTCTATACATCTCTGACTGGATGTCCTCACGCTTTCTAAAACTCAATTTCTCTAAAACTGAACTCCTTGTCTTTCCTCCTCCTAATACTGATTCTCCTCTCTCGCTCTCCCTTCAAGTCAGTGATATCCACATAAGTCCATCCTTGCAAGCATGCTGTCTTGGCGTCATACTTGACTCTGGCCTCACCTTTGAGCCTTACATCCAGTTTGTTGCCAAATCCTGTAAGTTCCAACTTAAAAACATAGCTCGGATCCGCCCCTTTCTTACGCAAGATGCTACCAAGGAGCTTGTCCATGCTCTAGTAATTTCCCGCATGGATTACTGTAACCCTCTCCTGATTGATCTCCCCAAAAGCTGCATTGCCCTGCTACAGTCTGTAATGAATGCTGCAGCTAGACTGATTTTCCTCTCTAGTCGGTCCTCTCACACCTTAACCCTCTACCAGTCCTTACATTGGCTCCCTGTATCCTGTAGGAGTCAATTCAAAGTGCTAACCCATACATTTAAAGCACTGAACAATTCTAGCCCCTTATATCTCTTCACTGATCCATAGGTATGCCCCTCCTCGTTCCCTCCGCTCTGTCTGTGACCACCTCCTGACCGCTGCTCGCACCGGTACGGCCAACTCACACTTTCAGGACCTCTCGCGGGCGGCTCCTTTCCTATGGAATCAGACTCTCCCCTAGTCTTCAATCATTTAAGAAGGGCCTTAAAACCCATCTCTTCAGGAAAGCTTATGGCCTCCCAGACTAGCCTCTACCTCACATACCTATGGAATCTGTTGGCGCTATATAAATGGCAATTATAATAATAATAATAAAAACACACACACACATTCTCTCCCCCCAAAAAGTGAACTAGTAAGAATTGGCAGGAAAGAAAAGGTGCTAGTAGAAGTGTACAAGGTGGCTCTCCCAACACAAACCCTGTGAATAGGAGGGTGCAGGGAGCGGCCACCAATTTCTAGGCACCGGTCCTGGATCAATTGCTGCCCTGAGTTTAACTCCGCTGAGCTAAGCAACCAGGAAGTAACAGGATTGGATCTCTGATTGACAGCCAGGAGGGTGTAACACGGTCAGTTTATAAAAGTGCCAACTTTTATTGAAATCTACACTTTTTTTGCAAAATAACCAAGAGCACACTCTTCACAGATAAAGCAGTTCAGCATGCTAAAGTACCTTAGGCATTTGGAGTGTGCCTTTAAACACCAGCATAGTGCACAGATTAATGGCATACCTACTTGAAAATGAACTTGGGCCATTTACACATTACGTTTATGATGTATGCTCACCACAAATTGACTCAATATATTTAAATCAAGTCTAAACCCAATCAAAACTTGCCAACCTAGGTTGTTTTATTTCTCCACCTGAACAACTTTTGGAAGGTTTAACCCCTTAAGGACCAAACTTCTGGAATAAAAGGGAATCATGATATGTCACACATGTCATGTGTCCTTAAGGGGTTAAAGAACTTTACACTAAGTGCATTCAGGGTCCAAAACTGTAAGAGTTAGCTTTTTCATCTGAATGTGGCCCTGGAAAGATTTCTAGATGAACCCAGTGAGATGAAAAACCCTAAACATTATATCCAGCATTGAGTATCTAGTGAGCAACCTATAAATAATTTCATAGAATAAAAGCACGAGGTTGATTGCAAATTACATATTTGCTAGAAGACATTAGAAATAAAGATAATCTTTCTTCAAAGTTACGTTATGATTCAGTCAGTTGTCGATAATTCTACTCACCAGATGCGGGAGGTTTTGTGATTTCAAACAGTACAGTTCCGGATTCCATGTCGCGGATTTTAAACCTGGTAAAATCTATCTTGTAGATATTTTCTTCAGGTGTGCATAGGTAGTCTGCAAAATACAAAATTAGAGAAAGAGTAAAAAAATTTTTACAATTATTCATTTACATGTTAAAACATAACTACATATAAATGCAGTTTACAAAAGTTAATTTCATTGAAGAAACATTCCAAGCACCATAACCACTAGAGCACGCTGTGCAGGCACACAGGCGACTTTTATCTGCACAATAAATATTGATAGCGTGAACAGTTAATAGTGCTTTGTCCAAATCTTTACCCACAAGATAAAACATTAATACAACACCTGAACATCTGCAGTGAACAACAGATAACAGGTATTCAAAGAATACACACATATATTCCAGAGACAATACAACACATAGTTGCCAGGTGCTACTTGTTAGAAGGGCCAGCACACACTGAGAGGCACAACCAAGTTGCTGGAAATATCTGCACAGAATATGGGCTGGGCCTGCCTAAGTCAAGATGGGAGATACCACAAAGGTCGTTGAGAAGGACAGGGCTAAGATCCGGTGGGATTTACAATTCCAGACAGACAGACAAGCAAGTACTGGCCAACCAATCAGACATTGTCGAGGTATACAAGGAATGGTAGAGTGTGGGGGTGGAGAATGTGGAAATGCGCAATGACCATAACATCAATAGGAAGGAACTGAAAGAGGAGCTAGAAAGGATGTGGAAAGGAAAGGCAGTAGTAGTCACAGTTATAAACTGAGCACTCAGGGCCGTGACCCCCAAGTTGGGAGAGTGGCTTTCTGTCCAGAAGAGTGCAGTTCTAGGAATAGCTAAGATACTATGCAGAACCCTCAGACTTCCAGGCCTATGTTAGAGAATCAGAAAATGAGGACTACACAAGATACCACCCAGAGGGTTGAGAGAATCAATCTATGCCTAGCACTTGTCTTGGTATAAATATTGTCTTTGTGAGACCCATCATTCAAACACTTATTATCCATGCCAGAAGAAAATATGGTATGATGCTTTGATTACCATCCATCAGGGCACATTTGCAGAGGTTTTCAGAAATAATGATAGCTGAAGCTCATAAAGGTACACTAATGCTGAGGCTTTCCTCCAGGACTCAGCCCCAAACAGGTAGCCGGCAGTCAATCTGTATCCATACAAGTCTGTGCCATTAAAACTTTCGAGGAAGGTGGTAGTAAAGAGCCCAGTGTAGACCACTATAGAGCAATTTAGAAGCTTTACAGTTCTGTAATAACTTGGCCAACGATGTAACTACTTCTATATCATACCAAGACTAAATTAATGCCATGCCTACATTCCACAAAGACTCAATATATTTTTGGCATTTTAGGGTGTCTGTAGTCATTCACACTAAATGAAAATAAGACTAAAAATCAGACAACCAAAAATACTCTGAACTAAAATTGAAAAGTGGTGTTATAAATCAATATTAAATAGAGAAAATCTTTTTTTTTTTTAGTTGGAAAAACTAATGGTCAAAGTAATGATCAGATTTACTTTGAAACCAATTTCAGTTCACCAACAGCATTAAACTTTTATTTGTAGTTTATATAGAGAAATAAGAACCCAAGTCATTATTAGGATTTATTTAATGAAACACAAAAAACAAACTGGTAATACGGATATTGCCATGAAATATGAGAACTACAGAGAAAGGCCCTTTAACACCTCTAAAATGCTAGTCTGCTTGATTTAAAGGGCTCAGCTCTGTGGAGTTGGGCAGTTCTCCTCAGACCAAGAAAATGAGCAAACTCCCAACATGTTTAAACTGTCCATGAATATTATGGAGGTGTAGTGATCCGAGTCCATACAACAGCCAACAAACACAGAGTCATGACACCTGGGTTGATAACATAGAATAGTGAGTATAATGTCATCACAAACCTTTCACTGAGAACAAGATAACCTGGGGAGAGGTGGAAATCCTTGATAAAACAGGATTCCATAGTAAGCAATATCAGCATTTGATTTGAGTAAAGTGAATAGATCTCTTTGTCGTTTCACATCAAAATGTTGGTATGACCCAGTGTAGCACAAGTAAATAATTGTCATTAAAGTTACAGAAAAATATATTTATCAACTGGTTGATTTCCAGTGATCCTTGTGATCATGACACATTTCGTTTTAGAGTACATTCTTCATTTTCTTTGGTTTAGGAACATTTTAAACAAAACACTGCATTTAAAGCAAGATCGGTTTTACAGATAAATTTAGTTCACCATTGGCTTTTGTAGATTGACAATTTATCCCTGCCAAGTAGCAATTCACCTGCTAAGGTACAATCAGACTTGCAGCAGGTAGTCCTGGCTAGCAGTGTATGCCTTGTATATATACCATGTGTACACAATGTGATCTCTATTATAATATATATTGGAACATTTGTTGTTATAGCTATTGCACATACACTTTGTTCCTTTTTTTTTTCCTTTATGCAGATAAAAGCTATTGTTATCGACTGTACCATTTTGGGTTTTGTTTTGTTTTATTCATTTTCATTCATATTCATAAAAAAAAATACTGTTCTTTACTAAACTGTGCATTTATGATGCTTACTCATTTCTTATACTTTTGTTTGAATTACATGCTATTAATGACAAAAATATGTGGAAAAACACACACTTCCAGTCTTAGCCTCGATGGCAGACATTGTTTCTCCTTCAGCCTGATCTTATTATAGTCAAGCATATAATATATAATATATAATAACAAAAAAAACTATTACATTCTGTGAGCTTTGAAATAGTTTGTAAGTGAATGAGTGAGTGTGCTGGATCTTGAATGTATATTATATACACACACACACACTCACGTTAATATGCATAAGTTAATAGATATATTGTGTGTATATACACACACGCACACACACACACACATATATACATATATATATATATATACACACACACACACACAAAATTAAAAATTGAATATAATATATTTCTTCATAATAAAAAATTGGACTTTAAAGACCGTGAGTGCTGCCACATCGTTGGATGGGTATATACATACATACATACATACATACGCACACAGACACACACACACACACAATTATAAATTGAATATAATATATTCAATTTAATATTCATTAAACAGACACACACACACACACACACACACACACTAAAACTGGGGGAGAATATAGAAATTTTATTGAAATGGAATGAATAAACTGGGTCAGCAGGCTCTAAAACACAACAACAGCCAAGAGCAATAAATAAGAGAATTTTACTTTTTAATTAGGCAAAATAGAGAGCCTAAACCGGCTTAGCAAGAGATAAGCCACCTAGTCTTGAATTGCTTATGAATTGTTATTAGCTCTACATACAAACACCAAGATACTTGTCGGCAGAGATTGTTTTTCGTTTTACAACTACTGCAGACAATAAAAGGAATAAAATAAACTCGCTTCTGCTCAAATACTAAAAACAGATAACTGAAAAGGCTGTTTATGCACAAGTTAATGGATTTTCTATGTTGTGCAAAGACTATTTCCTAGACAAAACACATTAGCAGTTTCTACAAATGAACGAGTCTAACAATGGTGATATTGAGGTTTTTCTGTTTTGTTTTTTTTTACACAAGCAGCACATTCTAGGTCAGGCATAGGCAACCTTCGGCACTGCAGCTGTTTTGGACTACACCTCCAATGCTGCTTTGCCAGCATTATGGGTGTAAGGGCATTATGGGGGATGTAGTCCACAACATCTGGAGTGCCGAAGTTTGCCTATCCCTGTTCTAGGTTACTAGCATTGGGGAAATGATCAAGCACCAGGAGATGTGTGCTAGCTACAGCTGGTTAGCCAGGATCCAAATGTATCTAAAGGCTTTTTTCTCCCCCCATCAGGTTATTTGTAAATGCAGACTGACTGGTAGCATGCGGATGGTAAGCAGCTTTGCAGCTTCAGTAAACCTACATTCCTGAAATAGAACTGGCTTACAAGAGGCCACATCTTCATAAAGGCATGTGTGCTACGCTCCTCCCCGAGTACCGTTTCCAAAATGTTCAATTAACTCGTTTCAAATGCCCCCAAGTTAACGCTATTGCTACAGAAGTTACAGGAAGACATATCAGCTTTTACAGTGTAGAATTTCATTTTAATTTATTATATAGACTTTTTTTGCTGCATAGACAGAAAAAGAAAACTGCTAAATGCCCAGATTATCAATTTAAAGTGGAATATTCACCTCTCGGAAGTGACAGGTCCTTGTTCCTTCACCCCAGTAAAATTGATTTTAGCATTTACTGGTTTGAATAACACAGTGGGAGTAAGAAAACCAAAAACGCACTTGACAATAATCTGCACATTTTGTAGCTTTTTATCTGCAGCAGAGGATTGTGAAGAATAAAATGCAAGCTATCAATTTGGGATACAAAAGTCTCTTGACAGTACCGTTGCTTTGAGACTTAGATGTCAAATTTCTATGTAAAACCATTTTATGGGAACTGTAACTTCCAGGGTGTTTTTTTTCTTATTTTTTATTTTTAAATATTAGGTTTACATATCTCTTATATTTAACAAATCTAAATCTGTGAGGTGTGAAAAATTAAATTAAAAGGAGAAATTCACACCCCTTACCCTGCAATTGTGTGCCTTTATCTTGGTTTCCTGTCGGTCATAGCCATAAGCATGGGCGTCCACAGTAATTAAGGTGACAAGTGACAGAGAGACCCCTTTCCAGGACCCATTAGATTTCATTGTAGTCTCTAATGGGGCCTTGAGGGGACTCTAACTTTTAGTTTACAAATGAATGCAGCAAATATTCTTGAAAAATTAAAAAATACTGGACCAGCTAGTGGTGTCAAATGCTCTAGGTGTGCCCCTGTGTGCTCGAGCAGCTTCAAGTCAGACCAGCCGGGTAGAGGAAATAGAAGATCCTCTATGGTCCCCTTGAGGAGAGAAAGAGACACACAAGGGGGTAGTGGGAGGGGGGCAATGTGTGTGCAATCTGGTGCTGTGATCTCAAATGTGCTGTAGGTGCAATATGATGTAGAGGGTGCAATCTGGTGCTCAAGCTGGTATTGTTAATGCCACCTATTGTTGTGGCCAAATGTAACACCAAATGCAGATTCTACATTTATATAATTCAGTTATAGTGCCTTGATCATGGCTGTATGACTAATGTGTTGCATTGAATAGTGTTAACATTAAAACAGATTAGAAATGGCAACCCTCAAATCAGACAATGGCAACTTGATTCTTCTAATAAGATTTTGCATCAGGTTTCTCAATCAGTCTACATGTCTACGCTTTATGTGATAATGACTATGCCCGTCCCCTTCATGACACAGTAAAAAAGAGGCAGAGCATGGATGTCATTACAGTTATGCGGACGCCCATGGCCATAAGCGGTGTTCTTTGCACCTGAAAGTCAGCATAGAGAAAGCATATAAACAGAAACAGTATTTCTAATACCCTTCTCCATTTGAATTGTGTAGTCTCCCTGAGACCAAGCTAAACTGGATTCTCTGACATTTAACAGTAAAAGGAACTCTAGCATTAGGTGTACAAACATATACTCAATACACTAGCGCCCTAGTCACCATTTGGGTAATCCCCCCTCACTTCCCAAAGGGATAAAGAGATATTTTATTTACCTTTCAACCCATGCTCTCCACAGCTAACTCCACCATCTCCTTGGCTGGGATCATCAATCTTGATAATCTCACCCAATCCAATGCTTTCCTATAGAAGCATAACAACACTGTGCCAATCTGATGGCCTCTGAGATCATTTGATTGAAATAGCAACGTTTCACTTGGCTATTTCTGCAGAAGCGATAAGAGAACTTTATTTCGATCTTTATTTTTATTTCTAACTTATCTATTTTATAAGAATGATATATATCTGATTAAGTATTGGCTTAATACCAAACACCAAGTTTGTTACAATATGTCGATTCGTGTATCAGTGATATGCCCAAAATATTGCTGCATTGAATCAGATTTGATGTCATTCTAAGTTGTTTACATAGTTTTATCTGTACAAATATCCAGGTCTCCGTTTATATTACATTATTTGTTTTATAATATTGGTACTGTTGCATAATGGCGATATGTTCACAATTGTGATCTCGCTCCCATATGCAAGTCAGCATCAACTCTCTTGCTATCCACTAACAGAACGATATATGTATATACACATCCAGTACTTCACTTGCAATACCTATTCTGTTTTTACGTCACTGTTTATTCTTACTTTTATTTTACATTTTGTATCGCTCATTTTTAATGTACTATTCCTGTTTTAAGCACTCTTAGAAGGTTTTTATGTTAACTGTACTGATGTCTTCAATCAGTTGATTAACATAGCGTTCCAATAATTGTTATGCTATTATGGACTATATTTAAATCCCATTGAAACCTTTCACATCATCAGCCTCTGAAGAAGTGACATTTCCAGTCACGAAACGCGTAAGGCAGTTTACACAGAACAGAGACTCTCGTGGAGAAGACTAGCACTGGAACGCAGGAGCTGTTTCCCGGTTCTCCGGTGAAACAAACGCAGTGATCTCTAATCTTCATCTACATTGTAAGGACTGATTCCCCACTTTCAACCCAGCGAAAGTCTTTTCAATTTAAGAAATTTCAATCCTGCATTCTTTGGAGTTGGGATCCCTGCGTGTACACAGATATGCCTAGCATTCCCGAGAGCCTGTAAGTGTTTTAACCGTTGTGTCATTACTAATAAAGTATCAACAGAGAACACTATGTCTCCTACCTTCTGACCTTTGTAGATTTCAAGACAGCACCCAATAAAAGAGACCACCATATGGTCAGGTATTGTTGAAGAAGACTTTTGTACCTATTTTCATTGTTGTTTATAGGTTAGAAAAATACCAGCTTCAAATTATTATTAGTAAAAGGAGTCTGCTACTTTGAGAGCTGATACAATTTTGCTATAAGAAAGTACTATTCATTTGGTTACAAACTTTCAGCATTTAACTGTTTTTAGATGTATAATATAATATATATATATATATATATATATATGATTTGTTATCTGTTTATTTACAATTATTGGGATTGCATTTTATCCTTACTGTATAATCTGTATAATCACTATTTTCTCAGTTCACTGTTTAGTTAACAGTGCCCTACCTTTCCCCAATTTGGGCAGCGCTCCTCCTGTATATATATTTGACATGTTTACCAATTTTTTTTATGTTTCTTGTGACTTCTTTCTCACTATATATTTCCTGGTACGTTTAGGATCTAGTATTCTTCTATACACAATTTTTCAAGCCTTTTTATACCAGTAGAGATTTATGTGAGTTAGAAGCTCCCTTTAATATAATTTTCTAGAGTACTCCACGTTCATTAACAAAACTCTCCACTCAATTTGGACAGATTAACTCCTGTCCATATTATTACCATAAAACCTGTACATGGGGGGTGCTGTTTTACTTGGGAGACTTGGCTGAACACAAATATTAGGGTGTCAAAACAGTAAAACATATCACGATGATATCATCAGTAAAAATGCAGTTTTTTTGCATTTTCATACAAAAACTGTATGTTCACTGACGATATAATTGTTGTGATATGTTTTACTATTTTAAAACGCTAATATTTGTGTTAAGCGAAGTCTTTTTAGGGTGTTTTCAAAAGTTACTGAGTCAAATATAAGGCTTGCGTTTCCTTTTTTTCACATTGAAATTTGCCAGATTGGTTATGTTGCCTTTGAGACCGTATGGTAGCCCAGGAATGAACATTACCCCCATGATGGCATACCATTTGCAAAAGTAGACAATCCAAGGTATTGCAAATGGGGGATGTCCAGTCTTTTTTAGTAGCCACTTAGTCACAAACACTGGCCAAAATTAGCATTCAATTTAGTTTTTTGCATTTTTCACACACAAATATAAACGCTAACTTTGGCCCGTGTTTGTGACTAAGTGGCTACTAAAAAAGACTGGACATCCCCCATTTGTAATACCTTGGGTAGTCTACTTTTGCAAGTGGTATGCCATCATGGGGGTAATTTTCATTTGTGGGCTACCATTTGGCCTCAAATGCAACGTAACCAATCTGGCGAATTTCAATGTGTATAAACTGAAAAATGTAACACGCTATATTTGACTCTGTAACTTTTCAAAACACCATAAAACCTGTACATTGGGGGTACCGTTTTACATGTGAGACATCGCTGAAGACAAATATGTGTATTTTATTGCAGTAACAGCTAACAGTATTGTGACATTCACGGTAAAATTTCTCATTTTTAAAAATATTTTATTGATATTAAATTATGTTTAATATACAAATATTTGATGTGACATGAAAGCCCTGTTTCTCCTGAACAAATTATATATGTTAAGTGTGGGTGCACATAATATGAAAAAGGTGAATTACACCTGAACAGACATAGCGCAAATTCAAGGTTTTGTTTACATTTTGTTTTGATCACAACTTGTACAATTGGCTCAGTCCTTAACCCCTTAAGGACAGCGGGTGTTCTATGTGTTTAAAAAAAATTAGCCCTCAGGCAGTCACTAGGGCTTTTGGATAGATGAATAGATAAAAAAATATTATATACTTACATTTGGCAGGGGCCAGGAGCTCCCACTGCTATGCTCTCTCTGTTACTTCCAAGGTGGCTTCTTGCTTCTCTCTTCTGTGGGCACTGTAAACCCACCCCCTGGTGCTATGAGCCAATGATGACCCCTCAATAGAGAGGCCAATAGCATGCCTAGCCGGTGCAACTCAGTGGAAACTTCTGAGATTCCCACTTAAAGGACACTAGGCAAGTGCAAAACCTGCTGAAACAGGGCAGATTTCAAACCATTTTTTGACACACCTAGATGTTCTCAAGTAAGCTTCTCAAACCGCTACCACTGAAAACACATAAAAATAAGAGGGGCGCTGCCCAAACTGATCCTATGGATAGCACTGGAAACAAACTCTGAAAGCTACATATAACCTATGAATAAGCGTTACTTTAGAAATTTGTTTGTTTTGTTTGTATGGTACTGTGTTTGTGTTATTGCCACTTTGAAAACATTGTTTGAAAATAACCTGATACTTACAGCATTCTATAAAATCCCATTGTCTTTTGCGTTTTTGTAATGAATCAGACCTAAAATACTAGTCAATGTACAGTACACCAATTATTATAAGTCCCTGTAATTAAAAACAACAACATGAGTCACACAGGAAAAACTTGGCATAAATGTTTTTGTCCTCTCAAGTCTGCCAAACAGACAATAACCTCTTTTATATAAGAAATAAGTAGATATAGCCCACCCTTCACAGTTTTTTTTAAATAGGTATGTAATATGTTTTGTAATACACGTATTTAACCTGACTGCATATAGTTATGTAAATTAACCCCATAATGGCATACCATTTGCAATAGTAGGGGGACCCCCCTGATCCCCGTAAATATAGCAAAATCTTACCTTTTTTCCCAGTCTGTTGCTGCTGGCTCTTCCCCTGATCTGCCTGCTTGGCTGACATCATCAGAAGTGATTGTCAGAGAATGTCCAGGAGGCAGATCAGGGGCAAAGCCAGCACAAGCCGAGCACAGCCCTGGCCAAGCAGCACCTCCTCATAGAGATACACTGAATGTCTTTGTGGGCTGTGATTTCCTCTCCAGCTTAGCCCCTCTTTGCAAAGTCTCATTCCACTACACAATTAATAGCACAGCCCCCCATATTGATGATGCTGTAGACATGCTCTCTCTCAAACGGACGAAACTCATAAATTGTCTTAGCACAATGTATAGCTAGTCTGAGGAACGAAGATGAATTAGAGACGAAGCACCACGACAGGAACCCTTTAACATCAGCGCTCACTTGCATCCACTTTAGCGTTTACCATTTTGGAATGTGGACAAAAAGGCAACTTTTCCAATTACTTGGCATAGCAACTCAACTGTCAAAAAGTTCATAAAGTGTATTTACATCACCTGCAATCCTCTGAGCCAGTTACCTTTAAAAGTTTATTGACTAAACAGAGAATTGTATGGAATTTGTTGAAAATTAAGCTGAAAATTAAACAACTTTGCTACAGGTACAGTTTGGCTATTTTAGCTTTTGAATTTCAATTTCAAGTACAAATTACTATACAGGGTTACGCACACAAAGAAAAATTACAAGTGAATTTCAAATTTGACGGTTATATTAAAAAAAGCTGAAATGCTAAACTAGAATTCACTTTGAATTTACACTGAATTCCTGACAAACACGCACCATGCTTAAAGAACAGCTTTAATGTTTATTTGTACTTATATGTGAATAAATGTTTATTTTCTTATAAGATGTACTGGGGGCTTCCAGTTGCTAACATGCAATTTACACCCAGCTAAAGTAGGTATAAACTAGAGAGAATTAGCAATTTCTTCCAATCTGGTGCTACTTTTTACAATCCAACATGAAAACCAGTTGTTATACAGCACCAGTGTTTCCTATTAATCTATGTGGTAGATGTTAAAACATATTGCAGCCACTAAATGCCAGTCGTTAAAAGTTAAGTTCTGTAGCATGGAGACAGCCGGCACTTGTCAACTTTACGAGCAGACATTTTAGACATTTTAACTTAACAGTGACTACAACATGCATAGAAATTAGCCCTTTAAAAGAACTTAGTGGTGTACTAGCAAAATGGTTTACTGATTTATTTAACCAATCATTAACGGGAGTAGTCCCAGAAGATAGAAAATTAGCGAATGTTGTTCCAATTCACAAGAAATGTAGTAAGGAGGAGTAAGGAAACTATAGGCCACTAAGCCTCGCTTTATTAGTAGGGAAAGTAATAGAAACCATGTTAAAGGATAGGATTGTTGAACATCTAAAAATCACATGGATTTCAAGATCGGAGAAAACAAGAATTTACTTCAGGGAGATTATTCTTATTGAGTTTTTTGATTGGGTAACTAAAATAATAGATCAAGGTGGTGACGTAGACATTGCTTACCAAGATTTCAGTAAGGCTTTTGACACTGTTCCACATAGAAGGCTTATCAATAAATTGCAATCTTTAAGTTTGGATTCCAATATTGTTTAATGGGTAAGGCAGTGGTGCAGGCAACAGAGGGTTATAATCAATGGAGTATATTCAAAGCAAGGTCTAGTTACCAGCAGGGTACTTCAGGGATTTGTACTTCATTTTTTCAATATTTTTATTAGTGATATTGCAGAAGGTCTTGATGGTAAGGTATGTCTTTTTGCAGATGATACAAACATTTGTAACAGGGTTAATGTTCCAGGAGAGATAAGCCAAATGATTTAGGTAAACTGGAAAAATTGTCAGAGCTGTGGCAACTGACATTTAATGTGGATACGTGCAAGATAATGCATCTTGGGCGTAAAAACCCAAGGGCAGAGTACAGAATATTTGATACAGCCCTAACCTCAACATCCAAAGAAAGGGGTTTAGGAGTAATTATTTATTTTAGATGACTTAAAGGTAGGCAGACAATGTAATAGAACACCAGGAAATGCTAACAGAATGCTTGGTTGTATAGTGAGAGGTATTAGCAGTAGAAAGAGGGAAGTGTCCATGCTACTGTAGAGAGCACTGGTGAGACCTTACTTAGAATGTTGTACACTGTACTGGAGACCATATCTCCAGAAGGATATTGATACTTTAGAGAGTGTTCATAGAAGGGCTACTAAACTGGTTCATAGATTGCAGGATAAAATGTACCAGGAAAGGTTAAAGGATATTAACATGTATAGCTTGGAGAAAGGATGAGACAGGAGAGATATGATAGAAACATTTAAATACAGTAAGGGAATCAACAAAGTAAAGAAGGAGAGTATATTTAAAAGAAGGAAAACCACAAGAGGACAGTCTTAAATTATAGGGGCAAAGGTTTAAAAACAATATCAGGATGCATTTCTTTACTGAGAGACACAGGAGACAAAGGTATTTAGAAAATTAGGCAGACTAGATGGGCCGAATAGTTCTTATCTGCCGTCAGATTCCATGTTTCTACTGCAACAAAAGAAATACGAAAAACCTTTACAGATTTGTTTTATACATTTTTTGTAACGTTTGTTAAACAAATGAGGCATCTGTACTTCAAAAAATTATTTAAGACTTCTATTTCAGCAGAACAGGGATATATAACTGGGGCAAAACTTGACCTCAACCAGTCTCTGGTCACTCCTCTGACTTGGCCCTAGTCCCGCGGTAGACTTTACTCCCTTTATTACTATCTAGACTTAATATGTGCTCTCTGGTCTCTTTCAGCTGCAGTTCCTCCTTTTGTTCTTTTGACTCTATCTGGTCCTTGTTTGAATGATTCCGAGTCCTTGCCAGGATAGAACACTGTACTCCAGGGGAAGTTCTTTGGATCATTTAGGAAACCAAAACACAAATGTGTAAGAGGGTCATTTCCTGCTGAGGATTCTGTAGTACAGTTGGATAGTTCCAGTTTGTGAGGGGAGTGTGTGGACTAGAGATACATCTCTAGGGCACACAGTGCTTGAGAAGTGCCCCAGAACTTTACTATTTCAAACAGGCAGAGACACTTACAAGGTGAAAAAGACAGGGCTTTCTTGCTCAACAATGGCATCTGGAATCAGGGTACATCAGGTTGCAGACAGGGGCCTCCTCATGAGGTCTACTGCTGCACTGCCCAACTATAACTCTTATGGGTGGTCTCTACTCTCCAGCTTGAAGCTCTAGTCCAAGCCCACGAAAGATCTGAGGCCAATATATATTTTGCAAGAATTATAACTCTTGGTGCTTTACAGTCAAATATCTGGGGATTCCAACAACAATGCCTATTCTGCACAAAAACCCAAATGATTTCCTAGAACCCACATTAAATTACGGAAAGAAAATGTGGGTGAGGAATAGAGGAACTAGCTAAAGCTTTAGTAGTGCAATGCAAATTAAAGATAACTATATAGGTACATAAACATGGTTGGTAGTGAAGGAGTTACACATTGTGTCTCTCTAATTTACACTATTATTTGCCTGTTATATATAATATTTCTTCATACGGTTCCGACGGATTTGCTTTGCAGTCTGATTTGATTTATGATGAGCGACGAAAGGCTAATTAAAATACACTGGGGGAGACATTAGTGTATCTGGTTGAACAGTCTTGCTTTTGATGAAATCATAACAATGACCTACAATAAGGTCTAAAAATGTAGAATGTGTACATGTGTAAATGCACATGTATAAGTCTTTTAAGTAGGAATATTTGCTTGTATTTTTTTGTCTAAAAAACTAAACAAAAAACTCAACTGTGGATCCATTTACTCCACTTTAAGTCATTAAGTTACTTGTATATTGGTTAAGCACCTACTGGAACTGATCCTACTGCTAACCAATTTAAACGATAAATATGAACAAAAGGACCATTGTATTAATATATGCATGTCGCAATTCCTTGAAATACATATTTGATACACATTTATAATGAAATTTTGCAGTCTCCCTGGCAGCTTGCCTTTTTTTAATTTCTGGCAATGCATTTTCTAATCACACAAGAGCATCATTTAATTCATGTCTTTATTTTGTTTGGAATACGTTTAATTGGGAACAGATTGCTAATTTGAGTATGGTTCTCCCAGGTCTATGTGCAAAAAAAAATGAAAAACAAAGGGAAAGAAATAAGAAGATTTCTTTTCATCTGCCAAGCTGTCAGGAAGTGTCATAATCCGATTTCGAGGCACAAAGGAGGATAGAGCTTTGAGACCACATGTAGAAAAGGTCGGTGGTGAACTTACATCTCTTGTGCCAAGCCTAAATACCTCTCAGTTTAGTCTATAGCAACATCAGGTCGATGAGAACCATTGTATAAATACTGGGTGCGCTGGCAAATCCCAATAGGTGAGCATTTACTCACATCAGAAGGAAAAGGCACTCTTCAAAGTGAGGCATTTGCATTTGTTTGTGCCCAGGTTAATTACAGAATGTTTTCCAACAGAATCATCCTCTCCTGGCACCATAGCAACAGATCAGTTCCTTACTCTGGCAGTATCTGTTGTCATAGAAACAGTGTTGGTGGATAACAGAATGGAAAGCTCTCATCCTCTTCCTTAGTACACAGCCTAGACATGCAGGGTTTTCCCCTCTGGGAGAGCACCCTATCCTCTTATGTTTGTTTTCCGTTTTGTTATTTTTGTCAGTTTTGACAGAAGTGCTTCTTTCGTCACATGTACACACAGACGTACACATAAATAAGCACACACCCATATATAGTTCCCATATGAGTCAAAACAGCAACATTGTGTAATGTTGGACACCAGCCAGTATGTTACCAAAACACATGAACATTTCAGGTATGTCGATAGTCAAATCTATATTTTGTTTTGTTTTGGTGATGCAAAACAATGTACATTACCATGCAAAATGTTAAGGTTTTTTCAGTTAGGGTAGCAAGAGCATTTATCTCATAGTGTATTATTTCTACGTCCCCTCTATGGCGTTAGCTTTGCTGTTTAGCTAGATTGATAGATAGATGTAAGGGGCCTAGCAGAACTCCTGAAAAATAACCCCATACCATTATCCCTCCTCGAAACATAGACACATAGAATGTGACGGCAGATAAGAACATTTCGGCCCAATTTTCTAAATAAACTCTACAGTTGGCACAATGCAGTCAGGCAGGTAACGGGCTCCTGGCATCCGCCAAACCCAGACTTGCCCATCAGATTGCCAAACAGAAAAGTGTGATTTGTCACTCCATAGAACACCTTTCCACTGTTCCATAGTCCAGTGGCGGTGTGCTTTAAAACACTTAATCTGCTTGGCATTGTGCTTGCATGCAGTTCCCGCTGCACATTTTTTGTACTGATATTATTGCCAGTGGGAGTTTGGAACTTTTCAGCTATGGAATTAGAGTGTTGGTGACTTTTACGCACCATGCGCATCAGCATTCAGTGACCCTCTGTGACTGTACATGGTCTTCACCTTTGTGGCCGAGTTGCTAAACGCTTCCACTTTTTTCACATTTTAAAATTAGATAAAAAAAATGTAAAATGAAAATAAAGAATGTTCACATGTTGCTTTATGTTATCGGCCTCTCTCCCAATAAAGATATTAGAAATGGGGAGAAAGACACTGTCTCCCCAACTCCTCTCCTGGCATATTATTATCAGCCACAAACAACATGTCCCAGTGCTGACCTAAGATTAAAGAAACTTTAAATGCATTTCCATGACACATATTTCCTCCGAATAAGCTTCCTACCAACAAATGTCCTTAAAAATCCTTTCTCCCAATGGAACTGAGGCCCTCTGACACCTGCTACTGGTTGCAGTTCAAAATTTGCTTGGCACTTATTTTTAGACAAAATGTTCTTTTCCCTTTGTAGTGGTTGGGCACTTTGGCAAACTTAATTGACCAGAACACTGTGGACACCATATATACTCCCCCTTAACACCGACATGCAAACCTATATTTGGTAACCTCCTGAAACAACTTCTTAGAGGCAACAACTTATTAGTAGACCACCCTGGTTTAGCTAAATTTTTTTTTTTTTTTTAAGTCTTTTATTGTCAAAAACGCATATTACAGAGTTAGATAATAGCCATATATGGGAAATACATGGTTTGAAATAATAGAGGAAGGTTACACGTGTTGGGTATAGGTCTATTCTGTACCGTCCTGAGTGGTCAGGGGCTATGACTATTCAGGATAAACGTGGTGGTGGAGGGGGAGGGAATGTCGTCTAGTCCCGTTGGGTCTTGTCATAGTGTGTGGGTCTATCACTCGTCACTTTGCAGGGTGTATATCCGGTCTTCATAAGGCCAGTACGTCGTGCCCACAGTGTGGGCTGGGCTTGTCTCATTGTTGAGGTAGTCAAACTCTCGTTCTGAGAGTGTGAGCTGCGTGATACTCTGTACGTGTTCAGTTAGAGTTATGATACTTGAGGGTGGTAGCTGATGACCCGTTTGGACCGTAAGCGTGCATCTCTTGTGCGTCTCATCCTATTATCGTCATCTAGTGCGGTTGATGGCTGGGGTGAGGGCCGACAAGAAGAAGAGGGGGGGACTAGAACTAGGGGTAGGAAAGGGTGGGGAGGGGTGGTCTCGGACAGACCGGTGCTGAATCTAGACCGTCTCGTTGTATGTGAAACGGTGGGCAATCTCTAATGTAGTTTTAAGTATGGATGTGAATCATGGGATCCGGTTTGGTCATGAATTTTTCCCAGGGGCTCCACACCTCACGAAAGAGTGGGTATGTGTGTGTTATGGATGCATGAATTTCTTCCATGTCTTTAATCCCATCTACCTTCGTGATCCATTCTCTGATTGTGGGGGTCTCAGGGTTTTTCCATTTTGCGGGAATGAGGGCGTTGGCCGCTAAGAGTAATTGTGCTACCAGTGTACGCATTGGCTTCGGTAGAGGCGTGTGCGGGAGCAAGAAAAGTAGGGATTGGGGTGTTGTGGGGAGCGTCAGCCCCGTCACTATCCTGACCATAGACAGTATGTGGTTCCAGTATATTTGTATGTTAGGGCAGTGCCACCATATGTGTGCTAAGGTCGCCCCCTGTTGATGGCATTTCCAACAAGTACCCTGGGTCTGTGGGAAGAGGTTATGTAATTTCGCCGGTGAGTAGTGCCAGCGAGACATTCTCTTGTATCCACTTTCTTGTAACCTGTTGCAAATGGAGGTTTTGTGGATTTGTGTAAGTATAGTTTTCCACTGGAGTTCTGAGAGGGTTATGTTAAGGTCCCTCTCCCACGCCTCTGTGAACCTGGGTATCGACTTATTATGGTTGTCTTGAATAAGTCTGTAGAACGTCGATAGGTGTTTGGTTTTAACGTTCTGTGTTGTACAGTGTATTTCGTAGTCTGTGAGTGTGCGGGAACCTGTTTTTAGTATAGGGTTGGACTCTATGAAGTGGGTCAGTTGTACGTAGTGGAAAGTTGTCAGGGTAGACGGTTTGTCTTGTGCTGTTAGTTCGGTGAGAGGGCGGATAGAGTTGTTGTCTAATACTCTCCTCAGTGTGAGATAAAGCGCATCGGCCGAATCCTGTAAATTTTGATAGGTGTCCTTCTGTAGGCCCGGTGGAAAGAGTGGGTTGTGTGTGATTGGGTATAAGGGAGACGGGTGTGGGGAGATGTTCGGGAGTTCTCTTATACGTGACCAAACCTTGAGTGTAGGGAGGATTGTGGGGTGGGAGGCATGGTGGGTAAGTAGCGCGGTCATGTTAGTTCTTTGCCACGGTATTGTGTAGAGGGGTACCGTGAATGCAGCGCTTTCAAGCTTTCCCCATTGCCTTGCCGGAGGACTAGTGGTCCATTCATATATCCTGGATAGGATGGCGGCTTGGTGGTATCTTTCCATGTGTGGTAGGCCTAGGCCTCCGCTGGCTTTGTGTTTGGTTAAAATTTCGTAGGGGATTCTAGGATGTTTATGTGCCCAGATGAAGGTGGTGAAAAGTTGTCTTAATTTGGTGAAATATGATTTGGGTATAGTGATGGGCAGGGTTTGCAGTAGGTAAAGCACCTTGGGGAGTACTGTCATCTTAAGGATGTTAATCCTACAGAGCCAACTAAATTGCGGTTTGTGCCAATCGTTAAGGTCTTTATTAAGGGATTGGATAAGGGGTTCAAAGTTTAGGCTGAATGTAGATTTTAGGTCTGCTGGAAGGTGGACTCCCAAGTATGTGATGGCCTTGTCAGCCCATGCGAACTGGTACAGGTGTTGCAAGCGCTGTTGCCTAGGGGGTTCGAGTCTGATAGGTAGAATTTCGCTCTTGGAGAAATTTACTTTGAAGTTGGATATTGTGTTATAGAGTGAGATCTCGGCCAGGAGGGGCGCCAGTGATGTGTCAGGGGAGCCTGAGGTGAAAAGCAGATCGTCGGTGAATGCCGCGACTTTATATTCTGTCTGTTGTACTACAATGCCCTTTATGTCTGGGTTATCTCTGATGCCATTTAGAAAGGGTTCTAGGGTGAGTATGAATAGGGGGGGGGGGAGAGGGGGCACCCCTGTCTCGTACCGTTTCGAATGTGGACAGGGTCAGACAGTTGTCCATTGATCCGTAGTTTCGCCGTAGGGGTCGAGTAAATGGCTTGTAGCCACCTGGTCCATTTAGGTCCTATTCCCATTGTTTTCAGGGTCGTCAGGAGTAATACCCAGTCTACTCTATCAAACGCCTTTTCCCTGTCGATTGACAATAATAGGCTGTCTGTCTGAAGGCGTTGTGCGTGATAGATTAAATTCAGGATTTTGGTGGTATTATGTTTGGCTTCTCTATTTGGGACAAATCCGGCTTGGTCCGTGTGTATGAGTGTGTCAAGCAGTGGTCTTAGTCGGTTAGCCAGTATTTTGGTGAAAATTTTGAGATCTATATTAATTAGGGAGATTGGGCGGTAACTTCCGCAGTTAGTCGGGTCTTTTCCTGGCTTTGGAATGAGAGTTATGTGGGCTTCTAGGGCAGAGGCGGGTAGAGAGGCGGTGAGAGCTACTGAATTAAAGGCTTGTTGGAATGGTTCCGTCAGGTCATTTGTGAATGTCTTATAATATTTAGCTGTGAAGCCATCAGGGCCTGGGCTTTTCCCCAATGGGAGTTTGCGGAACGCTATTTGGGCTTCTTCTGGGGTGATTGGGGCTTCTAGTGCCTGGAGTGCGCTGGCGGGGATGGTCTGGTGGATTCTAGAAGCGAGAAACGTTTCCACTTCGTGTTCAGGTGGGGGGGAGTCCCTGAGGTTGTATAGTTCCGTGTAGAAGGCTTGGAAGGACGCTAGAATGTCTGGTAATTTATGCGATACGTCTCCGTGTGGGGTTTTGATTTTGGATATGAACGTCATTTGGCGTTGGTTTTTTAGGGCACGTGCTAGGAGCCGACCGCTTTTCCCACTTTGGGCGTAGTAGGTGTGTTTGGTGCGTAGGAGGGAGTGTTTAACTTTTGCATTGAGTATATCTCGCAGCTCTGAGCGATTGGCTGTGAGTGTCGTGTAAGTAGTTAGCCTGGTATCACGTTTGTGTAGGTTCTCGAGATCTCTAATTTCGGTCGTGAGGGAGTGGATTCTTGCTTCTCTGAGTTTTTTAAGTCGTGACGCCTTGGCTATGATTTCACCTCTAAGAACACACTTGTGTGCTTCCCATACTATAGACGGGGATGCGAGGGGAGTAGTGTTTTCGGCGAAGTAGAGTTGGATGGATTTCCGTAGCTCATCTACGGTGTCCGGGGCGTTGAGTAGCAAGTCATTGATGGCTTAGCTAATTTAACTTTCCGCCATAGCCAAATTTTAGAACCCCTTAACTTCTGAATATCTTTTCCACCTTCAATTCATCCCTTTTTATTTATCCCCTTTACTTCCTTGTTTCCTAAGCTTACTTTAACTTTACTGTTAAATCAAAGTGCATTTTATATATTCTGGATTTTAATTACTCATTATGTTTAAAGTTTCTTATCTAATTTAAACAAAAAACAAAAAACAGAACACAGAGCGGTGTGTTAATGGAAATTAATACTATCTCGGGTGTTAACAACTCTGTGTCCGGTCTTGTGGTTTACTAGGATGGCATTATGTTCCCATAAAATATGCTTCAATCGTATAGGCGCCATAGATCCAGATTTACAGGAAGTTACAGAAAGCCAACAAACCTGAATTTCTAATCAACATTTCCCAATCAACATTTATCAGACTAAAATCTGTCTATTTTGCTCAAAAAATGAATTTCAACTATAAAATGGTTTCTGATACGTAGGTATATGCCTAGAATTGCAAATATGGGGCCTTAAAGCTTTTTCCGGTTTCAGGGGATGCCATCAGCTTTTCGATGCTTTGGAGTTACAGTCTAATTATCTTTTGAGGGCAGGAATGACACACAGGATGGTACAGAACACAAGCAAGCTGGAAAGAAAATACTGAATGCTATTTACAGATATCCCCAAGAGCAGATAACACAAGGGATAGCTTTAATATACATTCATTTACCAGCCCAGAAAGGAAAAAAAAAGAAGGCATGACGCAATGTAGGGCTTGCTAAATACATGCCGTTAACGAGTTTTAAGTGGGCTGACAGTGCTAATAACCACACAGGGCAGAAGGGTGACTATATAAAAGGAAAATACACAGAATATATGCTAAGCAACACGGTCACATGTGTAAAATAGTGGAAATGTTTCTCAGCTGTCTTCACAGATGTTGGTGGTAGCCACGTGGGCGGGTAGTAACCATTAGCCCTGACTACTGAAATGCTCTAATTAGTGTGTTTACGGTTTGAAGAAAATAATGTGGCTAATACAATATGGTTTATCATATGATACGTAGTCCAGAGGGTCGTAATCGTTTTTGACAGAGGCACAAACAACATACATGGCATTAGCAGAGTGACCCATTTTTATATGCAATAGTTTTATAGTAAGCAAAACAAACCATTCTATATGGGACAAACGAGTTCTCACAGCATTAAAGAGAGCTATAATAGAAAACTTGTTATTTTTGAATGTTGCCTGACGGCTTACGCAAAATATTTATTTGAACCTATTAGGATCCTCAAATTTGTGGCCCAATATAGCACATAACCTTATTTTGACATCTCAGATTGTAGTCGGGAAGGTCTACAAAAGGATAATCATGCAATTCTACAGGATGCATCTTTTATAATCAGATATAATATATTTAAAGGGACAGGTATGTTCAACTTACCGTATTTTTCGCTCCATAAGACGCACCTCACCATAAGATGCACCTAGTTTTTAGAGGAGGAAACCCAGAAAAAAAAATATTCTGAACAAACTGTTCCATAGTGTTTCTTACCATGGGACAGTTTGTTCAGAATATTTTTTTTTCTCCCCTGTCCCATAATGATCTTTAACCCCCCTTTCCTCTGTCCCATAGTGATTGTTAACCCCTCCTACCCTGTCCCATAGTGATTGTTAACCCCTCCTACCCTGTCCCATAGTGTTCTTTAACCCCTCCTCCCCTTGTCCATTAGTGTTCTGATCCCATAGTGTCCCCCCCTCCCATTGTCCCATAGTGCACTTTCCCTCCCATAGTGTCCCCCCCTGCCCTTGTCCCATAGTGTCTCCCCCTCCCCTTGTCCCATAGTGTCCCCCCTCCCCTTGTCCCATAGTGTCCCCCCCTCCCCTTGTCCCATAGTGTCTCCCCTCCCTTTCTCCCTCCCCCTCCCCTTGTCCCATAGTGTCTCCTCCCCTCCCCTTGTCCCATAGTGTCTCCTCCCCTCCCCTTGTCCCATAGTGTCTCCTCCCCTCCCTTTCTCCATAGTGTCCCCTCCCCTTGTCCCATAGTGTCCCCCCCCTCCCATAGTGTCCCCCCCTCCCCTTGTCCCATAGTGTCTCCCCTCCCTTTCTCCCATAGTGTGTCCCCCCTCCCTTTCCCTAGTGTCCCATAGTGTCTCCTCCCCTCCCCTTGTCCCATAGTGTCTCCCCCTCCCCTTGTCCCATAATTACTTACCTGTCTTGGAGCGTGGGCCGGCTTCACAGCGCGCTCCGCGGTCCGGGAACTTCTATTTCAGGTTCCGGTTTCCGGCGGGACAGTGTGCACACTTCCTTTTCCCGCCGGAAACCGGAACCTGAAATAGAAGTTCCTGGACCGCGGAGCGCGCTGTGAAGCCGGCCCACGCTCCAAGACAGGTAAGTAATTCTTCACATTCGCTCCATAAGACGCACAGACATTTCCCCTCACTTTTGAGGGGAAAAAAAGTGCGTCTTATGGAGCGAAAAATACGGTAACTGTCTGTATGCAAGATACACTCTGGACTTGGCGATACTAACCTTGTATACATAGCACAGGTAGCTAGACAGCAGACCAAGCAGAACTTGTCAATATATAGCAGTTTGAGATTACACAGTACCAATTGTAAATTTAGGATTTCTGTTGAATGTACCCTTCCGTATTTGCCAACTTCACACATCAGATCACATTTGCAGAGGGGAATTTGAAAGAATACTAGATAAGAGGTGTCTAAAGATAAACAAAAAAAAACCACAACTAATATTCTAAAGAAAAAAGTGTGCAATTCATAATGGGCGAAGGAGGTAGAAAAATATAAAATAATACAGTAAACACTGATATAGCTTTAATGCAAATTTGGTTCAATCAACAAACTCCCAAGAGCAGAACATTTTTCTTAAAGGGACACTATTGTCACCAGAACAACTTCACCTTACTATTTTTGTTCTGGTAAGTAGAATCATTCCCTTCAGGATTTTTGCTGTAAACACTGTCTTCTTTGAGAAAATGCAGTGTTTACATTACATCTTAGGGATACCTCCACTGGCCACTCCTTAAATGGCTGCTAGAGGTGATTCTAGGGGCAGTTGCAGCACTGACATTCAGAGTATCCACCCTCTGCATGCAGACACTGAACCTTCCTTATAGAGGTTCATTGATTTAATTCAACTCTATGAGGAGATGCGGATTGGCCAGGGATGTGTTTGGATTGTGCTGGCTATGCCTCCTTGGCAGTCTCGGCCAATCCAATGGGAAAGCAGTCAAAGTGATTGGCTGAGAGAACTACTTCTGATTATGTCAGCCAAGCAGGCAGATCATGGTCAGAGCTACCTGCAGTACACTGGCGTAAAGAGTTTGCTATATCTGTGGGCAATGGGAGGGGCTAGATGATGTTTTTAAACATGTATTCCTGCCCCTATAGTGTTCCTTTAAAGAAACTGTAAGTTGTTAGAACCAATAAATATCATAGAAAAATCTATTAATCTGAGCATTGATCATTTTTTTCGTTACAATAAATCAAAATTGTTTTTTTTTGTTTTTTTTAAATGTCTATAATTTTGCATAGCCACATATAGCTCATCACTCCCCATTTTGTTTTGGCTTTATTTACTTCCACCAATTTGTCTATTATTGCCATTGCCGCAACCCTAAAATCCAGTTAAAGTTTAAAACAGCACATGGCACTGTGCCACCACACATACTGCTTCTTCCAGTCTTGTGGTTTAAAGACACAGACTCCCAGATGTGATGTCACACAAGTGCCCAGCAACCCTACAAACCAAAGGGAGCCATCCTGGCCAGTACTTATTTAAACCACACTGAGCATTTGCCACACTTCTCTACCAGGTCATTATGCCATCTGTCAAGCTGGCTTTGCTTGTCACTCAACAATCCCAAATTAAACTTTTGATCATAATGAGCTATTCTTAAAGGGACACTCCACACACACAGCACTGGAGCCATCACATTTGTGACCGATTGTAGTAATGCCCTTTTAATAGAAAGCAGGTAGAAAGAAGCACCTCCTGGACTATCAGGGATGTTGTCTACCTCTTCTGTTAGCGCCACAGAGCCTACATAAGAGATCTGTAGCTGTTGCAAGATGTTTTACATATACCCATTAAAAAAAAAAAAAAGTATGCAGAAATGATTGTATGTTTTCATCTATATACAACTATGTTTCTGCTTCTTATTATCAATACGGTCATTATTAGATCACGTGCTGATTTGTCCACTGCAGTCATTAAACTGTTTTGTTTTGTTTGGGCCGTGGACAATGAACACGCTAGATCTCAAAATCCTACCCAGAGTTCATTTACCCGCAAAGTCCGAGAGATCCCACAAACACTGAGTGGTGGTATAGTTCCGCTAAAATAAAAAATAAAAAATAAACCTACATTTCAAGCCCTATGGCTCCTCTTCAAAATTGCATTAATGGATATGAACTGCTACTGTATAAAATGACTTAAAAACAAATTAGCTTGCTTGTTTAGCTTTCAAGTTGTAGGAAAACAGAGGAATCCTATGGTGTATGTAGCAAGGATATGCTTCAGTTATTCCCAGACTATAGGTTGTTGTTCATAACAGCAGTACTTTGAATTTCCAACAGGAAACCATTAATTAAAAATCAGAAAATGTACTCATGCATCTGTTAACTATAATACATTTATTGGCCATGGATAATGAATACACAATACACCCATGGGCTCTACAAGACAAATATAGCATTAGCTAGATTAAAATGCATTATGCAGCTAGAACTGCGGGGTAAATTCTACCTGATTTTTTCTTTCACCATGGAGATTTAACCCCTTAAGGACCAAACTTCTGGAATAAAAGGGAATCATGACATGTCATGTGTCCTTAAAGGGTTAAAAAGATTAAACACAACATTGTGGTCATGTTTTGTTTGCATATTGTAATACTCTTGTGAGCAAGTATGTTTACATGAAGTAGGCAGAACAGTGTTAGCGCGTTGGTCCGAGGGTGAGCAGCACTCTACATAATGCTCTGGCAAAGAGTGTGTTAAATAAAGAAACATTAATATTTAGCTTGGCTTATAAGTGAATTGATGTGTGCATCCCCCAATGTAGAAGCCACAGCACTGTAATGCCAAAGCAATTAATTAAGATAACATGAACTACAAATTGCTCAAAGTAATCCCCAATTTAATCCAGTTGTATAACTCACAAGGAGGTGTTCACGGTTGGAGGGGGAGGTAGTTTTTTGTAGAGAATCCTGCTAATCAGGGCCTAGCTCCGGTTCAACAGTCTGTATCACATGTGTAAACAGGCTGCCAAAACAAGGAACTGAACTAGTCACAGTAAGCAAACCATCTCAGATAGGAAGGACATTTATGACCAAATAAATTAAATATGTCACACCATTATGCACTCAAATATTTTTTTTAAAGAAAATGCCATTAACAGTGGTGTAGACAACGTGATATTATCTAACCAAAGCAATTTTACCCCATAACATGTAATTCATTAATTTGTATCATGTTACATCATTTCTATTTTTGATATATTGTGTTTTTTGTGTGTGAAATGCTTTTTTTTTTTTTTTTTTTTAAATGCAATGAAAAACAGATATTACAGCTGAAAAGACTCATGATAGCACATGCATAAAGTAGTCCTCTTTTACAGACAGTATTTCATCACGGGGGTAATTTACATTTGGGGGTGCAATTCTGCACCAAATGAGGGCCAATAAAACCAATCTAAATTCGCGCAGCAGTTATAGACTTGGTGAAATTAATAAGATAACAGTCAAACAAACACTTTTTAAAAAAGTATATTACATTTGATGAAACTAAATGATTGTTTTAAATGATAAAGATCGATTTAAAAATAAATTAATAAATAATATTACTTTATCTGGCTGAGCAGTCATGTTGGGTCAGATTGTACTGTTATCTCACCAACTGCAACGCAAACTAAATTGCCTCCTGCTGCAGGTTCACACAGAGCAAATCGCAGCAGCAGGCAAATTAAGGGTCCCTCTGAACAACATAACTACAGCATGCTATAATGTTTATGTTGCCTAGCGTGTCCCGCATTGACCTCCGATTTAGACCTTGATACAATACTTGCAAGAGTTTATCAAAAAATATAATTTTGAACAAAAATTATTTTGCAATATTTTGATACTTATGGTTTTATGTTTGAGATATATATATAAATTAAAATTAAATAAAAATGTCTAGCCCAAACCTTCAAATTCAGTGATCACATTTTTGTGACTACTACTTTGGTTTTGACATTAACCTCATAAATGTACTCAATAATATTCCTTTTACATAGATGTAGACTGGGTCTCTGTAACCTTCACTAGGGAACCCCAACACGCAGACAGGACAGAGTAAAGAGAATTGCAATACCGATCCTTAGAATGGTCGGATTATGCAAAAAGGGGATAGTCAAAACATGAGTCTAGAACAAGGGAAACAGAGAGACGGAATAACGAGAGACAAAGCCAAATATCAGTAACCAGGAAATGCAAATAACAAGTGCAACACTCAATGTTAAACCAAAGACCACAACAGGGCACTGAGGCAAGGGGGAGGTTAGCTTATATACACACAGGGTGTGTCTGATTGGCTAATCTCCAATTAGTGTTAACCACAACACGTGGGAGGAGTTTCTTCCCTCCCTTGTGGTCTCTGAGGTCATCACCGTGTGCCGGGTCACATGATCGGGTGCAGCACACATTTAAGGAAGCTGCTCTGGAGCGTGCAGCGTCAGACACACCGCCAGTCTGGAGACAGGGTCCAGATGACGCCGCTCGCTGTGATGAGGTAAGCAAGGTCGCCAAGAGCAGCGCGGGGGCAGGGGACCCGACAGTCTCATCCTGGTACCAGAAGACCGCTCAGTCCTCAGTCACATTGATAATGCCAACTCGCTCTACTTTGGACAGCATTGATTGACTCAGAATACAATGAGAGAGTTGCTCCGACCACTATGATTGCATATGTGTTCAGGAGTGCCTAATGTAAATTCTGTGCAACAAATATGTTTGTCATCAGTGCGCACTGCACCTTAGCAACAGATGCCATAAGCTTTAACTCTTACGGGCAGCGCATTCAAGGGGAAGCTTGAATGTTCCTTCCCTCCCTTCTTTATTTCAATCCTCCCGACGCCCTGTCATATCTAATGCTTTATTTGTGTGTGTGTGTTTTTCAATATTCCCTCCTTCCTACTTTGTCGGCCCCGACTCCCGCCCCCACCTGGCACATGCTCACTCCCACCCGTAAAAAATGCTTTCCATCAAGAAGCATTTAATTGGACCTTGCAGAGGGTTGTGACATCGAAGGGGGAGGATCTAGTTACTGATGCACAATATGGCATTATATACAGTGAGGGGAAAAAAGTATTTGATCCCCTGCTGATTTTGAACGTTTGCCCACTGACAAAGAAATGAGCAGTCTATAATTTTAATGGTAGATGTAGTTTAACAGTGAGAGACAGAATAACCAAGAAAAATTAAAAAAATCCAGAAAAACGTATGTAAAAATAGTTGTAAATTGATTTGCATGTCAATGAGTGAAATAAGTATTTGACCCCTTCAACATAGTACTTGGTGGCAAAACCCTTGTTGGCAATCACAGAGGTCAGATGTTTCTTGTAGTTGGCCACCAAGTTTGCACACATCTCAGGAGGGATTTTGTCCCTTTCCTCTTTGTAGATCCTCTCCAAGTCATTAAGGTTTCGAGGCTGATGTTTGGCAACTTGAATCTCCACAGATTTTCTATGGGATTAAAGCCTGGAGACTGGCTAGGCCACTCCAGGACCTTAATGTGCTTCTTCTTGAGCCACTCCTTTGTTGCCTGAGCTGTGTGTTTTGGGTTGCTGTCATGCTGCAATAACTATCCACGACCCATTTTCAATGCCCTGGCTGAGGGAAGGAGGTTCTCACCCAAGATTTGACGGTACATGGCCCCGTCCATCGTCCCTTTGATGCAGTGCAGATGTCCTGTCCCCTTAGCAGAAAGACACCCAAAAGCATAGTTTCCACCCCCATGTTTGATGATGGGGATGGTGTTCTAGGGGTCATAAGCAACATTCCTCCTCCTCCAAACACGGCGAGTTGAATTTATGCCAAAGAGCTTGATTTTGGTCTCATCTGACCACAACACTTTCACCCAGTTTTCCTCTGAATCATTCAGATGTTCATTGGTAGACTTCCAACGGGCCTGTAGATGTGCTTTCTTGAGCAGGGGGACCTTGCTGGTGCTGCAGGATTTCAGTCCTTCACGGCGTAGTGTGTTATCAATTGTTTTCTTGGTGACTATAGTCCGAACTGCCTTGAGATCATTAACAAGATCCTCCCATGTGCTGATTCCTCACCGTTCTCATGATCATTGAAACTCCACAAGGTGAGATCTTGCATTGAGTACCAGACCGAGGGAGACTAACAGTTATTTTGTGTTTCTTCCATTTGCGAATAATCGCACCAACTGTTGTCACCTTCTTACCAAGCTCCTTGGCAATGGTCTTGTAGCCCATTCCAGCCTTGTGTAGGTCTACAATTTTGTCCCTGACCTCCTTGGACAGCTTTTTGGTCTTGGCAATGATGGAATCTAATTGATTGCTTCTGTGGACAGGTGTCTCTTATACAGGTAATGGGCTGAGATTAGGAGCACTCCCTTTAAGAGAGTGCTTCTAATCTCAGCTCGTTACCTGTATAAAAAACACCTGGGAGCCAGAAATCTTGCTGATTGATAGGGGATCAAATACTTAATTCATTCATTGACATGCAAATCAATTTATAACTTTTTTGACATGCGTTTTTCTGGTTGTTGTTATTCTGTCTCTCACTGTCAAAATACACCTACCATTAAAATTGTATACTGATCATTTCTTTGTCAGTGGGCAAATGTTCAAAATTAGCAGGGGATCAAATACTTTTTTCCCTCACTATATTAAAAAAATGATTTCATGAAAAAGGGTTGGAGTAACCCTTTTTAACTAAATGACAGAGAGACATGGTATGTCCGGAGGGTAAAGGTTTGAATTTCACCCTGGGAGTCAGATTCTCTAGAATCCGTGGGCAGAGTTAGAGTAGATGATTGCGACACTGTGGCAACAATGTAGGTTTCAGTGCAACCCAACATCAAGGAACCTTTAGAAGTGGAACATTGGGGCATTTGTCCAATCCTCCTACCAATGACATAGCTTGATAGTTTATAGATACATTAACCCTTAGCAAAGCATGTTATTGTGTCATTTACAAAGTATTTATAACCACACAAATATATATTTTTAGGCACCTGACAAGAGAGACAATATCGGGATCTACAGAGCAGCATTAACACAAGATCAATTGATGGAATGGCACAAACTGTGCTTAAGCCCATGATAGGATATAGTTTTATGAAAGTTACATCAGCATAATAACAGTAAATAATGACTGAACAAATATCGCTTGAGATTTTCAATCTGGCATCGACACGATTTAATTTGATTAACACAGTTAACTAAGCTTAGTTGAATACATTAAAAAATTATTTACAAAAATTAAAAAAACATATAATCAAGGCGTCCATTGTGTCTTTACTAGAAGCACGTAATTCCACATATACAGGATTATCAAGGAAAGGAAGATTGGACAATGATGGAAAAATAAAAATCAACCAAAAATTATTTAGGTTCTTTAAGGTAAAAAATCCCAAAAGATGACAGACACCTCCCGCAACATGGCTTCTTGGCGGCTATTTTCTGTGGTCAAGGGTGTATTTAGTTCCGGCAAGACATTTTATATTCACTGATGTATCCAGTTTGCTCATTTATCAATATAAACACTCAGAAGTATTTTCTTGCATACAGGACCTTATTTGAAACACACAGAGTTTAGAAACGTATTTGTAATATTGGTTACACAATATTGTAGGTGAGATTTGTTTTTGGTGGTATTTTTCCAGTTGTTTCTCCATAACCAGACATTGAAACCTTATAATTTCTTAATACTATACAGTACATTATTTGCACAATCCATAATAGGTCTCTACAATATCTAGGTACAGATTACTTTACTGTTAAATGCTGGGTTAAGAGGTGGACATCCTTTACCATAGGCTGTTCCATTATTCTAGTAAGGACAATGAGGATAACATACCTAATATTTTGCTAAATCATAAACACTATGTAAGGCTTAAGTTTATTTCCACATTCATTCCTCCTACATTACATTAGTAGGCTACATTGGTAGCTGAAACTGATAAAGAATCAAGAGAAGAGACTAAACTGTCCCTTTAAGTAAGGAATACTTTTGGTTTGAAGTCAGTCACATGAAAGCACCATAACAACTTCATCTAAAGTTGTGATGGTGTCCTAAAGCCCCTGGATGCACTTGTACCCTCAAGGGTCAAACCGTTTTTTGGGTCGTTGTTTTTTTAAACAGTTTAAAGGACCACTATAGTGCCAGGAAAACAAACTTGTTTTCCTGGCACTATAGTGTTAATAGGTCCCCCCCACCCTCATGGCCCCCCTCCCGCCGAGCTCTAGAGGGAAGAAGGGGTTAAAGGTTTACCTGTCTCCAGCGCTGGGCTCCCTCGGCGCTGGGGACTCTCCTCCGTCTTCAGCCGAATTGCCGCGCACACATTCAATCAGTCCATAGGAAAGCATTCTCAATGCTTTCCTATGGATGCTGGCGTCTTCTCACTGTGAAAATTACAGTGAGAAGCGCAGAAGCGCTTCTAGCGGCTGTCAATGAGACAGCCACTAGAGGCTGGATTAACCCTTATGTAAACATAGCAGTTTCTCTGAAACTGCTATGTTTAGAGCAGGCAGGATTAACCCTAGATGGACCTAGCACCCAGACCACTTCATTGGGCTGAAGTGGTCTGGTTGCCTATAGTGGTCCTTTAATTGCCTCCAGTGCCGGTCTCAGCTCCCCCCTGTCGGTCTCCGGCTTCTGTAATTTAGAAACATACAATGTGACAGGAGATAAGAACCATTCGGCCCATTTAGTCTGCCCAATTTTCTAAATACTTTCATTAGTCCCTGGCCTTATCTTATAGTTAGGATAGCCTTATGCTTATATAAGAATACACATATCCTGTGCTAATCACTCTGTTTCATCTCTCAATCAAAGGGCTCAATTTAAAATTCTGTTTCTTGCTCTCAAATCTCTACATAATGCTGCTCCCACCTGTCTATCCTCCCTAATACACAAGTATGTCCCGTCTAGGCCCCTGCGCTCTGCTGAAGACTTACGTCTATCTTCTGTCCATACTCCAACCTCTGATGTTCGCCTTCAAGACTTCTCTAGGGCTGCACCGTTCACTCCGTAAGATGCTCACCCAGTCTCCACTCCTTCAAAAAATTTCTTGACATTTTTGAAGGAGTGGAGTATGTAGCCTGGGACAGAGAAAAAGGTGGATGTAGTGAGTGGAGAATGAAGGGGACATGCCACACTATAGAGAGACTGGAGCAGTAAGAGCATTTGCACAATGACCAAAGTCAGTTTAATCTTAAATGAACACTTTAGTTTTCAGAATCCAAGATTCCTAGCACAAACGTGTTTCTCAGGCCCTGACTTTATTCACTTACCCGATTCCAGCACGGAGGTCCCTTGGCACTGGGTCACGCTCCACATCCTCCGACGTCATCCGATTGGAAGGAGCTAATGAGCATGCAGAATTATGCCTTCACCATAGGAAAACACTGCTTCAATGCATTTATATGAGGTTTTATCTAATGCTGGACGCCCTCATGCAGAGCGCGAGGACCTCCAGTATCGAAACTCCAGGAAGATCCTCTAGTGGCTCTCTGGTAGACAGCCAGTAGAGGCAGTCTTAGTAATGCAATGTAAACATTGCAGTTTCTCTAAAATTGCAATGTTTTACATTTCAGGACTAAGGGGGACAGGGACACTGCACCCAGAACACTTCAATGAGATGAAGTGATTTGGGTGCCTATTTTGTCCCTTTAAAGGAACACTATAGTGTCATGAATACAAACATGTATTCCTAACACTATAATGTTTAACCATTTAAGTCCCCGGGCCCCCTTAGATTGCATAGGAAAGGTGGTTTTACTCCCCCTTTTCTGCTGCGCTGGTCTCGCTGTGGCTGGTCCCGTCTCTATGCTGAAGATGATCAATAAGATCATCAAAGTAAAAACCCGGCGCCAATCTCTGATCTCCCTCCTCAGTCTGGAGTCAGCAGCAGCACCGCGGCGTCCAATGCCAAGACTCTCCTATAGAAGCCTGTGATTGGACTGTTTTGCCAGCTCAGAGTACATGCGTGTGCCCTGAGCAGGCAAAGGGAGGTGGGAGGCAGTAGGGAGGGAATTTCAATAAAAAATTTTTTTAAAACAAATGCGATTCAAGTATAGGAGGGAAGCAGGTGGGGAAGTGACCTTCCCCTTGCAGACACTCTGTCTAAAAGGGAGAAGATTATTACGTCTGTTGACAACTCGCTGTGTGCACTGACAACAGATGTAAAAATAGTGCTTAGAGCAAATGAAGAGAGTCAGTATTGCATGTTTCTGACTTTGTGGATTGAGGCCCAAGGATCAGAGACGGAGGTGAGTTATATGAAGGTATTTACAGCTAGGAGGGGCAAAGGAAGGAGGCAGAGAGGGGGTGGGTAGAACAGACATATGGTGTATACAACTGAAAAGTTTACCAGCTTCTATAACCCCAAATATTATTATTAATTAATACTGTATCTCTGGATGTGCAATGTTTCAAGCAGAAATTCTGCACATCCACACTTCTATCACCATGGCAACTTCAAATCACTGAAGTGGTCATGGTGTTTGGAATAACCCTAAACTACAGGCCTCTTTGTGCACCACATTTGTCATTTGTTATTACCACAGGGAGAGAGTTTATATTGGGCCCTGGTTACTAAAAGTAGCACACCCAGGTATTCAAGCTTATACCATTGCGATTTGCTGGGTCTTCATAGAAAACGTGAGGACTGGCTAACCCAGTAATTAATGCTGCCATGGGTTTAGCATAAAATAGTTATTTTTACACTCTGTTTTTAGTGAGAAACATGCATATCATCAACACAGGAGATGACTGGCAATGGAAGATTTTGTATGCAAATTTTTGAATACAACAATATGTTGCTGAACTGTGAAGTTATGATTTACATGTATTAGAGGTTTAGGGGTGTAAGGAGGAAGGAAGGGTCTGTTTAAAGTAGAGATAAGAGAGATAAGAAAGAAAAAAAATACACAATATGTGTGTATATATATATATATATTATACACACACATACACATATACACCGGAAAATTATCTGGATGTTACAGGCAGGAGAAAATAAATAAATAAATAAAATAAAATTGGCGATATTGGAATCAGTTATGAGGAATATACCTGTACTGTATTTTTTAAAAACAGCAAGTAATAGACACAAATTATCTCAGGTGAGGATATGTGTTTGCAAGAGGAATAAGACAAATAAGGTAAGAATAAAAATGAGCAATATCTGTTCAGAGAAAAAAATGTCATGTTACTTCAACTTTTAAATGTTGTAGATCAAGCATGTCAAACTCGCCGCCCACGGGCCGCATGCGGCACACAAGGACCATCTTTGCGGCCCAGCGAGCCGCGAGTACATGCCTAATGGTCCAAGCGGAGTAGGCACCTGCTCTCCCCACATTGCAGGTGCCTCATCTGCTCATTTACCCGGCAAGGGGAGAGGTCTCTGGCAGCACCAAGGGAGCTCAGTGTTCCTACTCCTCACTGCTCCCTCGCGTGCCGTCTGAAGTGAAGCCGGGCGTCATATTCCTGTGTGTGTCTGTCAGCAAGTATATGGGTGTCTGTCAGTGAGTATGTGTGTGTTTGTGTGTCAGTGAGTATGTGTGTGTCAGTGGGAGGATCAGATTTGGAACAGGGTGGTAGAGGGGCGTGCTGTTGTTTAGTAGAGGGGGCGGGGCTGGGATTTAGTAGAGGGGGTTGCTGTGGGTTTTTTTATACGGTACTTTTTAAAATAAACCTACGTTTCTATGAAAATGTAAGGTGTTTTTTTTCTTGCGGCCCACATAAACTTAAACCTTGTTTATGTGGCCTGTGCCAGACTTTGAGTTTGACATGCTTGTTGTAGATGTTAAATGCAGAGATAATACAAGTGAGAACTCAAATCATTTTCCAAGTTAGTCCAATAAAAAAAAATGTAATGGCACAGTATACTACCCTTCAGTTTTCCCCTGTGGTGGTACAGGGGAGCAAACTCTCCCAAATAGTCTTGTATGCAGTGATTTGTTGTTCAAAGTGTACATATTTACTTTTGCAAGGGCTTCCTGTTCTCCAGGCACAGGGAACCAGTGCTTGGGGTACATTGTATCGGGCCTGCATTTAGTGGCTGATACGTTAAACCCACTGTATTACAAATCTTATGTCATTCATATAATGTAAAACCCTTTGTATTTAGAAGTGGATTACGTTTAAGAAGATCAAAAGTATTAGGGAGTCTTAAACATACAGAGTATGTCTGCTCCACTCATGCCCAATTCTTTTGATTCCCTGGCCAAAGGTAGACACTGTGACGACTGCCAGGGGCAGGGAAGGAAACCGAGAAGTGCTAGTGCTCGCCCTTCTCAGATAGCCCATATATAATATATTACATTTCCTCTATCACTTTTGGAAACTCAAGCTAATGGTAGCACGGATACCATCCCTTCTCCCATAACAGTGTTCTTGCACCTGTTTATTGATAACCTTTAGTGGTTTCTATGGACTGCGTTAGCATAGCTAAATCACTACAGCCTTGTGTTACGAAGTAGAAACCAGTACGACCAAGACAAAGCCAGAGAAGGTGAGTGCCTGTTCAAGTGATCATCTACTCAGGACGCTAGAGTGAGTGCCTATATTCGTGGTTACCCAGATCCTGAGTCTAGCTGGACCTATAGACCTTTCCCATCCGGTTTGCCATGATTCTTCTTGGTAGTGAAGTAAAAAAAATAAAAAAAAAATACTATGATACAGCTTCATGGTTACAGGCCATGATCCCTATGTTCCTCATACTTGCTAGCTATTCTATATTCTAGAATATCTATAATATCATGTACATAAATGGTCCTAGATGTAACACTAACATTGCTTGGAATAAGAACATTGTTGAACTAGCAGAAACAAAGCAAGCTTATCTAAAGTTACGCCAAATACGATTTAAATTATAAGGTTGAAAATAAATAAATAAAAGCTAGCACAGCTATATAGTCAAGCTTCATTATTGAGCACCAAACAACGACAATGCACAGGCAGCAAATTTTACTTTGTTAGCCATGATGCAAACCAATTAAGTCCATCTACAAATTGCTTCTTGGCACCTGGGACCAATTCCCATTATCAGATAATTTACTAACAATCAAACTTGGCAGTTTTCCCACAAAACCAAATGCTCTTCAAAACAACATCAGTTCTAAAATCATACCTTAAATATTAATAACTACTTTTTACATATTGATGTGTGTATAGTTTGTTAATTCTGCATCCGTAATTCTGTGCCACTTATAAGTATAGAAACATAGAAACATAGAATGTGACGGCAGATAAGAACCATTCGGCCCATCTAGTCTGCCCAATAAGTATATTTATATAATATCAACATTTTGGAGAACTGAATAAGTAATCTCTTCCCATCCTTTATTAGAGTCACCACCAGTTAAGCACCACGTTGTAGAGGAGGAGATATTGTTCTACTTGACAAGATATGATGGCAACATCAACGCAACTCCAGAAGATCTCAGTTTATCGAACCCTGCTGAAAAAAAAAAAAAAAACAAAGAAGAGAGAGAGAGAAAGCAGTCTTTCAGAGCCTCAACCTTTTGCCAAGTCTTACATTGGGTGTCCACTTCGGTATAATTCAAATTAAAACCTTCTTTTTAGCCTCATTCTATTAGACTTCCTCCTGGTCACCATGCCTTTATGTAACACCAGGACTAAAAGCCACCATTCTGCACATCTTTATATGGGCAAGCTGAAATATTAAAAATTAAAGGGACACTATAGGCACCTAGACTATTTCTCAATTAAGTGGTCTGGGCGCCATGTCTTTGCCGTTTTAGCCTTGCAGTATAAAACATCTATTTCAATCAGATGGTCTCATAGAGATTTTCTGATTGGTGGAGCATGACGTTCTGCTGCACATGCGTGCTAGCCTATGGGAAAGCATTGGACTGACTGTGATCATCAAGACTGATGATCTCAGCCAAGGAGTTGGGGACAGCAGTGCATAGAGCACCACGACAACAGAGGGGAAAAAAGGCGAGTAAACTACTTTTTTTTGTTTGTTTTTAACTCCTTACAGGAAGTGCCTGGTCACTTAAACTGTGACTATGATACTATAGCATTAGGAATACACATTTGTGTTCCTTTAAATAACTACATAGATATCAATAATAAATAGACTTTAGTCTAGACTGTAAACTCGTTTGAGCAGAGTCCTCATCTACCTATTGTTCCTGTATAATTTTGTAATGGTCTCATTAATTGTTAGATTTCCCCCTTTCATAAATTATAACATACTGCAGAATAAGTTGGCACTATATAAATACCAATAATAATAAAATAAATTAAGAGGGGAGGGGGGGCGGGAAATAAAATGGGAATATTGGTCAGACACAGGCAAATAAAAATAATTGTAAATCATAAACCTTCCCAAGCAATATACATATATCAGTTAAAGGACCACTATAGGCACCCAGACCACTTCAGCTCAATGAAGTGGTCTGGGTGCCAGGTCCCTCTAGTTTTAACCCTGAAGCTGTAAACATAGCAGTTTCAGAGAAACTGCTATGTTTACACTAAGGGTTAATCCAGCCTCTAGTGTCTGTCTCACTGACAGCTGCTAGAGGCGCTTCCGCTACATAACAAGTGCAGGTAGGCACTAGCTTCGTGCGGTGCCAAAGTATTAGGGACAGATGAGGATACATTTTCTATGGGGTATGGTGGTTACGGTGGGAATGGAGCAGTGATTATAATAATCGTTTGGGAAGTTTCTGTTTTGTCTCTGATATCTAATTATTTACCTCCAATTGGCTGATGTCTAGGAGGTTTTTCTCCTTTTTAGAAGAGATTCAGATTAACACCCTTATCCCCCCCAACCCCCTTCCCTTATAACCTCTCATTAGGTTCTGCCAAATTTAGGACCCATAATTGGAAATAGTAGTTCTATGCCTTAAGGATTAATAAAGGTTTTACAATTTTTGGGTTTTATGCTACTAATCTAATTTAGGTTGTACCTATTCCTAGACATCTACTTCCATTTGGAGTGGATGCCTTGGATATTGTTCTTTTTCTATTTCTAATAATTAGGGTTATCCCCTGGTTAACTAGTCCAACCAGGTGACCTCTTTTTTAACTAGGGGATATGGTCAGAGGTCTCCCCTAGCCTCTGTCTCTGGCTAGCAGAAGACGTCTTGACCTATCTCATGGTTAATATCTTTATTTATTTAAGCATTGAGTAATGCTTTCATATGGACTGTTTGAATGTGCGCGCGGATCTGACGTCGGTTGGAGGTAGAGAGTTCCCCAGCGCCGAGGAGGAAAGTGGCTGAAGGGGTTTTATCCCCTTCAGCCCAGCGGGAGGGGGGCCCTGAGGGTGGGGGGACATAATGACCCTATAGTGCCAGGAAAACTAGTTTGTTTCCCTGGCACTATAGTGCTCCTTTAAGTGAGCATCAGGGATAAGTGATGCATTTAATACCATTCTAACAAGGCTAGCACAGTAGTAAGTTACAGATTTTGTACAAGATCATTCACGCACATGTCTCAGACCAGGCTAATTGGATTAAAATCCATGTGGATTATGTCACAGATGGGGTGGATAAGGACAGCGCACGTTAATGGCAAAGAAAGATCAATTAGAAAATGTTTTAACAATAAATAAAAATAGGCAGGTACAAACATACAAAATTAAGCCCTGCGCTTAAACTCCCACTACACCAGGGCGGCAGCAATGACTCTAGTACACATAAGCCCCAATACAAAAAATTAAAAAAACAAAGAAAAAGTTAATTGCGCGCTATCCAAAATCCCTACGCACATTTTAATAACTGGAGATTTTTTAGTATCGCTCCCATGACCCTTAAAGTGTAAGCTCACCTGCCACGTCAAGGCAAACCTCTTTGGTGAGTCCTGCACTAACAATTTACCTGGTTGCTTTTAGCTAAAAGGCAAAATCTCTAATAAAGAGAGGGGTATTTTTCTAAATCCCTACACACTTATCAATGCTTAATAGGAAACAGCACTGTAGCATGGCTGTACAATACAAAAGCTTGCTTTAGAGCAATACTAGATTTTATTTACTTTTGTTTCTTTAATAAAAGCATCACTGAAATCCTTATTTTACAAGACTGCTGTCTCACCGGTGATCAAACTGAAGGTAAGCTGACACTATTCTTAACCTCCCCAGGCAATCAGCAGCCGCTGTCCGCATGGCGTCTGTCAACTACTGAGAGTCTCTCACTGCTATTGCAAACATTAGCGGATACCTAGCAATATCCCCCATGGGTCAAGTCCTGGGGAATAAAGTGTGGGAACTCACCCAAGATTACCCCCCCAAATTATATACACTATATATATATATATATATATATATATATATATATATATATACACACACACACACTCAGACACACACACATACACATACACACACTCACAAATTATTATTATTTTTTTAAATAAAAAAATGTCCACCCAGCCTCCCTACCTGGAGAGATGGCGTGGACCTGTCCCTGGGGTCCAGTGGGGTAGACGCCTGTCTCCATATCAGACGCGGCAAGGGAGCGGTGTTCTCTCTGCTCCCTCTCACCACGTGGGCTGTCTTACGTCATATTCCGGCTCCCGGCATCAGCAAATGGCACGCGGCGAGAGGAAGCAGAGAGAACACAGTGTCTGACCGGGAGACAGGTGCCTGCCGGGAGGTCCATTAGGCCGCCTCTTGGACCCCCCAAGACAGGGGGAACACGGGGGGTGGCATTTTTTGCCGCCTCTGAGTGCCTGCAGGAACAACGGGAACGGCGTTCATGCTTTAAAAAAATGGCAGGAATGCCGTTCCCACGCGTTCCTGCTTTACTCAAGCCCAGATATCCCCTCTATCAATAACAAGTAAATCAAGGGTCTCTTACTGATATACAATGACAGCCTTAACACTGCAAGATGAAAACCAGATCTAACATAAAAATGTATTTAACTCCATCATGTCTATTATTTATGTACAATATTTGTTTATTTTTAAAACTAATTTAACTATTGTTATTTTTAAGGCAGACTGCCATTCATGTAGAACCTTGTTGGACCTATTCACTAAATGCCATTGGGTAGTCATTTCAGGTGTTTTGACAATAACCAAACTTTCCCTTTTCAGAATCGCTGACTGGGTAATTGCCATCTAAGTTGGGCTTCCATTCAGCTGCAGTTTAGCTGTCTGATAAAAATAGTCAAATCTCCATATACGTTTGCTGAACAGCTATTCACAAACAGCAACCAAATTCCTTTCATTTTGTTGCTATAATTCCCTTGATACAGGCCAAGGAAACTACACTTATATCTTTGAGCCTCCTAGACCTTACTCTAAACGAAGGCTGCCTGAAAGATAGCCCCACAGATGTTGTAAAACTACAACTCCCATGATGCTTTGCATATCTTTAGAATGCTTTTAGAATGACAAAGCATCATGGAAGCTGTAGTTTTAAAACACCTAGGGATCTACCTTTTGGGCAGCTCTGCTCTAAACTCTTAACTCTATGATAACTGCTCCCTAAATTCCTCTCCCCAATCACTATCCTTACATTAGTGGTGGGAAATTCAAAAGTGCTTTTTCAGTGAAGCAATGAGGTCTAATTGAAAATAGCAGGGACCCATTTGCACCCTAGGCCACAACTGCCATTAGGCAGGTGTAAGGTTATAAATATCTACTGATTTAAATTAGGTAGGACATACACAGTTAAAGAGGAACTGTCACTTCCTTCATTTTAGCATAGCTCAACAAACAGCTAACTTTTACTTAGCAATCAGGTACATTTTGTTTAATTGTTTTGAAAGCTCTTTATTGTTAAAGGGACACTATAGTCACCTGAACAACTTCAGCTTAATGAGGTTATTCAGGTGAGAACTATAGCTCCGTGCAGCCTTTCACATGTAAACACTGTATTTTCTTAGAAAATACAGTGTTTACATTGAAAGCTAGGAACATCTCCAGTTGCAGTCACTCAGAGTGAACCAGAGGGACTTTGGAGTTAAAGGACCACTATAGGCACCCAGACCACTTCAGCTCAATGAAGTGGTCTGGGTGCCTGGTCCAGCTAGGTTTAACCCTTTTTTCTATAAACATAGCAGTTTCAGAGAAACTGCTATGTTTATATTAGGGTTAATCCAGCCTCTAGTGGCTGTCTCATTGAAAATCACAGTGAGAAGACGCCAGCGTCCATAGGAAAGCACTGATAATGCTTTCCTATGAGACTGGCTGAATGCGCGCGCTCCTCTTGCCACGCACGCGCATTCATCCGAGGAGGAGGAGAGCTCCCCGCTCGGCGCTGGAGAAAGAGGTAAGGTTAACCCCTTCCACCCCCTAGAGCCCGACGGGAGGGGGACCCTGAGGGTGGGGGCACCCTCAGGCCACTATAGTGCCAGGAAAACTAGTATGTTTTCCTGGCACTATAGTGGTCCTTTAATTGAGGCATAATATGCCTCCATCCACTGAGATCTGCTGTCAGCAGAGCACAGGGCAGCACTGTGCACAGCATCCTGTGATTCAGTATATCCTCCCTCTGCATGCAGACACTGAACTTTCCTCAGCGATTCTTTGATTCAATTCATCTCTACACGGAGATGCTGATTGGCCAGGGCTGTGTTTGAATCATGCTGGCTCTGCCCCTGATCTGCCTCTTTGTCAGTCTCAGCCAATCCTATGGGGAAGCATTGTGATTGGATCAGGCTACCACATGTCAGCAGACTGCTTGTTTTTCTGAGTCTAACAGCATGCAGATTTACATCTTCAGGCTTGAATACAGTAAGATTTTTACTATATTTATGGAGGCATGAGGGGCCCAGGGGGTAGATGGAGGTGTTAACACTATAGGGTCAGGAATACATGTTTGTGTTCCTGACCCTATAGTGATCCTTTAAGCACCTCATGCACTCATGCATCCAAACAAATGCTTTTCATAGGGAATGACTGAATTCAATTCATGGCCACTGTGCCTAGACCAGTGATGGCTAACCTTGACACCATAAATTGTTTCTGGACTACATTTCCAATGATGCTCAGCTAGCTTTTAGACTCTAAAAGCTATCTGAGCATCATGGGAAATGTAATCCAGAAACTATTTATGGTGTCAAGGTTAGCCATCACTGACCTAGACCATGCCATTGAGATGAAGTGCTTTGGGTGCCTTTAGTGGTCATATGCATGGTTATGTGTACAGCTTGAGAAAATGCCAACTGCACATGTTAACGTACAGTATTTCTGCAATAGGTGCCTGAGTATGGCGTGAGGCATCCTGAGGTCGAGTAGTCATCACAACATGGAAGCCCAGGAAACTTAATTATTTTATTGTTATTTTTTAAATTTACCTCCTCTGCTTCTTTCACCTAGTAAATGCTGACATAACATTTACTGGAGTAAAGTAAGCATTTAATCTTAAAAAAATAAAGGCTCTATTTTATTGAGGTTACTCCAACCAAAAACAGAGTTTTAATTTTATTGTGGCGTCTGATTACCAAGCGTTGACCAACGACCACATAATTACACTTAGTGAATAATCCTGTATGTATTCTCTTTTTTGGTCTAGTTATATAATATTCATATCTATAATAACCAAGTAATAAATGCACCTTAAACAATAATTAACTAAAACATAATGTAACTTTGAAAAAGTATTAACATCCAGTAATCTATACAGATTGCATCAATTCAAACCTTCACGCATCATAGATTGGTTTTCATCCCCATCTGAATCTGTCTCTTTTGTTGCCTAAATTGAGTGTCACTAGTAGAATAAAACACCAATGTATTAAGTTTGTATATGAATCGTTTTCCACTGATTAAGTAGTACACCCCCAACAATCCATGCTGTAGGCCAGTATAGAAACGGAAAATCCTTTAACTCCTATAGAGACTAAAATAGCATGGGAACCCTCAACCAGATTACAACAGGTAATCCCTTAATCCATAAAAAGACAGATATTGTGTTCCACATACAATCTTAAACACCGGCCAAGTGTTTTATGAATAATCTACCACTACTGTAGAACCAACACAGAACAGTTATGATTACATTAAAAAAAAAGCATATAAAAAAGTTCTACATACGGGTGCAATAAATACAGTTGGCATTATTTTATAAACAATAATATCTAGCAAGCAATACAAAATGAGTACTTACAATCTTTAAAAGATCACTTTAGGAACCATAACCACGACATGCTTAAATGGAACTATTAAACTGCAGACGCCATCCCCTAGTTTTCGGTCAAATCCTTTACGATTGGCTTGACCAAAGACAGAACCTAAAGCTCAGCCTCCTGCTTTGCTACTTGTGATAATACTAGTCTGCCTTAACAATATCAATTTCACCCATATTTTAACACAATTCATTGGCTGTGAGGGTCAGCTAATGTTAAATATATGGGTTTGAGTGGGGCAGAATGATTTTAATATGCTGATAAAATTGATATAGCTAATTCAGGAGTGGAGCTTCTGCGTTAGCAAGTCTAGTGATTGGGGGTTGGTGATTGTAAAACACATTGTAATAGTTATGATGCCTAAACAGTTTAAAGGACCACTATAGTGCCAGGAAAACATACTCGTTTTCCTGGCACTATAGTGCCCTGAGCTGCGCGCGCATTCAGACGGTCACATAGGAAAGCATTCATAATGCTTTCCTATGGACGCTGGCGTGCTCTTACTGTGAAAATCACAGTGAGAAGCACGCAAGCGCCTCTAGCAGCTGTCAATGAGACAGCCGCTAGAGGAAATAGGGGAAGGCTTAACCCATTCATAAACATAGCAGTTTCTCTGAAACTGCTATGTTTATGAAAAAATGGGTTAACCCTAGCTGGACCTGGCACCCAGATCACTTCATTAAGCTGAAGTGGTCTGGGTGCCTAGAGTGGTCCTTTTAAAGGCACTTTAGAGTGGTCCTTTAAAGGCACAGCTTAATGAAGTGGTCTGGGTGCCTGGTCCAGCTGGGTTTAACCCTTTTTTTTATAAACATAGCAGTTTCAGAGTGGCTGTCTCATTGACAGCCGCTAGAGGCGCTTGCGTGCTTCTCACTGTGAAAATCACATTGTAAATGCTTTCCTATGAACTGGCTGAATGCGCGCTTGGCTCCTGCCGCGCATGCGCATTCAGCCGATAACGTATGAAGGAGGAGAGGAGGAGAGCTCCCCGCCCGGCGCTGGAGAAAGGTAAGATTTTAACCCCTTTCTCTCCCCAGAGCCGGGCGGGAGGGGGACCCTGAGGGTGGGGGCACCCTCGGCACTATAGTGACAGGAAAACGAGATGTTTTCCTGGCACTATAGTGGTCCTTTAAGGAACAGCAAAAAAAGACATTGTGCACCAAACCCACTTCATCACAATACAGGGATTTTGTTGCATAGGTGCTGTGCTTTTTGGGGGGGCAATGTAAGACACTGTTTCATAGACTATGGAATTTTTCCAAAACCACCCCCCCACCCCCTGCCCCCTGCCCCCAGTGGCCTCATGAAATCCTTCACAAGTAAAGGTTTTAACTTTTGAAGGCACCACAACTGAAAGTAAAAAGATAGTTGTCATGTAATGCTTCTCAAAGAGGATTGGACTAAAGTTATCATTTCTAATGACTTCATAGGAGGTGGAGCGGTTGAATTACTTTCTAAAGTAAATTACATTTTCTTTTTATTTATTTTTTAAAATTCTTTCTTTTATTAAGGCATTAGATTAAGACATGACTTAAGATATACGTAGGAGTTACAGCATTAATATAAGCATTGCAGTTGATAGAGATATACTCCTAGGAGATACAGTTGAGTACTTCAGCTACATAAAATAACAGAAAATTCTAACTGTTTAGGCTGACAGTACAGTAAAAAATATAGAACAACTTTACAGCTTAACAAGGTGTGAAACCACCAGGAGGCCCCCTAAATATACAGACTATTGCTCGGACGGTGATTAAATGTAATGCTATGGTGAGGCACTATGTTAGTGAGAAAGAGTCCCATGTCCAGCACCAATATCAACCCAGCATTAATATCAGCCAATGCCCCGTATGGGCCTAATAGTGTCCCGCTATAAAAGCTCCAGTGTCAGGTCCGGTATTATTTTAAGCGTGCACAAAGTAGTCATGCAGTTTTCAGGCAAGAAGTGTGGAGTTCAGTGGCATTCCCTCTATGTATCCCAAGTCACCCTGTGCTGCAGTGGGAAGCCTCCCTGCTCTGCAGAGCTTCAAGAAATCGGACCGCTCTGGCCCCCCGTCTTATCTTTCCTGCCGTTCAAGCCTGATCGCAGGAGGAGCCTCTAGACAGCTTACCTCCTAGTAAACAGCTGGTTTGCTCAGTACATCAGGTCTCTGGCAAGCACTCGGGTCTTAATCTTAAGCATTAGGTGCAGGGCATCGCAAGTCTCTCTGCCCGGTAGGAAGGAGCATACTGCGTCCGCCATCTTGTGTGTGCCGAAGTGTCTGTGTGCTTACAACGGTAATGTCATGTGACTTTAGCATTGCAAGGTAACCTCCAAGGAGTAGACCGGAATCACCCCCAGCAGTCCATAGGGGGGGAACAGGGCACCTGTCAGCAGCTAGGTTTTGCAGCGGAGATCAGCCATTTCTCCACTCCTTGAGACGTGCTAGCCCGCAGAGCCAGCCCTCGGTTCCTCTTCAGCGTGGACACCTTCACACATTGAAACACGCTCAGGTACATCCCCCATCGTTCTTTAAGCATCAGAGAGTTAGCCCAATTTATCGATGGGTTATAATTGGCAAGAAAACACAGTTTAAGTAATTGAAGTGCCGGTGCTCATTCAGGATACATCCGTCCAGCATGGCCACCATGCACTTTTATCATTGATTTGCATATGCTTTTGAATTTTTTTACCCCATACAAAATAGTAGGCTGACAGACTTCCACAATTCTCGGGTAGGAAATATGTAGTCAACAAAGGGTGACTATACTGTATGCAAAAGGACATACAGACAGGGTTATTCACTAAGCACTGAATTCTTCAAATTAAGGGCGACATGTATAAAGGCTAAAACAGTTGCTATACAGGGGCCAGGAGCTAAATAAGGAGCAATCAGAGCAAGATTAACCACTGGCCCAGAACCATGGATTTGCTAGCCCCATTAGCCATCCCTATGTAAAGACATGATGGGGTGGGAGGTGAATTAGTAACCTGCCTAGGGCCTGCCTTACGCATTCTCTGGGAGTAATCACCACAGAAACTAAAAACAATGTTTCAACATTTAGCACTTTGCATCACAAATAGCACCTATTATGCCGTGCATAAATCGCCCCTCATACCTGAATGGCAAAACTTAGGTAAAAGTAGATTGAATTTTCCAACTCAGGCATACTTACTGCTTGGCTACTTTAGCACACATTTTGACATTCAGATTTAATTTGCTTAAATTCAGTGTTTAATTAATAACCCATAGAATTTATTTGTAATTGTATAATTGTATAATTTCTAAAAAAATAAATAAAAAAAAAGAGAAAGTGTCTAACTGGAAACTATAGTTAAATTTGAATTACTTTTCAATGAAAATAGCAGTAACATGTTTTGTCTTGTTTTTTTTTTTTTTTTATAACAGAAATAAAAAGCACAAGGAAAACCAGGCCACAAATAATTACAGTTGAGCTGTATAAAAGATGCTGCAGATAAATACAATGTCATGGAGTGTGGTTTTATTGCAACATCTCCGCAAATGTAAAGCAGAAAACTAAAAAAGAAATACAGGCCTTTCTATGTATGTACTGCTCAAGCTGCAGTGATTCTAATGCACAAACACCTGATTAACATTACAACAATGGCAGATTTTACATTGAAACCATTTTAGCAAACATCCACTAATTTTTCATTAGACAGATGGATATATTATTTACATATGTGTTGCTTTTCATTTACTGCTTCTTATAGGGGAACCCAAAGCACCCTATAGACAGAAGCAGAGGAGCTGAGATTTGTGGTGCTACTCATAAAATGGTTTGATAAATGCCAGAGTGGATAGTACCCCAAAACTCCTTACAACATAACCATTACAAGAAGCTGTAATAGCAATGGTGCTTAGAATCTGTCCCTTTAAATCAAATGTACAGAAAGATAAGCTGTCCTTACTGCTCATAAATTATTAATTAAAATCAGAACATTCCTCCTTCAAAATTATGTACATTGATTTTAAAATTGTGTATAATCACATTTAATACAAAATAACCTCACAAATGTAAACTGGCAAAGAGCTTAAGAATAATAGTTCTATAATCACAGATAACTTCCTTAGAAAGAGGAAGAATACGAACCTCAAACTCTGCACGTAATTTCCATTTGCCCACAAGATTTAAGTGGGCATTTCTTTTTATTAAGACAAATTAAAGGCGCACTATAGGCACCCAGACCACTTCAGCTCAGTGAAGTGGTCTGGGTGCCAGGTCCCTCTAGTTTTAACCCTGCAGCTGAAAACAGCCGTTTCAGAGAAATGTTTACACTGCATGGTTAATCCAGCCTCTAGCGCCTGTCTCACTGAAAGCCGCTATAAGCACTTCCGCAATTGTCAATGTGAAAATCACAGTGAGCAGACGCTGGACGTCTATAGGAAAGCATTGAGTAATGCTTTCCTATGGGCGGTTTGAATGTGCGCGCGGCAAGCCATGCGGATCTGATGTCGGCAGGGGGTGGAGAGTTCCCCAGCACAGAGGGAGTCTGGCGCTGGAGAAAGGTAAGTGGCTGAAGGGAATTTAACCCATTCAGCCCAGCAGGAGGGGGGCCCTGAGGGTGGGGGGATCCTAAGGACCCTATAGTGCCAGAAAAACGAGTTTGTTTTCCTGGCAATATAGTGCTCCTTTAAGGATATAGCATTTATTGCATTTGAGAACTAAACAATGAAAACGTTAACGTATAAGTAGTTCTAATAGAACCATAAAAAAAGGTCACAGAGAAAGTCAAACACCTCTTCTAACCTGCATAAGGCCTACCCAACCGACACATAGGAAACCCAAGAGACTAGACTAGGATACAGAAATTAAAACGTTACTTATGAAAAATATGCCCCTTCTACATTAATTCTTGAAGTTGACAGGTGACAATCTGATTTTTTTTTATGAAAATGTGGAAAAATACAGTTACACATAATTCTGTGTGTGTACGTAAAAATGTATATAAACTTTATTTTACATGAGAGCTGGCAGGGGCAGAGACAGTGATACCATAGAAAATGGCATTAACACAGAGAACGCTTTGTTTAAATGTACCAATTTGATTACAGTGTTTTGACACGGCAAATGTTCACATTGAAATTCCAACACAATCCAAAGATGTAAGACAAAATAGGGACAACTTTGAGTCCTGGACGAGCCTGAGGTTGACAAAAGGAAGAGCTCCATTGTCAAGATCCCTAGCACACAAGGTATTTAAAATTTAAGCCTACATGTACCTAGGACCATAGTCCTGGAGAGCTTTTTTCAAGTCCAGAGCCAAGGTTGCAATGTATTTACAGTCAACCAGCGAGTAGCGTGGAGAATGAGTATCACGTGATAACAGCATTAAATCTCAGCCATATTGCAAACACCTTATGCCTTTTTACTCTCAATCAATAATTCACAAGCACAACCAAATCAACTAAATTATGATCTTCCACACATAACATCACATGCATGCCTCTACGGCGTATGTACACTATAGCACTTAATATAAAGGAGCTCAGACGAAAGCTTCCCTTTCAGGGACTCCATATTCCACTAGACCAAGGCAAAGAAGGGTCCAAACACATAGAAGGTGCCGAGACTCTGGGTCCACTAATAACTACCCCCTCACCCCTATTTTCTTATGTACCTGAAGCAGGGCCTTCTAAACTTAACTTAACACCAGCTTGTCACTGAGGTTGAAACAATGTATATGTAAAGCACAGGCACTGTGTAATGTGCAGTATGCAAATTACAAACTTTTTGTGAAAGGCGATAGATAGATAGATAGATAAATAGATAGAATGAATTATGGATACAGAGGGCTATACGTTAAGAAAGTCCATGGCACAGCTGATTGGCATGCTGACACACAAATGGTTATTATATAAAAATGATGCCAAGTGGCCCCAGCTCCCAGGATCAGTGATCCACACCATGTATTAATCCCATTCTTCAACAGGTAATAACCCTGTGAGGGGGTCCAGCAGCAGGTATACCAGGGATATATAGAGAGGGGAGCAGGCAGTGTGGGCCATGCTGGCTGCTCATTAAAAATAACAATAATAATATTAGAGCATCCCTCCCTGGACCACTCACCGCCTGTGATCTTCTGCAGCCCCAGAACATCCTCCGGGGTGATGTGAGGCTGTCTGAGCAGCTGCTCCTCTGTGCTGCCCCCTGCCACCACCTGCCCCCCGCTCTGCTTCACCTTCATGCTGCCCTCCTGCGTCCTGCTGCCGGGGAGAGTGTCAGTGCCCAGGGAGGAATCGCTCATATTCCGGCGAGGGAACCGAGAGACCGCCTGGAGGAAGGAAACGGGAGACAGATAGAGACACACAGAGCGCACAAGTGAAGAAGAAGAAGAGGAGGTGGGACTGATGGGACTGATTGACCAGCCCGCCCGACTCGGTATTAATCCGTAGAACGTGCAGCAAACACAAGGAAATCCGAGGGCGCTCCGCTCTTGCGCCCACCAGCGCCAGGACCTTGAATCGCTCCGGCTGCTGGTAACGTGAAATAAAAACGTGCTGCGCCCGCCCGCCTCTGTTTTGTGTAAAAGGGCAGTGCTGATAATAACATAGTAACTGGGAGAAATACCATGGGGGTGTGTGTTACTACACAAATTGAAAAGAGGTTGAGGGAGAAGCTGTCTTATTTATAAAGTCTTGTCATACAAGACTGGTTCCTGATTGGCTGAAAGCCTAGGTTTTGAACAATGGGGACATTGTGACAGTAAAGAGATGATAAGTTTCTCATTTAGGTTCTTTGGCAAAGGCCTGATATTTACAGGCAGGGTATAATAGGATATGATAATACTCTGCATTGGATACATTGCTGGTAACTCTCCTCTCTTACAGTCTAGTTATTCATGGGGCCCAAAGTCAGGAATATTTATATTGTACCTCAAATTCAGTTAAATTATATTAATTAACTAACCGTATTACATTGTAATAAATATAAATGTGGCGGGGAAGGTAAAATTGTATGAATCAATGTTAAATACAAGTAAATAATGACACAAGAAATTGGTTGCAATTTGTTTTTATTTTCTTAGATATTTCAAAACAATTACATTTTCTTGTTTTTGTTTTTTTTCCCCTCTCCAATCTTAGATATTTTATGGGGTGATGAAAGCTTTATCATACTTTAAAACGGTATGATTATTTGGATCTCACAATGCTCTAGGTTATCTACCAGTATACCCCCTTCATTTAGCACAGGGATGCTGAATGTGACCAAGTGGAGTCAAAACTTTTCATGCTGTTTGGGCCCCTGTATAACTCCTGGGCCCTAGACCTAAGCAAAGACCAATTTAGTTTGCCCTTGAATTGCTGTTCAGCACTAGCTATAATCTTGATGTTCCTTCTCCAGCTAACATTCTCTATGTAAGGTTATCTGTGGCCATGTGCAATGGTCTCAGTACATGCGTAATCCTTGCTTCAGTTCTGACACTCGCTAATGGTATACTATACTGCTTCCCTTTATACTTCTAAATTGTGTGTCTTTCTCCCTGTGCTGAATTTCATGCTCCATGTATGTTTTGGGCAAGGAATAATGGCGCAACCATAACTTTCTATACAAATCTTGCAGATGGTTAATTTAGTTTTCGCATTTACACAATGAAAGTTAAGACGTGCCTATTTCAGAATTCAGAACTGAACTTTTTTACTAATTGGACACATACCACATTTGGGGCAAAATAAAAGAACATTATTATCCATAAAATTAGCAAAAGTAGACAACCATTGCAGATTCACATGGGGTCTTTTCATGTAGCTGTTTCATTATTATTATAGGGACACTATAGTCACCAAAACATCTTTAGCTTCTTGAAACAGTTTTGGTGTACAGATCATGCCCCTGTAGTCTCACTGCTCAAATCTCTGCCATTTAGGAGTCAAATCACTTTGCTTATACAGCCCTAGTCACACCTCCCTGCATGTGACTTACACAGCCTACCTAAACACTTCCTGTATAGTCATTTAATGTTCACACTTCCTGTATTGAAATTTCTGTTTAATTTAGAATGTATTATCTCCTGCTCTGTTAATAGCCTTCTTTACTTACTGGTTTTATTAGCTCAGTGGAGCTAAACGCAAGAAGCAGCAAATGCCTTGCAAAAACTTCTCATTGAAGTGCATTGGGAAAGCCTGTGATTGGACAGTCACAAAAAGTCTGGGAGGGGTTAGAAGTTGAAGGCTTTCAAAGGCTGCCATCAACAGTACTGCAGAATTTGCAATCTATTTTTCTGTATACCCCCAATTAAATATATGCATAATTAAATGGAAGCCTTTTTTCTTTTGGGGTATATGTACAATGTAAAATGTTAAAAAAAAAAAGAGAGAGAGATTAATTTGAAGGGTTCCTTTAATGCTGACATATAACTACTTCAACCCTCCCCTACACCAAATTGTATTCAGCAACAGTCCCCACGTATGCAATACCCCCATTATATGTCAAACAATGATGCTGTGTCAATGTCATTATGGTATATCTCCCCTACCAGCAAAAGTAGAAAGGAGGGGATCTGAGATGTGGCGAAGAAGCCCCAAATAGTACCTTACCGAAGACCATACTCTGAAAGGGCCGGCCTTGAGTTGCACGCAACCAAAAATGTGTATAATGTCTACTTTATTCCCAGAAGTGGATGAGCAGAAAAAAAAAGAATAGTGTTGGATAAACTGTAAGTGATTTAATGACAACCTAGCATACAATAGCCAAACATGCCTTGTGGGTTTTTTTTTTCAAAAGACAATGTTGACATCATATAGTTCTTTTAACAAATTTAGCTTTTTAATAAACCAGAATGTCAACCTGTTTACATCTACACTACAGCTGACTCCAGGAAATCCTGTTCGATTCCAAGACAAGACCTGCTGTTGTAAAGATTCAATCATTTCATTAAAGGACCACTATAGTGCCAGGAAAACATACTCGTATTCCTGGCACTATAGTGCCCTGAGGGTGCCCCCACCCTCAGGGTCCCACTCCCGCCAGGCTGGATGGCGAGGAAAGGGTTAAATCTTACCTTTTTTTCCAGCGCCGGGCGGGGAGCTCTCCTCCTTCTCTCCGCCTCCTCTCCTCCTCTTCGGCTGAATGCGCATGCGCGGCAGGAGCTGCGCGCGCATTCAGCCTGTCTCATAGGAAAGCATTCATAATGCTTTCCTATGGACGCTGGCGTCTTCTCACTGTGATTTTCACAGTGAGAAGCACGCAAACGCCTCTAGCGGCTGTCAATGAGACAGCCACTAGAGGCTTTAGAGGCTGGATTAACCCTATTATAAACATAGCAGTTTCTCTGAAACTGCTATGTTTATTAAAAAAAAAGGGTTACTCCTAGAGGGACCTGGCACCCAGACCACTTCATTAAGCTGAAGTGGTCTGGGTGCCTAGAGTGGTCCTTTAAGGCTAGATTCACTGTAATTGTCACCAAGGCCCAAACAAAAAAAAGGGTACTCTAATTTGATTTTGTTCTAAACAAAGCCAAAATATAATAATTGAAATGGGAGATAAACAAAATCCTAAATGGATGTTATGGATTTAAAGTGATTCAGTCACTTCTCAGTATAATAATCTTAATGAAATACTAATACTAACTGTTTTGGAATTTCATTGAAATTCCAATGCAACCCAAAGATTCTATTTGACAAAGTAGGCACTACATTATCTTACAGACAAGCCTGAGGCTGACAAAAGGCAGAGTTCTTGTCATCTATGGAGTCCCACGGTCTTGGGTGTCCCTCCATAAACCTCGATGTTGTACACCTGTGCATGCGCGAGAGTACAGCTCCTGGCTGACGAAGTGCAATATGCAAAGGGGTCCCTAAGATGAATTCGCACAAGCTTGATGTGCAGCTTCTTGTAGGTAAACCTACCTTTGACTTCAACTCACAGACACTGGACCCTACAGATATTCCTAACAGAATATACAACTCCCCATAAGCGGCAGATCCACTATAAGGAGTTATGTACCAATTATATTACCAAGTACTCCACATTTCTCCATGAGAGAACTAAATGCCTGGCTTGGAAATAAAATGCTCAGACGTGTAAATACTGATTTCTGTGTTATAATCGTTAGTAGTTAGGATGATTTCTTTAGACAAGATACAGTTGTTTGCTATTGCATACTATGAGCACAATGTCATGTAAAAAGGCTGATTTTCAGAATCATATGAAAAAGGTTTTAAAATAGGCCAGATCATAGGAATCCAACGTAGAAAGCTTTTCAAGTCTCTGTACTAAAAATTCAGCACTTTGTCTATGTTCTGAGATCAATGGCTAGCTAGTTTCACAACAAATACATCAGAGAAATACATTTGTATACCCTTTAATTTTAAAGTGATATAACCCTTTGATAAAAAATACAATTGTCCCAGTAGAACTCACACCGTATCTATCTCCATATAATTTTGCAGGAGGATGTGAGTGATATTTTACATTAGCTAAAGCTTAATTTTAGTCACATGCACAGAGTGTTCATTAAATACTGACCTCTGCAATGCTCTACTGCCATGTTGTCATGAAAAAGATTATAACTTGATGCATCTCAGTGACCTTGAAAATCAAACACATTTGTACTTTATTCATAAATATTTAACTAAGCATTATTGAGTGGGCTCCTGAGAACGAACGCAAAGCCCATGTTTCTTCTGACGATCATTGAAAACACGTAACATTGAAGTGAATAGGAACATGGACGAAGGTACAGTGATGGTTTGCAGTGTTACTCCAACCACCATTGTCACTTCTGCTTTTCATGGCTGTAGGAGTCTATGAGAGTTATTCACTAAACACTGGATTTTGCCGAGTGGACCAAATCTGGTGAAAAAATGACCAATTTCTGACCCATAGGAAATTCACAGATTTACTAAAGACAAATGCGGCCATGATTTGGTTTGTAAGAATGATTCTGTAATAGTCAGTCATAAGAATTTGGAAAATCACAAATATCCACATCCAAACCAATATGAAGCACAGAAATCAGAGATTTATCAACAAATACATGGTGTCTAAAGATAAACCGAATGCATCTGGCAGGATGCACATTCGCAAATTATCATTCACTTGATTTTTGCAAGAGAATGATAATTTGAAGTACTATTTCCACACTGGCAGCACTAGTAAGCCAACCAATGAGAGCGCTCTGACAGCCAAGTCTTGAGAGAAGTCTTTTTAAAGGAACACTATAGTCAACTAAATTACTTTAGCTAAATAAAGCAGTTTTAGTGTATAGATCATTCCCCTGCAATTTCACTGCTCAATTCACTGTCATTTAGGAGTTAAATCACTTTGTTTCTGTTTATGCATCCCTAGCCACGCCTCCCTGGCTATGATTGACAAAGCCTTCATGAAAAAGAAAACTGGTTTCACTTTCAAACAGATGTAATTTACCTTAAATAATTGTATCTCAATCTCTAAATTGAACTTTAATGACATACAGGAGGCTCTTGCAGGGTCTATCAAGCTATTAACATAGCAGGAGATAAGAAAATCTTAATTAAACAGAACTTGCAATAAAGAAATCCTAAATAGCGCTCTCTTTACAGGAAGTGTTTATGGAAGGCTGTGCAAGTCACATGCAGGGAGGTGTGACTAGGGTTCATAAACAAAGGGGTTTCACTCCTAAATGGCAGAGGATTGAGCAGTGAGGCTGCAGGAGCATGTTCTATACACCAAAACTGCTTCATTAAGCTAAAGTTGTTCAGGTGACTATAGTGTCCATTTAAGTTTTAAATGTTTAGTAGACATGCCCCCCACATGGTAGATCAGAGCATGTCTACTAAATAGGGCATAGGGAGGTACAATTCCTCCATTATAGTTCCCATAGGATTATTATTTCATCAATTGTAATTTTTTGTAATTTGTTTTTTATTGCGGTTGCTGGTTGGCATGTGTTGTCCAGCCACCACATAATTAATCCTCCAATGAGTGGTTTTCAACTATTTGCCCTCTAGCTCCTAGAGCTGCCAGCGGGCAAATAGTTTTTTTTTTTGTAATTCTAAAACCGAAGTTGAAGCTTTCAGACCTGGAGTAAATTCATTCAGTCAAGATTTCAGCTGTCCAGCAGCATTTGGTCCAGCAGAAGTCCTGGATGATTCAGTACAATAATTCTGTACAGCAGCAAATGGTTTATCTTTCCTTTTCAGGTTTGTAAGGGGGTCCAAAACTCCAAACCACTAATGCTCAACAGGGCATTCCACATTAAAAACAAATGTCCTGTGTAGAGGGTTTCATATTTTATCTGAGCAGGAAATGTGAATTTCTCCCCACTCTCAGTATTCTAGCGAGGAGGTTATTTATAAAATGTGTCATGCCCTGAAAATGGTCAAAATTGATAAAAGAAAAATACCCTTCTGCATGGGATCAGTCTGAAATGCAAATGCTATAGGTTCCTACAGGGTCTTTCAGTAATGGCACAAGTGATTTAATCTTGATCTGAAACCTGAATGTGAAAGTCAATGAATGACAAGCTATTTTAGTAGCTGTCCATTTGCAGTGTTTTCTGTCACTTGGTTTTAATATATCTTCTGATGATTAGGTCACGTAGTGTTATCAATCTGTAATCACCTGTCCTACACCATGTGCAGTCTACTGTGAACTGATGAATAGGCTGCCTGTTGTAGCTGTGGTTGTTGTACGCAAATGTATTATTGTGAATTGACGGGGACTGATAAATTGTCTGGTCAACAACTACTGGGAGAAAAGATCTCAAGTCCTAGTACTCACCAATAGCAGCAGTCTGTGCCTTAGCTACTGCAGGCTGATGAAATTTGACCACTTACAGTCATCATGCAACAACATTACAAAGCAGTGGGTAATTAGGATATCAAATCTCAGAACTCATTAAACTACACTAAGACTGCAGGACGGAACACTATAGGCCGACACTCTTTCATTGCAAACAGGCACTAGGTTAGATTTATTTAACCAGGTGTCTAAGACTCATCATTCATAGACAGAGCAGGATAAAGCATGTTATATTATTTCTCCTCTGCAAATATTAGGGTTTTGTTTTTATTTCCAAAAACCGATAAAGTAGGTCCTTTTACAGATACATGTTTTTAACGTAATGTCCATTACAAGAGAGTACAGATAAAATTTGGTTCAGCCGAAACAATTCGTCCCAAAAAAATAATTTAGTTTGGGTGATCTGAAATTTGTTCACAGGGTGTTTCAGATGAATTTCCGCCATTCAGGAACAACATTCAACAATTCAGGAAAAACATTCAGGCAAACCAAAAGAGGGGCTCAACAATAGTCCTGTGAGGAACTGACTCTGCTGGGTTTTGAACCCTCGTTTACATGCTGCTAACCCTGGGTAATGAGTGGCTACTTCTGGCAGAACACATTGCTGATCTGGCTGCTGGACTCCAAACCTTTTGTAACATCAATATCATTACAAGTCCATTCAGTGTACTGTAAAATGTATACATAATATAAACATCATGAAAATATTACATTGATAGGCGCATTTTTCCACCATTTGGTGCAGATCAAGTCAGAAGAAGTAACCAATAGATGTGGAAAAGGGAAGAGCTGTATAAAATCAATATTTATATAGTATATATTTAATAAATATATCATGTAGATAGGATAAGCTGTATTAGTCCACTAGACAAGATGCCAAAATACCAGAGTATTGCAGTATGCAATGATACCTTTTATATTGGCCTAACATAATACTTAATCCCTTAAGAACGGTGGGTGTTTTATGACGTCCTTTTTAGGGTGACTCTATACGCCGGAGGGCGGCATAGACCGTCCCCACCATCCAGGGGACTTTTCGGGTCCTCGCCAATCCCACGCCGGCGGTCACATGGCCGGAATAGCTGGCTTATGCAGTGCCTGCAGGGGGGAGCTCTCAGGCTGTGCCCCTCATGCCTGCAAAATAGTTTAAAAAGTTAATAAAAGTTAATAAAAAGTTTAATAAAGTAAATAAAAGTACTTGGATCATAATATATATATATATATATATACATATATATATATGTTCTAAGTACTTTTATATGTACATACACATACAAAAAAAACATGATGCTAAGTGCATTTTAATATTAATATATATATTAATATACTTAATGTTAAATACACTAAAATGACGTTAATTTTATATATATATTGTGAGAGAAAAGGTGGAATGGTTGTTGAGGTAAGATATATTAGGCTTGCTTTACTAAACAGCAGCCTGAGGTTTCTAAATTAAATGTCCCAGGGAGAGCTGCTAGGTTTGTAAGATAGATTGTACTCTGCAAACCACGGTAAAGGTCCCTGGGGCGGAGCATTTGGAGAGCAGGGTGGGCCAGTGCTCCAATAGCACTAGTTGCTATATAACAGCCAGACCAGGACCTGTGTATATACCTTAGAGGTTCCAGAGATGTAAGCTAATTGATACTCACCTGTAGCTGGTCAATTAGCAGACAGGCTTTTAAAAGAAGGGATCAGCCTGCTGCAGAGTGAGGGAGAAAGAGCCAGTGGAATGGTGTGGTGTCCAGCTTTAGTTTGTTACTGTAAATTGGTAAGTGGGAAGGCCACCCAATTCCAGTTAGTGATTACTCTGTTTAGTAAGTGCTCAAACAAGAGCAAGGAATTTTTTGTTTATTTTATTTTGAAGCACCTGTATATTTTGCACCAAATAAATCAGAAATACCGAGCTGAATGTGTCCTGGACTTTGATTACCCTAGAAGGCTGTGGTTACCATAAGATCTGTGACAAAATCCTACCTGTAAAAGTGGTGGTTTGTTATAAAATATATATATATATATATATATATAAAATTGTCGAATGCTTGCACTCCTGTACAGCAACAAATATAGCCCGGTGCTAATCGGCACAAATAATAAATAGAAAATTGTGAAAAGCACTCCAAGGACTTTGTATATGGTGAAGAAATCAACTTAGCTTTATTCAGCAACCACCAACTGTGATCAACGTTTCAGCTCACACATGGAGCTTTCGTCAGGATACAAGTGCATATTAAATTAGCAAAATAAATAACATACATAATCAAGTACAATGAATACAGCTGAATCTTACCTAAACCATGCTGCTGGCAGGACGCCAAAAACCGCGGGCAAAACTCCGCTCTGTTACATGTGTACAGCAGCTGTAGCTGCTGTGTAACCCCTGCGTGTAGAACGGTAACCCTGGAAACCCGTCAGGACGCACGGCGGCGTCTGTTTACTCATCACCATGGCAACCTCCCGATCGCACGGGCGCTTCATAGTGCGATCGGTACTGAAGCTCTGAAGACAGCTTAAGGCTGAGGCTGTCTAGGCACATCAGAGCAACAGAGAGTTGTACAGGCAGATGTCATGATCTATTACTAATCCACAGAAGCATCTGTGTATAGGCACCAATCTGAATACAGATTGATAAAGCATATGTATAATCATGGGCATAACAACCTCCTGGTTATATACCATTGCACAGGATATGTATAAAAATATATATGTTAGTGACACCTAATAAGATCAAGGGGTTTGATGGAAAAATATATATAAGCAGCTGATGGTTTGAGGGAATGACAATACATAATAACAGTAAACTACCAAACAGATGTTCATGGACACAATATCATAAATAAAAGAGCATCATACATAGAAGATAGCTAGTTACTATACATTCATGTACACAAGAAGGAATAGCTAACAACTGTCAAAATTCTATCAGCTCTATATATTGACCCAGGTACACAGGCTCACAGAATATGTGAAGTGTATCGAACTTGGCTTTTGTGTGTAAAATAAGAAACAATGACAAACAGTGATAACTTACTATCTACTGTTATGAAGAAAAAAGAGACTATGTGTACAGCTAATAACTATCATAGAAAATAAGCTATATGTCCAACCAAAGGAGTATAGAGAACCACTAGCCAGGACATAAGAGCATCACAATGCCCCCTAGTGGTGTGTTAATGACCTCTAAAGATTCTAAAAAAGAATCATAAGTCAATTACATTTATCTACTCTACTTATGACAAAGGACCTATAGAAAGGCAATCATTTAGTCTGAATACACAATATACAGAGTCTATTGTCAAAAAATGTCAACTTCAACATATTGAGTATATCACAGTTGTCTACAGGGTCAGAATTATCAAAGGTATAAAGATTATCAGAATTTCAAATAATAACGAAATATCAAAAAACATCATGAAACTATTTTAGAATACTGTGCTAATAGGCTAAGAGGGTAATGAAAATCTAACACTGTCCATATTACTTCAAAAGGGGTCAGATATCCGGATTCGTATAGGGAAATGAATTCTACATTGAATAAGTGCCTCAGGGTATATTCATAGAAAAATTCCCAATGAGTATTTCTCATTTAGGCCCTTGGGCTGTACAGTGTCCAGAGTCCTGATCCAATGTAGTTCCCTTTGTAATAAAATTTTCTTCCGATCACCACCTCTAATTGGTGGGGGAATGTGATCAATGGCAATAAATTTCATAGAAGGTAGCGGGTGATTGTGTTCCCAAAAATGTTTCGCTACTGGTTGTTCCGAGCCTTTGTCTCGATAAGCAGTTCTTATACTCGACCGGTGATTGCGTATGCGTTCCCTCAGCGGTAGTTCCGTCTTTCCGACATATGCCAAGCCACATGGGCATACAAGTTTATACACCACAAAGTCACTGATACATGTGAGTCTATGTCTAATGGTAAACGTTTTACCAGTGTGGGGGTGGGTGAATGTCTTGTTTGGTAGCATATGGCTACATGTTACACACCCCAAACATCTGTAACATCCCAGATTGAGATGGGTTGAGGGTTGATCATAACAGTGTGTTGGGTCAGTTTTGACCAATAGATCCCTAAGGTTCTTTCCTCTCCTATAACACATCATTGGTGTCTCTTTAAATTGACATGGTAGACTAGTGTCATTGCTCATCATGCGCCAGTTTTGGTTAATGGATTCTTTAATATGATCTGAAATTGTGGTGTATGTCACTGGAAAAATTAATCTTTCTTGCTTTGGTGTTTGACTGTCCTGTTTCTCAAAGCATTTGTCCAGGGCTTTTTGTAGAACAGTGGGCTTATAACCTCGAGCCCTGAATTTATCCCACATTTGGTTAATTTGTGACTGAGTGTTTTCTCTATTGGTATTATTTCTGATGACTCTCATAAATTGAGATTGTGGTAAGGAGTTCTTTAGATGTTTCGGGTGGTAGCTGTCCGCATGAAGTATAGTGTTCCTATCTGTGGGTTTACTGTACAAGGTATAGGCTACTGCATCTTGTTCTTTGTAGAGTCGTACATCCAAAAAATCAATGGTTTGGTCATCAGTAGTCATAGTTAACCGAACTGGAGTGTTCAAGCTGTTGATAGAGTGTAGCATCTCTTCTGGTGTCGTTCCTGTTTTTTTCCAAATCATTAAAATATCGTCGATGAAGCGACGGTAAAAAAGTATATTATCATGGTAAGGTGTGAGAATATGCTCCTGTTCAAACACGTACATGAAGCTGTTCGCATACATTGGTGCCATTGCTGCACCCATAGATGTACCTGCAATTTGTTGATACCAGGTATGTTCGAATCGAAAGTAGTTCTGACTGAGTACCAGTTGTAATAATTCCAGGATATATTCTATTGGTGGTCCCATATAAGAAGACGATGCCGTCAGTATCTTCCTCATTGCCTCGATGCCAGTCTCATGCGGTATGATTGTATATAAATTCTTAACATCGCATGTTATGAATGTTACTCCTGGTCCCAGATTGGTGAATTGACGTAGTTGTGTTAATAGACTAGGTGTGTCTTTAATACATGTTTGTAGTTCTTGAACTGGTTTCTTGAATAGAAAGTCAAGCCATTTGGCTATAGGTTCCAGTACGCCACCTATTGCCGACACAATGGGTCTGCCTGGGGGTGAGGTAGGATGTTTATGTATCTTTGGCAATGTATATATTATTGGCGTTCTGGGTTTCTTTTGTAGAAGATATTCATACAGATCCTGGGTAATGTATGCTGCTTCTAATCCACGTTGTAGCATATCCTGTATCTTCTGCATGATGGTCTGTGTGGGATCCGCTGGAAGTGTCTGATAGGTGGTAGAGTCTTCCAATTGTGTTAGTAGTTCTTGTCTATAATCATGATAGTTCATCAGGACTATTCCTCCACCTTTATCAGCTGTACACATGTAACAGAGCGGAGTTTTGCCCGCGGTTTTTGGCGTCCTGCCAGCAGCATGGTTTAGGTAAGATTCAGCTGTATTCATTGTACTTGATTATGTATGTTATTTATTTTGCTAATTTAATATGCACTTGTATCCTGACGAAAGCTCCATGTGTGAGCTGAAACGTTGATCACAGTTGGTGGTTGCTGAATAAAGCTAAGTTGATTTCTTCACCATATACAAAGTCCTTGGAGTGCTTTTCACAATTTTCTATTTATTATTTGTGCCGATTAGCACCGGGCTATATTTGTTGCTGTACAGGAGTGCAAGCATTCGACAATTTTGTATTTATTGGTCTGGATGGCAATAGACCAGCTATGCACCCGTACATATTACTCTAACATTACTTTTTTGCGAATTCTACTCTCCCTAACTTATCATTGACATTACTAGTATGTATTCATGATCTGGGAGCCTTTTTGTTTCTATAACGCAACAACCAATTATTTTTAAAGTGCACTACTGTTCTTTTAACCTGCATTAGCTGCAGTGTTGTTATAGACAGTATTTGGTGTTACACTATCTACACACGGTTTTTGTACATTTTTGAATACACTGAACAAGGAGTGTCCATGGAAGATTTCTTTTCTCAAGCGGGAGGATTATTGGAACAAGCCGAAATTTTCCAATACACAGATGAAGATGCAGATCGCATTAGATGGGAAGCTCAGACTACTGACCTCCCACAAACAACTACACTTAAGGAAATATATCTGGAATTAACACGCTTGAAGAAGAAAGAAATTGATTTAGATCTACATGGTCTGTTTTTGTCAGACTACCACAGGCAGCTACAGATCCCTCGGGGTTTCAGAATCAAGAACATCCCCACAATAGGACGCGCAAAGCCCAAAGTCTGCAAGAAGTGGATAGCAGTTCTAAACAAATGCTCACTGGATCTTATTCTCATCATAATAGAAGATGTGAAAGAAGACTTGATTAAAATCAGACAAAGGATCATACAACTAGAAGCAAGGGAAGCCCTACTTCTAACATCCGCTGAGGCAGCTCCTACCATACTGAGATTGGAACAAAATATAAAAGAATACAAGACAGATCTGATTAGATTTAAACGTGAGAAACAGGAGAAGGTCAAAAGTGACTACGCTGAACACAGGGTGTATAGGTGGCTAAGTGGACAAAGTGAAATACCACGGTTTGCAAGGAACAGACGTCCCATACGTAAACCAAAACAATTCACAATAGATAAAACCTCAGGGGAATCCACTTCTGATTCTGATACTCAGCAGAGAACTGCACAGGCTCAACCATCAAGCCTTTTTTTAGAGAGGGGGACCATACCTATAGGAACAACTACGAGACAACGAGCCAGACAAGACCCCGATCTAAACGCTATATTACAAGACGAGGACAGAGAGGCGGTGTATACCACTCTGAGAGGGAGACCACCAAGACGGAGGTGATTCCAATTTTCAATTTGTCCTCACGACAACTCAGTAACTCTGAAAACCAATTATTAATGAAAGGATTATCTTTTGTGCCTACAACCTACCCTGTTCCCCTTACACAAGAAATCGAAAATTACAAGTTCGGCAGAACATTAAGACTTAAGGATTTTTTCAAAACTAGTAACCAAGTAACTCCCGTGAATTTTTTTAAACCCAAAAGTACTTGGGATCCATTACCGAACCAATCCACCATTAAAACTTTCCTGAGATCACTCAACCAAGAGACACAGTACCATCTAGTACATAATAACAAACAAAGATCCAATATTACTAAATCAGAACGTCAAATCATCACCTCACTAGCTAAAGATCCAAACTTAATAATCCGTCCAGCTGATAAAGGTGGAGGAATAGTCCTGATGAACTATCATGATTATAGACAAGAACTACTAACACAATTGGAAGACTCTACCACCTATCAGACACTTCCAGCGGATCCCACACAGACCATCATGCAGAAGATACAGGATATGCTACAACGTGGATTAGAAGCAGCATACATTACCCAGGATCTGTATGAATATCTTCTACAAAAGAAACCCAGAACGCCAATAATATATACATTGCCAAAGATACATAAACATCCTACCTCACCCCCAGGCAGACCCATTGTGTCGGCAATAGGTGGCGTACTGGAACCTATAGCCAAATGGCTTGACTTTCTATTCAAGAAACCAGTTCAAGAACTACAAACATGTATTAAAGACACACCTAGTCTATTAACACAACTACGTCAATTCACCAATCTGGGACCAGGAGTAACATTCATAACATGCGATGTTAAGAATTTATATACAATCATACCGCATGAGACTGGCATCGAGGCAATGAGGAAGATACTGACGGCATCGTCTTCTTATATGGGACCACCAATAGAATATATCCTGGAATTATTACAACTGGTACTCAGTCAGAACTACTTTCGATTCGAACATACCTGGTATCAACAAATTGCAGGTACATCTATGGGTGCAGCAATGGCACCAATGTATGCGAACAGCTTCATGTACGTGTTTGAACAGGAGCATATTCTCACACCTTACCATGATAATATACTTTTTTACCGTCGCTTCATCGACGATATTTTAATGATTTGGAAAAAAACAGGAACGACACCAGAAGAGATGCTACACTCTATCAACAGCTTGAACACTCCAGTTCGGTTAACTATGACTACTGATGACCAAACCATTGATTTTTTGGATGTACGACTCTACAAAGAACAAGATGCAGTAGCCTATACCTTGTACAGTAAACCCACAGATAGGAACACTATACTTCATGCGGACAGCTACCACCCGAAACATCTAAAGAACTCCTTACCACAATCTCAATTTATGAGAGTCATCAGAAATAATACCAATAGAGAAAACACTCAGTCACAAATTAACCAAATGTGGGATAAATTCAGGGCTCGAGGTTATAAGCCCACTGTTCTACAAAAAGCCCTGGACAAATGCTTTGAGAAACAGGACAGTCAAACACCAAAGCAAGAAAGATTAATTTTTCCAGTGACATACACCACAATTTCAGATCATATTAAAGAATCCATTAACCAAAACTGGCGCATGATGAGCAATGACACTAGTCTACCATGTCAATTTAAAGAGACACCAATGATGTGTTATAGGAGAGGAAAGAACCTTAGGGATCTATTGGTCAAAACTGACCCAACACACTGTTATGATCAACCCTCAACCCATCTCAATCTGGGATGTTACAGATGTTTGGGGTGTGTAACATGTAGCCATATGCTACCAAACAAGACATTCACCCACCCCCACACTGGTAAAACGTTTACCATTAGACATAGACTCACATGTATCAGTGACTTTGTGGTGTATAAACTTGTATGCCCATGTGGCTTGGCATATGTCGGAAAGACGGAACTACCGCTGAGGGAACGCATACGCAATCACCGGTCGAGTATAAGAACTGCTTATCGAGACAAAGGCTCGGAACAACCAGTAGCGAAACATTTTTGGGAACACAATCACCCGCTACCTTCTATGAAATTTATTGCCATTGATCACATTCCCCCACCAATTAGAGGTGGTGATCGGAAGAAAATTTTATTACAAAGGGAACTACATTGGATCAGGACTCTGGACACTGTACAGCCCAAGGGCCTAAATGAGAAATACTCATTGGGAATTTTTCTATGAATATACCCTGAGGCACTTATTCAATGTAGAATTCATTTCCCTATACGAATCCGGATATCTGACCCCTTTTGAAGTAATATGGACAGTGTTAGATTTTCATTACCCTCTTAGCCTATTAGCACAGTATTCTAAAATAGTTTCATGATGTTTTTTGATATTTCGTTATTATTTGAAATTCTGATAATCTTTATACCTTTGATAATTCTGACCCTGTAGACAACTGTGATATACTCAATATGTTGAAGTTGACATTTTTTGACAATAGACTCTGTATATTGTGTATTCAGACTAAATGATTGCCTTTCTATAGGTCCTTTGTCATAAGTAGAGTAGATAAATGTAATTGACTTATGATTCTTTTTTAGAATCTTTAGAGGTCATTAACACACCACTAGGGGGCATTGTGATGCTCTTATGTCCTGGCTAGTGGTTCTCTATACTCCTTTGGTTGGACATATAGCTTATTTTCTATGATAGTTATTAGCTGTACACATAGTCTCTTTTTTCTTCATAACAGTAGATAGTAAGTTATCACTGTTTGTCATTGTTTCTTATTTTACACACAAAAGCCAAGTTCGATACACTTCACATATTCTGTGAGCCTGTGTACCTGGGTCAATATATAGAGCTGATAGAATTTTGACAGTTG